CGCCTCGATTGGGCCAATCTCAACACAGCTCGAGCCGTCAGCTCTGAGGCATCGAACGATGATGATCACTTGGGTCCTGCCCCGGCCGGAAAGATGAAGTCACAGGGCAATCTGCCATCAGACACTCTCCCTCGAACCCCTCAGTGCTTCCAGGCAACCAAAGGAAGCCATCTAGAACGCGTCTGGAGCATTCGCGCCCGAGAACAGATTTCAGCAATGACGGTATTGACATACACCCTGCTAGTCTTCATGCCTTCGCTAGCATTCTGCTTTGTATACTGGTTCGAGATCACGAAGTACACCCATGTTTGGAAATGAAGATTAGGATATCCCCAAGTCTTCCGACAAGGTGGTGTACGCATTTCCGTGCATCAAGAGTCATGTGGTAGCATATCCCATTCAATCTTATCGGCTGAGATAAAAAGATCTTCGAAAACTAGCAACACGGCGTTTATATCCGACGTGACTGTCATCGACTCTGGCCGGGGGGGGGGCCTCGGTGTGGGGCCGATTCTTTTGTACCAGCTCCGGCTGCACCGCCGGAGACAATCTCTACTACTAAACAAACGGACAGGTGGAATGAAATTCTCTGCCGTTGTATTTCTTCAGCTCATATTTATAGGTCCTGGCAGCTTAGGCCATGATGTGCATCTATTGGCACCGGGCGGACGATGAAAAGCAGCGGCAGGGTGCAGAACGGAGAGAGAATGGTATGATAGGCGGGAGGCAATCTTCCACGAGGCGCTGCAAATTCTTTTAACCAGATTCAGTCGATGCGAACCATGTGTGCGACGCATTAAAGCTCAACTGACCCAAGCGGTTGTCTTGTCTGTCGATGCGCCTTTGCCTGCATCCCAAAATCTAGCTCTCGCTATTGGCTTATGCTAGACCGCGACCGCCTATCTTTGCTGCCTGATTCCAGCCATGTGATCGTAATTCATACAAGGCTTAGGTTTCCCCATAGTCCGACTCAATCTAACGGCCGGCAAGCAAGGAGAAGTCACCTGTTTATGCGGCGTCCAAGAGAGCAGTTCATCGCACAATCCAGATTGTATCTCATGCAGTATCCAGGGCCATTTGAGGTGCCACAACTGTTTCAATGAAAGGCAACTTCACCACTGAAAAGGACCATGAGGAGGCACAGAAGGGGCAGCCGAGGGCATTGCCCCATCTCAATTCGAATCAGAGCCACGTCACAAAACTCGATACCTGTCCGTCCCTCGAGCAAGCTGAGGTTCATCCTAAGGGTAACTGGCGCTCCTTACCAGTAGTCCTGACCCACGATGGTTGTGGCCGCGATTTCATCCACAACCAGCCTAAGGAGCCCCAAGAAGAGCGCCCAATACGCATTCCCAACGCCGATTTACCCAGAAACTTTGAGAGAGATGATCACTTAGATTGGCAAGATCACGGTATCGATTCCAAAACCAGTCCCTTCGACAAACCCGACCATGGAATATCATTCAAGCCAGAAAATCCCAGCAACAGCGTTTTGATCGGAAAGGTTGCAGGTACATGCCAAACTACCCTGGAAAAGTCTGACCAATATTTTAATGATTCACAAGAGAGAACTTTCGAAACAGGCGTCCCATCGACCCCTGAATCAACAATCACAACGATAGTCGCGAAAGGAGAGCAAGAGGCGAGTTCAATTCGCAAGTCGAAGAAAAGCTCCCGTCCGAGAAGCAAGCTGAAAGCCAGGTCGTTTTCAGATGCGACTGAACGACGGCCCTCCGGACCGAATCGTTGGTTCGCCGAACCTTCTCCACCGCCATTGATACAAACTCTCTGGATCTATTCAGCAGAAGTCATGACAGATTCACAGCCCATGATGACTCGTTTGGACACATCGTGCAACGTTTCGCTTCTTTCCACATCCGTAGGGTCCAGGCTGAGGTTCAAGACATCACCTATGCCTCCTTCGATTAGGCTTGCCATCATGACAGAATTTGGGTATGTTACTCCACTGGAATTCGTGTCTGTGTCAATCGAAGCACCTTGGTTCAGAGGCAGTCAGTTGGGAGTTCTCAACATCATGGTTGCGTCATACGACTTTTTGGAGTCGCGTGGGTTCGAGTTCCTTGCCAGTAGAAAGGTGAGCGAAAAGTTGTTAGCCATGGGGACTTCTTCCAAGCGCAAACCCATAAAATTCGTATCTATTTTGCAGGACACATTTGAAACGGCAAGCTTTTTGGGTAGTTCAGGAAGTTCGTCTTCCGATCAAGACGACATATTTTCGAGGATGCCTACGGACTTCTCTGGCGAGAGCAACAGTTCCGTGTCTTCTGCAGAGGATGAGGTGATACCAGATGGTTGTCGTCCTAACCTCGATTCCCTCATCCAAAAGCGGAACAGGCTTCATTCGCTACCCGAGTCCTGCTGCATGGCTGAAGCCCAGTATTCAGCTCTAGTTGAACTCGCCGAAGGGAACAGAGAGTTATCATACCTTGTAGACGAACTGATTCATTCTCAGCCCTCGTCGTTGGACTTGGTGATGTGTCCTCATACTTCGTGGAAGGACCGGTTGCAACAAGGGCTCGAGGACTTGACTGGAAGTCGATGGAGCTGGTGGCCAATGAATGCTCCAATTCGATCCCTCAAAGCCGATGATGCTCTCATGACTTGGACTTGTGTAAGACCATTATGCCAGGCTCTTGCACCGGCTTCTTAGTAAACGAGCTGACAATGTCTAGTGCTGCGGAGAACAACGATCAGAAAATGTCCCCTTAAAATTTGGCATCGCCGCCTCCGATTTCATAATGAAGCGAGCGAATGCCGAAAGGGCCTCAAACGGACAGCAGGCGCAGGATTCCTCTGGCAATCAGTGTCAAACCTCTGGCAAGGGCCTCGAGACGAAAGCCTCAGGAACTACACCCCCAATCGACGATACTTCCAACTCCCTTGCAAGCTCGGACAACAACGTACAGCACACTTCAGTCAATACTGGCAACCCAGATTTCGATACTCAGCGAGAGCGGTACATATTCTTGGTGGGATCCTCAGGATCATTGCAGTTTCGGCAGTTCTCCTCTTCCAAACAGTGTACCCAGACCTTTGCTGCGGACCTTCGAGCCAACTATCGGAAGTTGAGAGGTTTCTGGCGCTACTGGTTCTCTATCTACATATTTTGGCATTGCGACTTCTTCGAATTTGAGAAATTTTGTCTCTTCGGTATATCAGACATCAAGCCAGGATTGCCCCGTGAAGAGTACCCCTATACCGAAGAATACTACTACAAGCCTCGCCCAGCGAGATCCAAAACTCCAATTAGCCCGAAAGAGTTCGAACACATTTACTACCACTACCGAAAGACTTCAGCAGCCAAGATTGATACGTGGTACCAGCCATTCACAGTGATGGGACAAGCCTCCTTCTACTGGCCTCGTTTCTTCAAGCAACTCCCCCCACTCTTTCAGAAATAGATCGATGGCAACCTACCAACCGACACGGTTCCCAAGATCCCTCAACGCCTGACCCATTTCGACGAGCTCAGCAACAACAGGGAGACCTTCTGGGGGCTTCATGCCCGAGAACAGGTTTCAGCAATGATGGTGCTGATATACGCCCTGGTGGCCTTCACGCCTTCACTGGCGTTCTGCTTCGTCTACTGGTTTGGGCTTGGGGACAAGCAGCCGGACATGCAGAACGCAACGACACCGTTGACGATATCCTTGACGACTTTCGGCTTGTTCGTGGCTTATCTGGTGAAGCACTAGAGGGGTTCTCTTTTTCCTCTGCGGCGTCGTCTTCGTCTCTGTTCTCGCCATTCTAGTCCTCGACCTAGTGTTTGCCGGGACTGGTGATGACGGACGAAAAAGGTCATGGACGCCAGGGGAGCGGATATGGAGGGGGTCGGGGTCAGAGCAGGTTGTTCAGTTCTGTGTAACTATATTCCTGTTGAATTCATTCTTCTCTGTGAAGTTCATGGAGCTCGCCGTCGTAACCTCGGTTTCTTCGAATCGATCTATGAATGAAACAAGCGTAGAAGTTTCCAATGGCACGTAGTCCAAAACTGGGGGACTTACAGGCCTCATTAGAGACCAACAACGAATCAATAGGCTGCTGAATGACTTGGCCAGAAGACCAAACCGTTTCCCTTTTCTGCAACAGCATTCTAAACCTGATAATCTTATATGAATATCAAGCCATTGAAACGCATCAAACATGCGATTTGACAAGACGAATGATGTTCAACGTCAACCACCTGACTCAGCACGCCCCCCAAAACAACGTTTCAACCCGCATCTCCAACCTTCCCCGGATCGTCGTCTCATGAAACATGCGAACCACAGTCACACACACACACACACACACACACACACACATTCCCCCCATCTACCCCAGGATCCTCCCCAGTAACCGCCGGCAAGCGGCAAGCGCCGATCACCCAAACCCCCTTCCCTGCCTTTATCTGACGTCGTGCCATAGTCGTCGCAACCGTCGACTCTCACAACAAGCCGAGGCTCGCGATCCCGGCATGACGGGGGAAACGCGACGGGCATTAAACACCAAAGAGTGACATGCATATGCACCCGTGCCCGCGTCTGTGCAACAACGGGACCTCTCACTGACGACGGGCGGGGGGGAGCGCAGACCAGTTTGTCACCACACGCAGCTTAAAGCCAGGAAGTAAAGGGCATATGTGCAAAATGAAGGAAGCTCTTCTTTTTCCCACCTCTCACCAAAACCGACGTTTATGCTGTGAGACTAGAATGAAGAATAAGGGGTAGTCCGACATGCCCCTTTCCAAAAACGCCAAAGAAGTCGTGGATGATTAGGAGAGAAACCATTCGTCATGAAAACAGGAAATCATGGATAAAACAGGATGGAAAAATACCATCCGGAGTATCATGGAATAATCAAGAAAGAAAAAAAAAAGCCCTCCTCTGTGTGTCCTCCGTCTCTGCAGATGCAATTTGACCGGGCAGTGACCCAAAATGACTGAAACTTGGGTTGGGGTATTCAAGCGCGCATTATATCGCCCCGACGATTCTCGAATCTTATTCCTTCAGCTTGACATAGTTGCTGGGGAAGATGCCGTGCCTCGTTCCAATCATGCCAGTCCTGCGCAGGTTGTCAGTCTTTGCCGTACATGTGAACGAATATTCAAGAGATACATACCACCAATCAGTCTCGTTCTCGGTCTTCTTCAGTACCGTAATGACGTCGCCCTTCTTGAAACCAAGATCGCCGGGCTGGTCAGCCTCGAACGTGAACAGCGCAACGGCCTCGTTCTTCTTCAGCATAGCCGTCTTGGACGCAAAGTTCGGCTTCGGCGCCGCAGGTCTGCCTGGCGGGCCGGTCTTCTGATCCGGCACCGCACCAAAGTTGGGCGACGGGTTGTCTCTGTAGACGTAGCTGTCGGCCCCTCTTGACGCGAACGTGTTGGAGCGCGAAACCCCGCCGAAGCCGGTGTCGCCGGTAGGTCGGTCGTAGACGTCGTCCTGCCATGTGCTGGATCGCTTCGGTCCGCCAAACTCACTGGCACCGCCGGCGCCGCCACCGTACATACTGCTGCGGTTGTTGTTGAACTCCCCCTCACCGTATCCACTTCCCCGGCGACCGTTCCAAACTACGTCATCGTGACCCTGGTCGTAGACGGGGACGTCGTTGTACATGGCGTCGTCGGCCTGGCCCGTGCGGCCGGCGTTGAAAGCACGCGAGTTGAGAATGTTCATGAGGGGCGCGGCCTGGGAGGGTGGGCGGACGCTGCCGGTGAGGATCTGGGCGGCGGTGTAGCGGGTGCCGTAGAGCTTCTCGTTGGCGTCGCGGCGCTCGATGATGACGGAGCCCTCGAGCGAGACGCCGGCGAACAGGCCCTTGGTCTTGGAGTAGGAGAAGATTCCGGCGACGGACTTGAGGGAGGCGGCGCCTGCTGCCTCGGCGTTGCGGCCGACGGGACCGGCGGCGATGGAGACGTTGCCGCCGAGGGTAAGGGAGCCGGCCTGGGCGAAGGTCTTGACGGCGCTGGCGTCGTTGAGGATGAAGACGAAGTCAGTGAGCTCGAAGCCGATCTGTCCGCCAAAGCCTGCACCTGCGGTGCCGATTGCGCTTGGCGCACTCCATGATCCGTCGGGGAGGCGCGAGACGACGAGACCGCTGCCGAAACGGCCGGAGCCGAGGAAGCCTGCCTTGAGGACTGTGAGGATCGCGAGGCCCTGTTCCACGGTGTTTAAATCAGCAATCTGTATTGTACTGTGGTTTTCTTTCGTTGGGGAGAGTCTTTTCTCGGGAGGCCTCCTGCTGGCGTTTGTGCGCCAAGGCGGGGAGGAAGGATCGCGAGGGCGGGGTGTGGAATATGGCTCACCTTTGCGTTGGCGAGGATCGAGGGGGGAATGATCTTGTCGGGACTGAATGCTTGACGCGGGTCGATGAAGGAGGTCAAGATCTTGCCGCACTTTTTGCATTCCGCTGTTCGAGAGAGGGGAGTCAGCTCGTGTGTTCTCGTCGTGATGACGGGCGAAGCGCCGGGGCGCGGGATCACCGGCACAGGGCAGGAAGAAAAAGGTGGACTTACACGCCATAGACGACGGCAGCGGGTTGTGGAGGCCCATGACGATGATGCTTGACGGCGCGAGAGTACGGGAGAGTCGGCGTCGTTTCCTTCAGTTAGGAAGAGAGGTTGAGGAGAAAAAAGGTTGAAGGAAGACAGCGTTCACGGACACGAAGAGGTGCCTGGATGGGTATTTGGAGGTGATTACCTTAGGAAGGCAGGTCCTAGGTGGGAGGTCCAAGGTCCAAGGTCAAGGTACATGCGTAGTGTATTCCGCAGCTGCGCCTGTCTGTGATGACCACTGACCCGAAGAGCGAGTCCACAGCTCCACGTAATAGTGATTTAGTGGGGTCCGATAGGTGAAGAGCCGCCGAGGCAGGCCTGCGCCTCTTCTTTTCGCCTTGGGGGAGGAGGGGGAGCTTTGATTGTGGTGTTAGGTTGGGATTGGGTGTTTGTGTGTTGGGCTTGGCTCTTTCGTTCGTCGGGCAGAGGCCGTGGGCGCCGGGACACGGCACTCTTAATGGCTTTTGTCTTCCTTGCTTTTTAACCTTTTCATTTCTTCCTTCAATTTCATTACTTGTTCGGCCGAACTACCTTAGATTAAACATGCAGCCATTGGACGACGCTACGGGGCTTGCTTCATAAAATGCACGTTGCTGGGCTCCCGGCTTGTCAAGGAATAAGCCAGCTGGTGCATCTTGCTCTTTTGACGATGTTTATGTTTCGTCTGGGGATTGGGGTGCCAGCTGACAACGTGCAGCCAGCTCTGGGATCGCCGGAAGAGACAGACGGGAAAAAAGTGTCCAGTAAGCTCCTGTCACTTTTTCAGCCCTCCGGCTTCCATGTCACTGCTACGGTCCAGTGGCAGTGGTACCTTGCGGCGCTGACAGTGAGGTAATTGCCGCCTCTAGTGCAAAATTCGCGGGGTACTGACGTCCAGTGGCTCGTGGTGCACGCAGCACTGGACCAGACAAAATGGAGGGGGCACCGCTGCTGGCTCGGGTTCGGGGGGCCGTGTGGCCCATGGCCACTGTGGCGCAGGAATTGACGCGCAAACCCCCACCAGCAAGGGTACCGATCCGAGCAGTGACACTGGACCTGACCCGTTCAAGGTTAGGTTCCCCTACGCTCGTAAGCAGCTAGGAACCTACCTACCCGGGATTCTAGGCCCCCGTCAATCCCGCCGCCCCGTGGTGGTTTGCAGCAGCGACGAAGAGTGAGGTGCCCGTCCAGCCTCGCTCGCCTCGACTGGCCTCTGAGAACGCCCGGGCCGGCCATCGTCATTGTTTCGCCGCCAGCTAAACACCAACCACACCCGCCGCAACCCCCTTTGACGACTTCCAACCCTACAAACCTACGAACTGCGCGAAACAAACGAAACTATCAGCTGGGCAAGGGAAGAAAAGTACATCTGCGCACCGCTTCCCCTACAACACCGCCACAACCCAAGATTCCCCCAATCTGCACGGGAGGCGATAATACGTCCTGCGACACCGACGACGACGACGACGAAGCAATCCCGCCGCAGTCAACTTCCAACCCGGAACACAATCCCTCATCGCCGAACTCGACGGCAACCCGACCAGACGTCTCCGATACTCTCCGGCCTTGAACTCTCCGTGAGCGCACGAACGCCGTGATCGCACCCGCTCGACCCCCTATCCGTCCCGAAACCAAAAACACCACCAAACCAAAAAACCGCAAAAATGTCAGAAGCCTACGAGCGCGAGCGCCAGAACAACGCCCGCCTGGACGAGCTCTCCGCCAAGGTCTCCGCCCTCCGCGGCGTCACCGTCGACATCTACGACAACGCGCGCGCCCACGAAGTCATTGACAGCACTGTACGTCCAGCCCCTGCTGCTGCTACCCTCGCTCTCCCCTTTTCCGCGTGTGAAAACCGCCAGAGACATAATCGCTAACGTCCCCCCCTCCGTGCAGTCCGAAACCTTCTCCTCCATGTCCACCCAGCTCAAGGGCTCCGCCGGCCGCTTAACCCGCATGGCCGCCTCCGGCAACAAAGTTGCCATCCTCAAGCTGTCGGGCATCATCATCGGCATCTTTATCGTCCTGTTCTACATCTCCAAACTCTTCTTTTGAAGGAAACGACTTCGAAACGATTCTTTGGACGGGAAGAGGGGCGGGTGCTCTTTTCTTTGTTCTCGGGGCTGGTATGATAGACCACGGCGGGGCATGATCAACGGACCCAAGAGAAACGACACTGGGCGGAAGACGAATACGGCGCCGGCTGCACTGATTTCCGGAGGTCACCGTGGGCTGGAAAGACGGACCCTCTCGACGGCGCAATGGAGACCGCGTAAGAGAACATACGGCGAGCAAAAACTTTGTTATGATGGCGAGGACGTTGGGCGTGGACGTTCAAATACCCTGCGCGCATGGATACCGGAGTTTTTCTCTTTTTTTGGACACTTTGGGGGAATAGCACAATGACTACTGACTGGCCGGTGGTACTTACTGTAGCACTGCACACAATACATTATATGGTATCATGAATGTTCAACTTGGCTTGCTCAGTCTTATTTGCAAAATGAAGAAAAAGAGTATTCATCTATGACGCTTTTGCATCCGAAATACAGACATGTCACATGAAACCTCCCCGTCCGCGTGTCCGTGATGCCATCCCTTACTTTGAAATGTTTATAGACTGGTGACGAAACGCTCAAGGGCTCTTGAATCTCCCGCCTTGGCCGCGAATAGCTCTGCAACTCGACCATGTCCCGTCCATTTACTGCCAGACGTTGGAAAACAGATCCTCGTTGCCGCCGATGGGCTTGGCTGATCCTGATCCGGCGTGCGGGGTTGTGCTGCTCGTCCATCCTCCAAACTCCTCGTCGGCCGCAACCTTGGGCGCGGTGCTGAAACCACCAGATGCTCCGGGGACGATGGGCGTGCTGGCAAAAGAGCCAGAGGCACCCCATCCGCCAATATCGGCACTGCCGCCGAAACCACCAGAGGGCTTGGGAGCCTCCGGGGCCTTCGCAGGAGCGGGCGCTGCCGCCGCGGAAGTATCAGGTGTGCTCCATGCGTTGGATCCCCACACGTCAGAACCTGACCAGTTGCCCGAGTTCATGGTGCTCGTGGCAGCCGCTGTTGGGTTGGGCGCAGGAGACGGAGCCTTTGGCTGGTTCGAGAGGTTGAAGACGGAGCTGGAAGCGGCGGCGGGAGCAGGGCTAGGGGCGGCGGCGGGTTGAGAGGGCGAGGAGAGATCGAACAGGTCTCCCATGCCGGAGGACGCTGGCTGGGCGGGCTTTGGTTGCTGAGTCGGTGCCGGGGCCGGGGAGCTGGACCAGCCAAATCCACCGAAGCCGCTGTTTGATGGTTGCTTCTGGTGTTGAGGGGCGGGAGCGGCGGCGGGCTTGGAGTCGAAGAAGCTGCCTCCGCCGAGGCCGCCAAAGGCGTTCGAGGAAGCTGGGGGCGGGGACCTGCTGCTGACGGGACTGGCTAAACTGGCGAACGGGTCGGCTGCGGCGGGTTTGGGGCTGGTGGTGTTAGAGAAGCTGAGGCTGCTGAAGGCATCGTTCATGCCACCAAAGGACTGCTGCTGTTGCTGCTGGCCAAAGGTGGGAGAAGGCATGCTGCCAAACTGCCCACCTGGGACCTGAGGGGCTTGTTGCTGCTGAGGTTGCGGCTTCGGGGCAGAGGCGTAGAGCGACAGGATCGACTGCTTGAGATCTGGCCTGGAGGGGGCTCCCATGCCGCCGGCATTGTTAGTGCTAGCAGGTCGTGGCGGAGCGGCGGGCTCTCCGAAGAAGTCCAGGCCCAACAACGAATCTTTCGTGCTCGTGGCCTTGGGGGGAGCCGGATCAGACTTGGGAGGGACGACCTTTCCGGGCTGCGGGCCGGCGGTGCTTGCCCGGGGGATGGGATCACCGCCGATAAGATCGACCTGCGGCTGCGGGGCAGCGATGCTCCTGGGAGGGGCGGCGGACTTGCCAACCGAACTCTTGCGAACCGACTCCCGCCTCTCCACGTTCTGCTTCTCCTTCACGATGCTCAGGGGCACATCGTCGTCGCCGTCGGCGTCCAGAGTGGCGGGGTCGGGAATGGGGCCGTCCATCTTCCATCTCTTGAGTTCGTACTTGGTGCGGATAAAGTTCTCAATCTTGGATTCGGAGGGAACGTGGCCGGGCGCCAGCTTGGCCTCCCAGTACTTGTTTGCGCGCGCATTGCCCCAGCTGAGGATGCTCTGGAGTTGTTCGTCGGTCCAGGAATCGAGGTCGACGGACTTGACTCTGCTGATGTGTGTGCCCATGCCGCGGTGGATGCCCGAACAACGAATGCAGATAAAGACACCGAGGTTCCAACTGGCCCATCGCGGGTCTGTCGTAGCGCGAGAGTCAGCGGACAGACTTGAGTGGTCGGGGATCAGACGACGGAAAAAGACTCACGTTTGTTTCTCTTGCAGTCAGAGCAGACTTTGTTGCACTCCAGCTTCAACAGACTCTTGATGGTCTGCGAGTTTTGGGCCGCTCTTTCGGCGGCGGGATTGGGCGGCGGTCTTCGAGACATGGTGGCCTTTGTTCGAATGCGCGAGTTGAAGAATGGGTTGTTCGGATTGAGGCGAGCGATTGGAGTTGCAAATCGGCGGGCGAGGTGTTGTAGTCGTAGCAGGTGCGATCGGAGAAAGGGGAGGAGGGCGCAAGATCGCAAAGATGACCTGTCGGTTGGGTCTTAAACGTCGTGTGCCTGGGATTAATATTATGAATTAACCGTATCCACGCGGCGCTGATACCAGCCAGGTAAGGGGCAACTGGGGGTCGAGACTGTACAAATCGTCCCTGCCTAAGGCAGTGATGACGGCAGTGGAGGTGGGGTCCTATTCGCTGTGGCTTTCACCTCTCAGCTTGCAGTGGCCACTGGACGGCTGCGGAAATACTGCAAAGTGCCTACCTAGCAGACGGGAATGGCCGGACAGGTGGCGGTAGCATTTGACAGGTGCCACTCAGTGGCCTACCGAATTGTCACTGGACCACTTACACATGTAACACTCAATGCCTTCAAAGCGTTTTATTCTCGGTTTATTTGACCTTCATTCACGTCTTAATCGCAGCTCACTTCTCCGTCTTTCAACCAGTCAAGACCAGAGGAAACACATCGTTACAACAACCCAAAAGGCGCAAGGCTTGGCGGCGGTCTTGGCCACAGCACGCTCTGACCTGCCAGCATAGTTTGGAAGATGGAAGGTTCTGTGTGGAAGAACCAAATAAACATCAGATAACGGATCTAAGATTCAATCTCGTACTCGAATCGGATTCCCTCAATGTGGTGAAATTCTGTCATTTTGATATCATCAACAGCCCAGGCACACAGGCAACGGGATTTCCAACCAATGGTGATCCATCGCATGCTCAGCAGACAACTGTGACTGCATCAGGATTACCGGTGCCTACACACGGCCTTTAGAACTAAAATGCTGCCTACCATAGTCAATATTCAAGAAACGCAAGACTTGCTGACCTGGCTTCTTTATCACTACAGGCAACTCCCCCCCTCAAAAAAGAGGCCAACTTTCGGAACTGGTTCATTGGGTTATGGGCTCCATGACACGTCTACGATTCTACTAACTCGCTCCAACTTCGGACTCCGAGGACCAAACCTTTTGGGTCACAATTTGCTATTGATTGAATTGTCACTGTTGGCATAAACTCCGAGCACGGCGACTTTTAATCACACATCCTTAGTACGGTAAGATGACGATCACTGGAGTAGAGTCAAGTCTCCCATCCAGGTCCTCATCTTCTGTAGGGAAGACCCTAGAGATGCATATTGTGAATCCAGCTCACAGAAACATCCACCAATCGCGAAAACCGAGACCCTCGAGGACATGGCCGGATCCCTTCCGACTGCTTCTTCATGTTGCAATGAGGCTGCTCCTCCAACGTATAGGGCACCGGCAGCGCTTACCGCAATTGACTCAGCCGGCATCAATGGCCGCACGCAGACCGCTGCCCCAAACATCGATCTCTTCAGGCTGACCAGTGAAGATGCGGGGGCGGGATGCCGCTGCAGTAGTAGAACGTGGGGGAAGTGAGGGGTCGCGCGTCCTCACGCCCAACTTACACTCTAATCCGTCGCATCTTGGTGTATCGCCGGGCGATTCTGCCTCGTCATAGGTAGGGTGTGCTCTTGAACCCGCGTCTGTTCGCCTTGCGACGTGATAGTGCAGCTCCTATTAGCACATACCATTAGCTGGGGGGCTGCCATTGACTGCGTTGAGGGGCTCGATATCGCCTCACGAGTCACTGCCACCTCGGAATAGCTCTCCTCGGATCCGAACGAGACATGCAGCTTCCCGTTCTTTGTAGCTCCCTGGACATCGGACGTGGTCAACGTTGCTATGAGGGGTTTTGAGGGGGTTACTTTGTATAAAAGCTTAGCGGCTGTCGCGTGTGTGATGAAATAAAGTTGATGGTAACCCACGATTACTGGCCAGCCTTCGTTCTGTTCTAGTCAGTATTAACCACTTCGTACCAAGCCAGCCCAATTGAACCAAATACTGCACGCTGTGCCAAACCTTTGCCATGGCACCGTCGGCAATCGAAAAAATAGCTTCGACTATAACCCCTTTTGCGACCGACCGTCCCCGGATTCTGGTCCCTGAGAAGGTGTCTTCCGATGGCCTTGCCCTATTGAAGGACAAGTACGACGTTGACAACCGCACTGGCCTGTCCGCAGACGAGCTTGTCGAAGCGATTCCCAATTACCATGCCCTCATTGTCCGATCCGAGACGAAAGTGAACGCTGCCGTTCTCGCGGCCGGCAGAAAGCTCCGCGTCGTGGCCCGAGCAGGCGTAGGCGTGGATAACATCGATGTGGACGCCGCCACCAATCATGGCATCATCGTCGTAAACTCGCCTGCGGGCAACATTCTCGCCGCAGCAGAGCACACGATTGCCCTCCTCCTCGCAACAGCTCGCAACGTCGGACGCGCGGATACCACGATGAAAGACGGCAAGTGGGAGCGAGGCAAGCTCGTCGGTGTCGAAGTCGGAAACAAGACGCTCGGAATCATTGGGCTCGGCAAAGTGGGTATGAAGGTTGCTCGCATGGCCATTGGCCTTGGGATGAAGGTGAAGGCGGTAGATCCGTACGCCAGCAACGAGATTGCGCGTCAATCCAACGTCGAGCTCGTGGCCGACCTTCAGACGCTCTTGCCGGTAGTCGACTTCCTGACGATCCATACCCCGCTGATGGCCAGTACCCTGGACCTGTTGAAAGAAGAGGAGTTTCAAAAAATGAAAAAGACGGCGCGAGTATTGAACGTCGCTCGAGGAGGCGTGTACAACGAAGCAGCACTCCTGCGAGCCTTGGATGAAGGCTGGATCGCTGGAGCTGGTCTCGACGTGTTCACTTCCGAGCCTCCGAAGGCAGACTCGACGGCAGCCGAACTGACCAAGCACCCGAAGGTGGTTGCAACCCCACATCTGGGAGCGTCGACCGTGGAAGCCCAAGAAAACGTCTCGATGGATGTTTGCACCCAGGTGGCTGAGATTCTCCGAGGCGGTCTCCCAACGGCAGCCGTCAACGCGCCGTTGATCATGCCAGAGGAGTATCGCAAGCTGCAGCCGTTCGTGCGGCTCGTTGAGAAGATGGGTGGGCTGTATACGCAACACTTTGTCGGCAGCAAAGGCGGCATGGTGGGCGGTCGGAGGTTCGAACTGATCTACCAAGGCGACCTAGCAGGCACCTCCAACACCCGACCGCTCTTCGCGGCGTTGGTGAAGGGTCTCGTGTCGTCCATCACCGACTCTGGCGGGCGAGACGTGAACATCGTTAACGCCAGCCTCATCGCCAAGGAGAAGGGCATGATCATCAGCGAGACGCACAGCGGTGAGGCCAAGAACGCGGTGTATGCTAGTCTGGTGACTCTGCGGTCGCACGGCGAGGACGGCGAGCAGGTGATTGAGGGATATGTGTCGGGGCAGAGCATATACATCTCCAAGCTGGACCGTTTCAGTGCGACGTTCCAGCCGCAGGGGACGCTGCTGGTGCTGCACAACTATGACGAGCCGGGCAAGATTGGCGGTGTCGGCACGGCGCTGGGACGGCATGGGATTAACATCACCTTCATGCAGGTGGCCAGCTTGGACGGGGAGGAGAGGAGAGCAGAGGGCGGCAATGAAGCTCTCATGATCTTGGGTGTGAAGGGAGATATTGGTGGTGGAGTTGTGGAGGATTTGCAGCGAGCCGAAGGAATCCTGAATGTGAGCTTGGTGAGGCTGTGAGGAGGTGTCGTTGGTGTGGTGGTGGTGGTGGTGGTGATGATGAGTGTTTATGTGTGTAAGTGAGAGCTTGTCTCTAGGGCGCCCGCAATTGAGGAGAATAAGGTCAAGTGGGTTGCAGTTGCGAGGAGCCACTTGAGCAGCTGCAGGAGCTCTCATTGAGACGTGAGGTGGCCCCCCACGAGTTCGCGGAGCTTGGCAAAGGTTGACATCCTATTGGCGAGTTGAGGGGCTCTCTTGACAAGTTGGAGACTGTTGGCGCAGGGCAGTGCAAGAAAAAAACGCGACCCAGACAAGGCCATTTGAATGCCTAACTAGATAGGTAGACGGGAACCCTGAGCAACAAGGTTTTTGGCAATTTCGCCGATGCAGGTTGTGCCACCATATCTCTCATCATCAAGCCCGCAATTGCGTGTTGCAGAGAGAGTTGACAAGATTGAGCTCGGGTGCCGGCAGAAGGCGGGCAACGCAACGTTGTTTCTGATTGGGTTTCGCCCGGCTCAATGCCTCCGTCGGCTGGTGCAACTCTTGCGACAACCCACAGCCCGGCAAAGGACGGGACGCACGAGAGAAGAAAAAGCAGGTGGCGCGGAGGATTTCTAGAAGGGGGATCGTTCACAGCTCAGGGTCTGTGAGGGAATGACGCAGGGTCCGAGGTTGGTGACAACTCGCTGACTCCATGTCAGTTTGGTCTGGACAGCTCATTGGGCACGTGGGCACTTTTCATGTAAGTGGACACTCAGATAAGGTCGGGTCACTTAAAGGTAGGCCACAGCATGCAAGCCGTTATGTACCTGGATTGTGGACATCTCATCCATGGATGCATAATTTGTACCCCTGCACCACGCGATTAAGGTGAGGTACCTGCTGGCAAGCTGTCCAGAGCCGCCCTCTGAAAGTCGAGAACTCGGGGTCAGGGACAGGCCACTAACAAGGAGCCCCAATCGCGCCGAACTGAATGTTAACCATGACTCCGGGTCGAAAGCTTCTGATCTTGTGTCAGTCAGCACTTTAGCTCTGTCAGACGTGTGTGTCTGTTTATCTCTCGTGTGTCCATGCAGAGCACGACCCGAGATAAGGATTAGTAGTAGGTTGGCCAAGACATGTGCTGTCTGTCTATCGTCTGCTATAGCTACCTTTTAGCTACTTTACCTTAGGTTGTCAGCTTTGGAAAAGACTCAAAGCGACGGGAGGCAGGTATGCACAGCACATTCAATTACCCCGGATTCTGCACAAATGCCTTATGACGAGACATTTTCCGTTCTTGCGCCAAAAGAAAGGCGGGGGGGCCAAGCGAGACGAAGGATGGGCTTTTTGGGTTTCTCGCGCCAGCCGAATAGCCGTCCAGCGCAAGTCCAACAGTGCATGCCAGTCAGATTTAACCCTTGTGTCTACAGCAGAGATACGGATACATGCCACTGCCAGTGCCGGTGCGGGAGGTTGAAGGTCACTGCGGCAATGATGCATCATTCGCGCTCCTCACATCGCTGCAGCCCGCCCCCCTCGACCGTTGATGACGCCAAGCTTGTGCGCCTCCGCAGGTCTTGATTGGCTGGCTGCCCGCCGACAGAGGAAAGCTTCCGGCAGCGAGCACTGGCAGTGGCAGTCGACCTCCACTAACAGACAAACACTGAACAGACCTCTCTGATCTTTTTTTGTTTTTTCTTAATTCTCATCCATCTCCGGTACTTACCTACCGGCCTATGCCTACCTACACCTCAAACACCCAGCTACCGTACCTACAATCCTACGATATTTTCTTCTTCATCGCTCCCCCATTGCTTGCCGACTGCTGCAATACCTGCGCCTCGAACCACCACCCACTGTTGACACCCACCTTGGCTTCCGATCTTGGCTCGTCAGTGGAGCTCACCCGCCTTGCCTGGTGCACACTTGCGTACGCACCGCAGCTGCAGGTAAACACAGAGTGGAGCCGAACCACCCTGAGTGCACCGAGAATCCACCTACAGCCTGAGGTCGTGCTGCCCCGTTTCTCTGTTGCCCGCGTCCGCCGCATAAAATGTGCGCTTGACCTTGCGTCCTCTTCACTCGCACACTCCACGTCTATTACCACGACTACCGAATCTCTCTTCAATTGACGAGCCGACTATGGCCACGACACGGCCGAGAAGCTATGGCGGCTCCTTTGGCACCATCCGCACCGGCGTCCTTGGGATGTCCAGGGCCTTGACCCTGGGCATCTCTTCCGTCGCCGCTGCCCCCATCTACGCGAGAGGCGAAGGCGAATCCGAGGGTCCAGCAGAAGGCGACGATGTCTGGATTCTCTACGTTGCTTCCATGATTCTTGTCCTCGCCGGAGGCGCCTTCGCTGGCTTGACCATTGCGTAAGTTATCAATCCAACTCCTACTACTGATTGCCCCCGTACCTAGTTGCTGACCTTGGCAAAAACAGCCTGATGGGACAGGATAGCATCTACCTCCAGGTTCTGGCTGGCGATCCCGACGAATCCCAATCCAAGAACGCCAAACGCGTCTACGATTTGCTCAAGAAGGGAAAGCATTGGGTTCTGGTTACTTTGCTTTTGTCCAACGTCATCGTCAACGAATCGCTACCTATTGTGTTGGACCGCTGTCTCGGTGGAGGTGTAACCGCCGTTGTTGGCAGTACCATTCTCATCGGTAAGTTTTGCAAATCCCCGACTCCGAGCTAAACATCAGCTAAGCATTTGCGCAGTCATTTTCGGCGAAGTCGTTCCCCAATCCGTCTGCGTCCGTTACGGTCTTCCGATCGGTGGCTTCATGTCCAAGCCGGTGCTCTTGCTCATGTGGCTTATGGCGCCCATTGCTTGGCCCATTGCTAAGCTTCTCGACTGGGCTCTCGGCGAGGACCACGGCACCACATACAAGAAGAGCGGTCTCAAGACGCTTGTCACTCTGCACAAGTCTCTTGGCGCGGCGGGTGAACGTCTGAACCAGGACGAGGTCACCATCATCAGCGCCGTTTTGGACCTGAAGGAAAAGCCTGTCGCGAACGTCATGACCCCCATGGGCGATGTTTTCACCATGGCCGAGGACACCGTGCTTGATGAGAAGACCATGGACATAATTCTGTCCGAGGGCTATTCCCGCATTCCAATTCACGCCACCGGTAAGCCCACCGACTTTGTCGGTATGCTCCTCGTCAAGATCCTCATCACCTACGACCCCGAGGACGCCCTGCAGGTCAAGGACTTTCCTCTCGCCACCCTTCCCGAGACACGCCCCGAGACGAGCTGCTTGGACATTGTCAACTTCTTCCAGGAGGGCAAGTCCCATATGGTCCTTGTTTCCGAGTACCCTGGTGCCGACTATGGTGCCATCGGTGTCGTCACCCTTGAGGACGTCATCGAAGAGCTCATTGGAGAGTGAGTGATCTCTGTCTGGCGCTTCTCATATTGTGCTAACACATTCACAGGGAAATCATCGACGAGTCTGATGTCTATATTGATGTCCACAAAGCCATCCGCCGTTTGACCCCTGCGCCCAAGGCCCGACCCATTAAGCGATCCACCGAGCCGTCGCCCCGGGTGATTCCTGAGAACGGCGATCTCATTGAATTCGATCGCGAACTTCCCCACGAGCGCAATGGCTCTGTCAGTGCTATGAGCGACGCGCCTCAGCACCTGTCCAGCAGCCCCGGAAAGATGACGACCTTCTTGATGCGCAGGAGCTCCGCCGGCCCGGATGGGCGTCTGACCTCGACCGCCGTACCCGTGAAAGCCACCTTCGACGAGGCCAAGCAGCACCTGAAGCACCTTGGTCCTTCGAACCGCGCATCGAACCCCAAGAACACAAAGTCCACTACCGTCAAGATCAAGCCCGTCCAGACTGGTGCACCCCTGCACCAGGTGCATAGCCCTCCGCCTGCATCTGCCGGTCTTCGCCCTGCCTCCGTTGCTGGCGACATTTCCGAGGAAAGGCACGAAGAAGAAAACGAGAACACCCCGCTCATCCGACCCAAGCTTACCGGCAAGGGTGGCGTCCACGCCGTGCGTAGGAGCTACGGCGTCGCGGGCATGAGCGACACTCAGGCCAGGCTCGCCAGCAGCTCACCTCACCACGAAGACGACAAGGCAGCCGATCAGGTGGACTTGCCTCCGACTGTGCCTGAGAATGGCAGCAGCCCCGAGGCTACTCGCGGCGGCAGCCCCGAGGCCAGCCGCACGGATTTGACGATTATTGTTTCACCCGGGAAGGCCAGTAACTCGCCCAGCGTCACCAGCGTCATTGAGGACGGATCCTCGACTCCCAAGCGTAGGCCTCTTGTTCGAAGCGGTAGTATCAGCGAGAACGTGGTTGAGACAAGTAGTGGTGTGCGAAAGATCATCATCCAGGCCGCTAGCTCCGACTCGGAGGACAACGGATCTAAGGGCTCCTCTGGCCACCGCTCGCGTACCACTAGCCAGTCCAACATCCTGTCTAGTCAGGAATCCGAGGAACACGACGAGAATGAACACGGCGAAGCATCAAGTACAGCGCCGAGTACAAGTACTGGTGGCCAACAAGCCAGCAAAAAGAAGAACAGACGGAAGAAGAGAAAGGGTAACAAATAGAGGAAACGTGCGTAGGGGTTCGTCGAATTTCGTGCTTGTATGATATCGATAGTAATTTGAGCGGCTACCACGGTACGCCTTTTCTGTAACCTATACAACGGCACCGCGCATATTACACACCATCGCATCAATCTGGTATTCAATATTTATCATCAAATTTTTGTATTCTTGTCGTATGTGATGTGTGAACCCAGCATCCGGGGCTCTCTATATCCAAACATTACCCATCCTTCCTTCTCTTCAGTCGTACCAGATGGCGTTCATGCCGAAACCAGGCTCAGGGATGCGCAACCTCGCGACGCGGCCCAGGAACTCGTCGTGCCAGCGGTAGATCTCGATCCAGCCCTCCTGGTCGTCGGTGATGGCCAGCCACTCGTCGCTCCAGTCGCACGGGCTGACGGCGTTGCTGTGTCCGCCGCTCGTCGGGGTGGGGTTGAGGCAGATCTGCCTCTCAATGTGGCCGTTGTCGTCGAGCTTGAAGGCGGCGATGTAGCCGGTCACGTCGAAGCTGTTGGAGCGCGCGGTGGCGAAGAGGTACTTGCCGCTGTGGGAGAGGGTGCAGACGTCGGAGCGGTACATTTTGCTGTTGGCGCCGGGGATGCCCGGAGGGATGAGGGGGAAGGCGCGGTGGGTGTAGACGGGCAGCTTGGTGGCGGGGTCGATCACGTACTCGCAGAGGCGGTTGCCGGCCTCCATGAGGGCGTAGAGGTACGCGCCGGAGGGGTGGAGGGCGACCCAGCGGGGGTGGTCGCCGGGGTCCGGGGCGTCGACGGAGCCGACGAGGTCGAGCTCGGGGGAGTCGGGGGCACGCTTCTTGTGGACCCAGAGCTTGTTGGCGGTCAGGTCGGCGGAGTAGAGGTAGGTTTCCGTGGGGTCGAAGACCATGCCGTGGATACCGGTGTTGTGGTCGTAGGGGTAGTTCTGGACGTTGGTCTCGAGCTTGCCGGTGGGGGAGACGGAGAAGATGTTGCCGTGGGAGGCGTGCTTGTAGAAGGGGTTGCAGTAGACGGCGTAGGGCGGCTTTTGGGCCGCGAGGAGGAAGATTGCGCGGGTGTTTGTTGTTGAGAGGGCGGCGTTGGCTGTGGGGGACGGGTGTTAGTGATGAGTTTCTGGGAGACGAGGTGAAGGTGAGCATACGGTCATGGGTCATGTCGTGAGAGGCCTCGTGGATAATCTCAGAGGGGCTCTTGACGGCGAAGCTGGACCACTTCTTCATGGCGGCGCCGTAGAGGTTCTTCTTGTCATGCTGCGGACGGGTTGTGTAAGCCAATTGGTTAATGGCAGACAGACACTCCGAAAGGAGAGAGGGTTCAGTCACTCACGCTGAAGGTCATCCATGATATGGGCTGTTCCTGGGGGATCTCGGTGCGCTTGACGAGCTCGAGGGTGAACTTTTCGTCGTCAAAGGCGACGGTGAAGATGGCACCCGGGGGCGTCCAGGTGCCGATCATGAGGTGGTGGATGGTCATTCTGAGCGGCGTTGTCGAGAAGGACCTGGTGTATGTAGATGCCCGATGACGTGTGAAGAGGCGGGATGTTCTCGACAGGAGCATGGGCTGGATGCGTCACTGAGGCGCGAAAGGATGTAAGAGAGGAAACACGTGAAATGGGATGGGGGAAAAAAGGGAAGAGGAGGGAAAAAAGAGAAAAGTCGCGTGTGGTTTTACGGTTCGGAATGACTAGGAGCGAGGGTTACCGGGGAGTCCCACCGAAGCAGCAGTACCTTAGAGCTCCGTCCTAGCTGGCTAATGATTATGAGAGGTTTCCACCTTGCATCGCAAAGCTCTTCTGGCCAGAGAAGGGGGAGAAGAAAGAAGCTCTCTCATGCTGCCCCTCGTTTCCGAACCCCGGACGACGAGGGGCAGCGGTTGGCATGCGCTTGGAGAAGGGCGACCCGCTGGGATGTGGGGTTTTTGGAGAGTTGGAGGGGCCGTTCGGGAGATGTGGCGGTAATTGGGTGCTGAGAGGTCGCTTTCCGGCAGAGTGTTCTTCCTCCGCCTGAGCTGGGTTGTCTTTCGCCCTAGAGACGTTGCTGCCGTGCCGTCTCCAGGAATTATGATTTCACGGTCCGGTGGTGATGGGTGGATTATAATCAGACGAGGCTGGTTCGTTCGATTTGATCGGGGCTTCTCATAATGTGTATGTCAACATGTACTGTATGAGTAGGTTGACAGCGGCGATCATCTGAAGTATGTTTTTCTCTGTCTTCAATTGGAGTTACCCAAGGCTCGGCCGGCATTGGTGTCATGATTCGAAATTCATGGCCCAGCGAGCGGTGAGGAACCTCTTGCAAGCTGCGTTTCTCCCCGTACCCACGGCGACACGGCAGTGACACCCGGCTGCTGGACAGGAACTTGTCGGTCGAAAAGACTCCGTCAGCGGAGCCATGGCTAGTCAGTCTTCCGAGGTTCTCATTGTATCCCCACCCAAACCCCCTGTTCCCCCGGGTTCTCCATCTTAGCTTCGCAAGTGTGGTTGAAGCCAGCCACTCAGGTTCGGGCAGAGACAAATAGCAGTGTGGTGGGGAGCAAAGACGCTCGCTACCTAGAGGAACTCATCTCATAAGAAGTTGTGTGCGTGAGACAATCGAAGACTTCGCCGTCGACAACTTCAAGCATATGTTCAACGGCATCGGCATAAACCAGCATTTGAATTGACTTTCTTCCCCTGCAACGTTGGCTCGTGTGTCTTGTCTTGGGTGATTCGAGGGTGGTTCCATTGCGACCCGCCATACACAAAGTTTAACACACTTCGCAAGTATTAATCAACTCAATGCTTCCGTTCCGTTGCCCGTTGCGATGTTTTGGTCTGTTCTGTGATTTCGGTGTTTTGCCTACTTTTAAGCTCTGATTGCAACATGTTGGTCGCATCTTCTTCAAGAACACTCGTGTTTAGTTGCCGTCAAGCTGCAACACGTAGTCTTCGTCAACGGCCGCAACTCACAACCCTCTTGTCACTAACACAACCCTGCGCAAGATGGACTTCGAGTGCGACAAAAGATGGCGCCGGCAACAAACAGCCTCCAGCCCATAGATTTGACCCTAAATTCACCCAACGTGTCATCGATACCATGGGTCCCAACGTGACCCCTCGAAACCGACAGATCATGAGCTCCTTCATCCGCCACCTTCACGATTTCACGCGCGAAGTCGAGTTGACGATGGATGAATGGATGACGGCTGTCCATTTCGTCAACTTCGTGGGTCAGATATCGAACAAGACTCGCAACGAAGCCCATCGCGTGTCTGACATCCTCGGTCTCGAATCGTGAGTTTGAAGTCATTGCCCAAAATTGAGTCTTGTGATTGACAATAGACTACATAAAGACTCGTTGATGAGATTGCGAACAAAATCGTCACAGAAGGCGACCTCGACCCAACTTCGTCGTCCATTCTCGGTCCCTTCTGGTCGCCTGATGCGCCCTTCCGTGAGCTGGGCGACAGCATCATCCAAGATCCAGCGCCTGGCGGTCGGGTTTGTAAGATGCACGGCACCATCACCGATCTCAGCACGGGGAAGGGCATCGAAGGAGCGGTGTTTGACATTTGGCAGGCGTCGTCGAACGGCCGCTATGATTTCCAGGACCCGGAGAACCAAACGCCCAACAACCTTCGAGGCAAATTCCGCGCGGATGAGGAGGGAAGATACTGGTTTTATTGCTACCATCCGACGGCGTACAGTCTTCCCCGCGATGGACCTAGTTTCAAGCTGTTGAACATGATGGATCGGCACCCGATGCGGCCGGCGCATATTCATATAATGGTGAGTAGCATGTTTCCCTGAAGTGATTCAAGGTGGTAAGCTTACGCGATGGAAACAGGTCACACATCCAAAATTCAGGGGATGCACCACCCAGCTGTACCCCAACGACGATCCCTGGCTCTCAACCGACACCGTCTTCGCAGTCAAGGACGATCTCTTGTGCGACTTCAAACCTCTCAAGGGCGACGACAAGGCTGAGCTCGAACTCGAGTACAACGTCATCCTCGCTCCAAGGGATTACAAGGCCAAGAACACATAACCCAGCCCGCAGGATCAGGCCCTGGGCACTTGGCCCTGTGGTTGCTGATCTCCAATTCTTAGCCAATTTTCCAGTATGTCTTACACAAATTACACAAATGATTTAGCATGGCCAATAGAAACACACGAGATGTCTCCTGCAAGTAAGCCTCGGAGGAAGCCTGGGAGGCGCATGCTGCAGGCGTGTTAGACAAGGCCTCGCTTAGTGCTGCTGAAGTCGAGACCAACACGCATGTTGCCAATGCCAAGTTCATCATTCTGTCCCCGTTCATCCACTTTCTCTGCTTGATTTGATTCGATTGATGCTCTCTCGTCACGATTGGCGCAACTCATGATGGAAACAGTGGAAGATACCATTGAAGGCCTTTGGTCTTTCTCAGACCACAGCGACCGGCACCATCAAAACGTCGAAGTCACGCATCCAGAGACGTGTCAGTGGGTATTTGGCAACTCGACGTACCATGAGTGGGAACAGGACGAAGGCAGAGCTCTTTTTATTACAGGCCCTCCGGGCATAGGAAAGTCATTCCTAGCGTCTGCAGTCATCGAAGAGCTCCGTGGGCTGAGATCAGTCGCGTACTTCTTTTGCGACCAGTCACCCGCCGCGACAGCTGATTCCTTTTACAAATGCATCCTAGCACATCTTGCGGGGGATATTGGCGCCAGTACAGACGTCCTGTCCCAACTGCAACTTTTGGTCAAAGAGGCTGGTGAGAGTGTTCTTGACGAGGGCCAAAGGCGATTTGCCTTGGATCTAGTAAGACGCAAGAATGGCTACCAGAAAAGTCCCTGTTTGATCATTGACGGGATACATGAGCTGAGAGACGACAGCTTGCTACATCTAATCTCGGCGGTTCGAATGCTTCAAGACGAGTACGACTTCAACATTCTGATCACTTCAAGATGCATATTTCCGCAGCTGGAGGTCCTCGATTCCGCCGGCACCCTGGAGATTACCAGTAAAGACACTGACGATGACTTGACACGATACGTCAAGCATCGTCTTGAAGACAACGAAGAGTTGTGGCATAGATCGGCAGAGTTTGTGCCCTCTATAATACAAGGTGCGGAGGGAATGTGAGTATCCCCTAAATTACAAAGAAAAGGCAGCTAAAAGTTCCCAGATTCTTGTTCGCAACGCAGATCGTGGACTGCGTGCTAGAAACGTCGAACAACTCAGACGCCCGAAGCCCCGACGCGTGGAAGACCTTGGGCAGCAGCCTCAACACTCTCTTCGACAGGCTTCTGGACAACATCTTGAATAGACCGGATGCCAGCACTGCTTCATGCGCATTCAACTGGCTGGTCTACACTGAAAGGCCACTCTCGATGCGAGAGCTTCAACATGCGTTGGCTGCCAATGCCACAAGGCACCTCTGGAACACGAAAGAGCCTCTCCACCAGGCCGTCGAGCCTCTGTATCACACCGTCAATCCCAAGAAAATCTTATCGGCTCTGAGAGGGCTTGTACAAGTCGACAAGGGCACAGGAGTCGTTCGATTCTTTCACTCGGCGGCGGGAGAGTACTTCCGACAGCACGCTGAGCGGTTCCCGAACGCGCAGGAGATGATCACTGAGGCTTGTGTCAGAATACTGGCATTTGCGTGTCTTCCATGTGAGTAAGATTTCCTTCTCATGGTAGAGTACTTTTTCGCTCGGCTACTGTATCTTTATTGGACGACGACATTCATGACTACCTACGGAGAAGGCGACAAGGAACAATGAGCACACTCTTCCCAATCGACTGTCTCTGGCTCGGAAACAAATGTTCTACCCAGGAAACATACTTATCTCTTCCTCTACAGCTCCGAGCGAAGCCAACTGGGTTATCGAAGACTCTTCAAATGAGCCCAAAAGACCATCCTCAAAGTCATCCCACAACGAACCCGAGTCATCCGAGGCGACCTCCGAGAAGGCTTCATCCCGCAGTCCCTGGCTCCCTCGCATGATGGATAAGTTATACCACTCATCTCAGTCGTACTCTAACTCCTACCGGCCGCAGCACAACCCGTTCCAGGTCAAGCTACAGATGCCGGCCAACCAGGGTTTCTTCAGGTCAGGTAGGGAATACGAGGAGAAACTGCATGTACAGCCGCTGCTCCAGTATGCCGCATGCAACTGGGGTTATCATGCACGATCGTGCCCCATGGATGACAACATCATGGACCTCTTGCAAGACCGGGTCAGACTTGATGGAATATGCCAGACGCTCACATACGAGCACAGTGGCTACAACCCGAAGTTCCCCAGAGATGTAACTGGGCTTCATCTGGCGGCCTACTTCGGACTCAAAGACGCAGCGATCCGTCTTTTAGACGCTGGGGTTCCTGCGAGCTCGAGAGATAGTTATGGCGAGACACCGCTATGGTGGGCAGCCAAACACTACCAAGAAGAAGTAGCGCGGTTGCTCAGTGAGAAGGACAAGGTCACGCTCCACCTCCTCATCCGCGCGAAGCAGACTTCTCTGGTCGAGTTCCTGCTCGATGTCGGGTACAACGTCAACACGACCGACATCGAGAAGTGGACGCCACTGCACGCTGCGACGAAGGAGAAGGATGTCGAGATGGCAGAGCGGCTAATCCAAGCCGGGGCCGATGTCGACGCCACGGATGTCAACGGGACGCGGCCGCTCAGTCTAGCCATGGAGATGCGCAACTATGAGCTCATCCATATGCTGGTGGCCAACCAGGCTGACACGAAGGACCTTGATCTAGGAAAGATCCGAACAGTGTTTGGTCTGCAGGCCGGCGACTCTCTTGAGATATACGAGGACAGGCATCATGGCACGAAGATTATGAGGCAGATTCCGAGGGAGTTCTCGTGGACGTCGGTTATGCAAGCTGACACTGGACGCTACTCCATGTAAGTGAACGGTGCAAATGAGAAACTGAGTTTGGCCTTTTAAGCTCACTGGTATCACAGGAACCTCTCGAAGTTGACCAAGAAGATTCCTGGTCTTGAGGAGCTGGGGCTTGACCACCTGTTGGGCTTCAAGAGAGAGAAATCGGTGCCGTTTGTGCTTCGCGTAGAATAGCTCACGGAGACCACACAGGAAGGAAGTGTTTGGATTTATTACCTGGAGATCGCGCTGCCATCAGCAGGTCGCGACCATGAGATTCACATTTGTTGGAATGTGACGTCCCACACCGACAAAAATGGGCTGCAATCCTGGCGAACAACTGCGCATTTGAGCAACCTGCAGAGGCTCTGGTTGCCTGAAAAAGGCATCGAGCTTTTTCAAAGTTTAGTCTCGGAGGTTCAGAAGCGGTGGAGCTCCATTGTCAGGAATACCATCAACAACATAAACGGACAGGTATGCACTCGAACCTTCTTGGGATATTCGATTTCGGGCTAACAAGGAGAAAGCGACGCGGTGAGGTTTTGGAGGCAAACGGCAGTGATCCGAACCTCCTAGGCACGTTGCTGAAAGACGCATTGAGACCCGTCCACTATCGACGCCGGTTACAGACCACCGTTACCGAGGCACAAAAGTTTGCGACTGATTACTGCAACCGCCATGACGAGGTTGCCGACCTTGACGGGCTTCTGAAGCAGATCGAGACGTTCTCTGACGATGTTGGTAACTATATCGGTCAATTAGATCAAATCACGAGGGATCTGATTCAAATGGTAAGTGCATATGCTGTATCTGTCAACACAAGTCACACTGATTTTGAAACATCCAGGAATTCAACCTGGTCTCTATCAATGAGGCGCGCCAGTCAGTGAAGATGGCGGCGAGCTTGAAGAGATTGAGTTGGATCACGGTGAGTAAATTTATGTGCACTAGGGGGCTGTGAATACTAACCGCATGTCTAGTTCATTTTTTTACCTCTGACCTTCATAGCAGTAAGTGATCCCGTTCGTACGCTCCATGAACACATACCAATCTGATGTATTCACAGACCTGTTTTGGTATGAACATTGATATCCTAGAAACTGAACCCCCGTGGTATTACTATCTTCCCTTTGCCGGGGTCACAATCTTTCTCACTTCGGCGGTGTGGCTCCTCTTCAAGTACAGCAGGGTAAGCATCTGTTTGTCTCTTTCTTGATCACGCCTCACTGACACATCGAAAACCAGTTGGAGGATAGCATCGAAAGGGTAATGGGTTCGGTGCTCACGAGGAAGCAAGCCGATAACGACGGAAGACAAATGTTCCATTTTTGAAAGTTTGATCACACTCAGGACTCATGTTCGGTATCTGAAGAAAGGGGTATCATTGATTATGATTACAATAATGGAGCTGCGATATCCGCATGTTGTACAAGAAAATGTGCCACTAGTCTTACACTCTCAACATTTCCGGCTCAGTCAGACGTAGTAGATGAGCGCTCATACAAAGCCTTGAACGCCGAATTCCTCCCAAGGAGCTCTTTCGGTCTGCCATACTCGATCAGTTCACCGGCATCAACGACCGCAACTCTGTCAAAGTCCACAATGGATTCCAGTTTGTGTGCGATGGCGATGATGGTCCAGTCCTGGAACCAGGATCGCAAGACTTCATCAATGACGTGACTTGACTCGTCATTCAAACTGTGTAAAAACGTCAGCGATTTGATAAGTTTGGAGACAAATAGCACGATCACGCACCTGCTCGTGATCTCATCGAGAATCAGGACCTTGCCCTTCCGCAGCATGGCTCTGGCAAAGACCAAAAGCTGCGCCTCGCCCTGCGAAAAGAATTTGTCGTCAATTAGGGAATCGAGGCCGCCTCGTTCCTCGACCTTGCCCCAGAGCTGCACCTTCTCGAGGGCCTCGATGACATCAGAGTCTGGCACGGTCTCGGTCGGGTCGATATTGAGCCGCACGCTGCCATCGAAGATGTACGACTCCTGCGGCACGGCGACGAGATGGGAGCGTACGTATTCGTGGGGAAGGGTGGACAGGTCGATGCCGTCGATGATGATGGAACCGCCGTCTAGATCGAGCATGCGGAGGAGGGACAGCACTATGGAACTTTTGCCGCTATTGGTCGTGTTAGACACATGGTGATTGAACTAAGGACGGGGTCAATTGCTCACCTGCCGGTTCGTCCACAAATGGCGACTTTTTGTCCAGGTTCAATAGACATGGAGATGCCTTTGAGAACGGCGCCCCCTGACCTAGAGATGAAGTCAGTGTCAAATCCATTTCGCTGCAACGAGACGGACTTACAAATACGATGCAGTAACATCCCGAAGCTCGACAGCCCCGTGACCAGGCCACTCTCCATCCGGCTCACGGAGCTCATGCGAGGCACCCTCAGGCTTCGTGTTGGTAGCAAAGTTCCTCACCCTAGCCACCGCACCCAGCGACACCTCGAGCATAACCCAAGACGTAATCAGCGCCTTGATCACGCCGCTGAAGGAGAGAACATTGTTCAAAGCAATACCGATGAACGCAGGCCCGATCTGCTCTCGGAGAGTAGTCACGAGGACGATCAGGATCAAAGCGATGACTGTAATAGTCATGTCCACAGCGAAAGTCAGCCATCGCTGGAGGCAGCTGAGGAGATAGCTGGGCCGCTGCGAGTCATCCAGGCGATGCATATTAGCCGCCTCGAAAGCGTCTTCCCATTTGAATGCTCTGATGGTAGCGAGACCCTCCAGAGTTTCGATTAGCTGCGTGTAGAGGGGCGCCTTGTGCTCAATATCGAGAAGGCGCATCTGGCGGGAGGTGCGCAGGTAGAAGTGCTGGAGCGCGTAGAAGGCGGGGACGAGGAAGGGGAGGATGACGGCCATGTAGCGGGAGGACACGGACATCATGACGAAGCGGGCGATGCCGAAGACGACGCCGACGGCGACGCCGAGAGCGGCGGCGGGGAGCTCCATGTCGATGAGCTGGAGGTCTTGGCTGAAGCGGTTGACGGTGACGCCGCTGTCGACGGAGCTGTGGAATGTCATGGGAGCGCTGGACTTGTTAGTTTCGATGAGTCAAGTGTAGGGGATGACTTACCGTGATGTAGTCTCCAGAAGAACGCTGTGGAAGTAGACGCCAGAGTGGTTTATGATGATGATGAAGAGAAACCTGTCGCGAGAGGTTAGCAGGAGCAGTGGTCGCGGCAAAGAGGTATCCGTACCATATACTGATAAAGAACGAGACAATCGATCCCACGCCGAGAGCGGCGTAAACGCCCACCCACTTGCCGAGATCTTGGTTGGGTCTCTGTTCGTTTGCCTCTGTCCACCATTTGAGCCAGATGTCTGCAGAGCTCTGGATTAGTGATTGGAAGACGGTGGATAAATGGTGGCCAAGGCTTTACCGGGGAAGGAGTCGAAGAATGCAAACACGACCATAAAGCCGGCAAACATTGACAGGCTAAACCATCCCGCCGCTTTGGCATAGAAGCTGTACATGGCCCAGTCGCCGAGTTGACGGGTTGCATCCGCCTGTTTCTCCAGCGCGTTGATGACCGCCTCGGGGGGCTTTTCATTCCCCAGACCAGATGTATCTATGGTGGCGTCTTTCAAATTATTTGACACAACGTTTGATTTTACTAAGCTGGAGAGTTGGCTGGCCGTAGACGCGAGTTCTGCGGCTTTGATTTGGCCGTCATCGTTGAGGAATACCACATCGTCGGCAAAGGGTAAGCGATGGGCTTTAAATTTTGTGTCAGCTAATACGTGACGCAAGGAACAGAGGCGGTAACTGACAGTCTGATGAGACTAGGATGACGGTCGTGTCATTGTTACGAAGCAAGCCGTTGCTACCAAGTAGGTTGCCGAACACGATTTCCTCTGTGCCAGAGTCAAGACCGCTAAAGACATCATCAAGTAGAAGAAGCTCTTGGCGTGCATACAAAGCTCTGGCAATGGCCTGTGATGGTTTAGCAGGGTGTTTTCACTAGTGAAAGGAAAGGAAGGAGCGTACCAAGCGATGCTTCTGACCCCCGCTCATGGAGATGCCCTTCGTCCCAGCTACTGTTCCGTCGCCATTTGGCCAGCTCGCGATGTCCTGTTCGAGGGCACATGCAGTAATCACTCTCCTGTACCAAGACTCGTCAAAGGCGCCGTGGCCGATGACGATATCACGCACCGTAGCGTTTGGAATCCAGGCCGATTGACCGCAGTAGGTAGCCCCTGAGAAGTTGGTACGGATGATACCCCTGAAAGACGAAAGTTCACCTAGGAGAGCTTTGAGTAGCGTCGACTTGCCGCACCCAACGGGCCCCAGAACTAACGTGAACGCCCGACGTCTAATGCTCCAAGATTCAATGTCAATGACAGGTTTGGCATCGTCAGACCAAGAAAAGGACCCCTTCACGGAGGCGACGACGTTCTGTGGGAGGCTTTCACTGCGTGTTTCGGATTTACAGACCTCTGCGAGCTCAACGTCCTGAATCGGCGGGGAAATTTTCATTGAGGTCTCTGGAGTTATGAGAGGTTTCGAGCGCCTCTTCTCGCTTATTGTGGCCACTCTGGTGTCGGCCCTCTCCTTTCCGTTCAGGAAGTCCTGGATGCGCTGGAAAGAAGTGACCGCAGTCGCCGTGATGGGCAGAGCCATGATGATGCCCGCCAGAGGCTGGTTCACCAGTGTCAAGATGGAAATGGCCGTGAAGGCTTTGGAGATTGTCAAGACATCGTCCGATCCAGAGGCGATTCCCGCAAATGTGCCGAGCGTGAGGATCGGAGACCATATCGGGGTGCAAATCACTTTTCTGCGTGTAAGTTGCCACGAGCAGTTCACAACTAGACAGGTGTGGACTTACTCAACATCATGGAGATGCCAAGGAGGACTCTGTACCTCTTGGACACGACCAACTCGGTGCTGCGGAGGTTCTGTATGACGGAGAATGCCACATCATTGAGGCCGGATACCTTGAGCCACTTGATGCTGCCGAGGGTCTTGGAGGTCGTCGTGACCCGGTCCTGCGAAGCCTTGATCCATTGCGCGGATGCTTTACCCGTAGGAACTGCCAAGAATCCCATCAAGATTATGGTGGCTTCAAGCCGGTTAGCTGTCACATCCGTGGAAGAATAGTAATGAAACTACTGTACCAAACACGAGAGCGACTGGCATGGCACACGCGGCGCCAAGCTGCCTGTAGATCAAGTAGATGCCGATGCCGATCTCGACGAGACCACCCCATATCTCGTGTAGCTGGTTGACGCCCTGGCTGATCTGCTCGCTATCGGTCCCGACCAACGTCAGCGCACCCGCAGGGCTGACGTTGGGCGAAGTCAAATCCAAACGCAGCGCCTTCTGATAGATGAGGGCGGTGGTGCTGCCCCTCAGCATGGCGGCCGTACGATGCGTCCGCCACTCATACTGGCCCGTCGAAACCTGCAACGCAGCGTGTTAGTTACTTACAACAGAGAGCCATCGAAGGATCCAAATTTGGACATCCAGTTCTAGAACTCCCTTCCGAACAAACTCACTGCAATACCGGTGTAGACGAGGACGTAAGCGCCTATCAAGCCAAAACCGCGATTGCGGTATTCCCGGGTCTGGGGCAGGCCGGCGAGCTCGATGGCCTGCTGGATGAGCAGCGGCTGTGCGTAGTTGAAGCTGATCTGGAAGAGTTTCGGAACGACGGCCGCGGACATGGGTCCCGCGAACACGCGGAGCCAGGTGCTGAACAGAGCGCCGGGCCTGGTCTTGTCGGGGACTTTTCATGTTGGCAGATAGATTAGCCCGCGGAAAGATCTTTCTCGGCCCTACGACGTTGACGTGGCCGTGGCAGCGGGGAATTAATTACCTTGGTCCCACGCGTCCGCGAGTTTCTTGTAGAGCGGCTCGGAAGCCAGCTTCGGGTCGAGGGGGTACAGGTCTTCTAGCTTGAGGATGTTTCTGTACCCGTTGATGAAGAGTGACGTCAGCCAGAAAAAGACGGAGCGGTTGAAGGTGCCGCTGGTCACTTCCTTGGAATATCCTTTGTGCTGCGGGACCAGGATGCGGCGCTTCTCGGTCGACTCAAGCAGGATCATCACGGCCCTCAAGGCCAGCGTGCAGGTGAAGATGGCCGGGATGGTCTGGTTCGGGCCAAGCATCCACAGAGTGCGAGCACGGGCGGTGTCCAGCAAGACGGACAGAAAGAGGTACGTCGAGAGGACGAAGGACGGCCTCACGGACCGGTCGTGTTCGAGCCATGATAGCAAGCCGACTCCCAGCGAGGCGAGCAGACCTAGAACAGCAGCTGGAATCGTTGCTCGGGTGTGCGTGATGGCGGCAGACGAAGTGGTGGCCCAGAGAACGAGTAGAGCAAGGTTGAGGGCTACCAAGCAGACGGATGTACACTTATTTTGCACGCTTTTCGTCAGCTAGAACACCCGAGGGGGAATTGACAGGAAAGTCAAATTTGTTTGCGGCGGCAGAACGAACAGCTTTGAGAGCACGCTGGGTGCTGGCAACGACCTTGACATCGGCCCCGGCGAGGCGCAGGGCGCAGGCGGGAAGGACCAGCAGCAGCAGACAATGCAGGGGAACCGCGAGAACGGCCTCCTCGAACAGCAGCGTAAAGTCGAAGCCGCCCCGGCACTCGTCTCCGGCCCACGGGCCGAGAGAGTCATCGACGCCGGCGGGACAAGCCGGTTGCGGGCCCCACATGTGCGAGCGACGGCACGCTAACAACGGGACAGCGGCTTCACCTCGTGTTTCAAGAGACTGAAAAGGGGAGGGGGAGCGAGATTTACTTCAGGAGCGGTACCCGTAGCAGATCTCTTTTTTCTTCAAACAAAACAACGACCGAATGTAACGTTTTGCTACTTCGTTTACTCGAGGTCTCTTCGTCGCGAGTAATTTGGGGTCCGTTGGTAAAAGAGAAGGGAGTGTCACAATTGCTTCACTGAGAGATGGGATTTCAGGTTTCCCTCGGGTTAAAAGGAGAAAACGGCTCAAACGAAAGATCTTTTTTGAGTCAGAATCTGTTGGAACAGCATGGCAGAAAGGCAGGCCATCATGCAGCCGCCGTATTTTGCGAATTGCAATTGCATGCAATCACCGTAATCATAAAGCACCAGCCTTAGGCAGAGCTCGCCATGTTCCGTAGTGTTCCGTCGTTGTGACAGCGCCGCTGCTCCGATGGTGTCGGGTGCCTTTCCAGGATCAGGATCAGGATAATGGACGTCTCGGTAGGCGGCACAGCGCAGGCTGCACAGCCACCCTGCCAATTGCCTAAAGCGGTAGCGGTCTCATCTTTTGCCTGATGGACCAGATGACACTCTCCGTCTGTCTACCTGCATACACAACGGTACAAAGCGCGAGAGCGTCGGGTAAGAAAAGGGACGAAGAGGCTGGATGCCTAGAACACCCCCGAAAATAAGGCAGCGTTGCGCGGGAAAAGTACAGCATCAGACGAGTCGGCATCGGTACTTCGACGTTGGCCGTCCTGTTGCGGGTGTGCAGTGCAGTGCAGTCTGGGTGACGATGACAGTGACGATGATGGACCGGCGGGCGCATCAACTGTCTGAGAACCGTCCGAGTCTTGGGAGGTTCATCTTGATGAGATGACTTTTTGGGATGACCGAGGCTGGTCTCATGTAAGTGCGGGTGGCGTGTGCAAAACGGCGAGGCGAACACCTATCAGCTCGCTCTGAAGATTGGCATAGCACCTTAGGCATAGTCGCTGGGCTTCGGTTCCGGTTTGGCATGTTATCGCCTTCATCAGTCGTCTGAAGTCGTGAAGGTGGGTGGGTGGCCGTCTTTTGCTAAATACAGACTCACACGATTCAACCCCAGACAAGCGTTTGCGGAGGATAGAGTCATTTGGAATGGGTGTCTGGTCAGGACTGCTGGCGTTGCCGGCGAACGCCAGCACCTACACGTGGGAACGACGTGAATAAGAAGGGAAGACCCGACCTATTCTGAGGTAGAGGACTCGTCAGCTCCCACGTGACCTTCGTGATGCACTGAGGCCATGACGAGCTGAGCATCACGGCGATGACGGTCGGAGGAATCAGATAGACGGCCGCCACGTGAAGTTGATAGACACGCCAAGACGGGATCCGTTGGGGCATTCCCTCTTCTCGGGTCAGCCAGCACAGCCTGAAAGATGGGCCTTTTCACTGCAAAAAAAGAGGAGATGCTACACGGCAGCGAACTACCCTGAGCACCGCACGGCACGTCTCTCCTCTTCCCTCAGTCTCTCTGTCTCTCTCTCCCATATGGGGGGATGCACCCGGGGGAACCTGTGGCAAAGAGTGGAAAGAGTGGGAAGAGTGGACGCGGTGGATGACCCTCAGCATTCATGCTCTCCTGCGTCTTGGGTGCTGTCTGATTTTCTGGCTCGCCGATCATCGCTGATGTGCTCCCGCCTCCTGATTCTCCATGATTTCCCAAACAGGATCGCAGCACATCCGTTCATCCCCTCCTCGCTAAGAAACTTGGCTTTTTTGTCATTCCCAAGCGCCCCAGTGATCCCCAGAATGTTGCTCGAGGATTTGTGGGATCATATGCCAGGAAGAGAGAAGGGGGAAGTTGCTGGCGGCGCTCGCCTCGGGCGCCGAGGAAAATCTCGACGAGGGACATCGAACCCAAGCATTTGGAAACCGAGCCTCTCTTTTCGGAGGCTGAGACTCGACAAGACCACAAATGAGGCCAGAAGCATCGCCATCGCCGGGGGCTGTTTTCTTGGCTCTTCCATTCTTAGCCTTTTTCTGTGATTCTCTTATTCAGACCGCACCCATTCTCAGCCTCTTGCGAGTCTTGGCCGTGTTGCGCGACCATCTCGACCCCCAACCTTGGTTCATTTCTTCGAGACAGCAGCCCTTGGCATTTCGATGCACGAGTTGAAACACCGTGCTTTCTTCGTTCTCTCTCTCTCTGTCTGTCTCTTCCACAACCTGCCAGGTTTCGCCAGGCTCGACCGGTTTCTGTCCAGGTCAGGCCCAGTGACAGGGGGGGAAGGGGAAGGGGAGGGGGCCCATTTTGCAGCGTCGCCTTTTGTTCTAGCCCTCGGCATTTAATGTAGGAAAAGGGGAATAGGGAACGGACGGGATGGGACGGAATGGCGCAGCAACCGCGGCATTGCAAACAAGCATCTCGCTAGGACGTTGACGGTTGGATGCCCGAATTTTTCTTGATTGCACCAGGCGAGCGAGCAATGTTGCAGCAGAAAGGAGATGACTTGCTACGTTGATCAAGGAAGAAGGACCCCGGCAGGGGACGTCAAAGCCAAGCTTCACCGTATCGGCGCATCGTACAGTAGTGCGGCTCCGAAGACAAGCTCGTGGGGGAGCGTCTTACTTGACACACGCTATCCTACCGCGAACGGCCATCGCAGCCGGTTTACCCAGCTACCCAGTCTGTCTCTATCTCTCTGTGTGTCTGTGTTGCAATCGCAGACGGTAGACGGTAGACCAGCAGGCCGCGGAATCCAGAATTTTCGCCCAAAGAGCAAAGAGCATGCCGCTCTCTTTCGCTTCTGCAACCATCTAGGGGCTTGATCTCCGTCGCGAGAGATCCCCCTGCTTGTCAAGAAACAGCCCAGGGTGCACCGTTGTAATTGTGAAATTTAGACTTTTTCGCTTCGTCCATGCCCTTCCTTCAGACATCATCCATGGCCCAATAACCCACTCTGGCGAGAAGCGGATTGATCATTGGATCATTGGATGAAGAGAGGAGAGAGTGTGTGTGAGTGAGATTGGTGGTTGCAAGAGACAGAAATGGCGTTCGCGACAGCAGCCAAGCGCTCGTGTTGGGCGTGTTTCATCCCAGGTTTGACAACCTGTCCTCCGATCAAACCGCCCAACCCCCAAACCCTTCCCTTCCCAGCAAAGTCCCATATCACGCCCACCCCCGGTGGCTTGTCCCAGCACCCAAGCAATCGCATCATGGTATCGAGTCCCTACTATAGACAGGGCTGGAAGGGTTGCCGACCAACCAATTTGGGCCAGGGTGCATGGTTCTAAGTGCTTGTCGCCGCACCTGGGCAGCCACCGAACACCACTACGGTCTCTACCGTTTCCACCTCCATGTTGTACTGGACCACTCGAACCCCCCCGTTTGCTGCTAACCGTGCCAGAAAGAGTACATCCTCCGCAAATACACAGAGAAAGAGAATGAAGAGAGAGAAACCCGCTACGGCGGGGCCGTTCTGAATCACCAGCCGTCTGATCAACCGTCGCCCTTCCATGGCGGCTCTCTCACCGTGAACCCGGCACCATCAACCGCAGACGCACGGTAGCGATGCCCATCATCAATCGGCTACTTTGTCCAGCTTTTGCTCGTTGCGTCGTATTTTTGGGATATTGCCTCGTCTCCGCTTTCCCCGGCTCACGTCTCCTCCGGGGTGCTGGCGCGACATGGCGCCGTCGTGATGCTTGGCACACGCACATCCCATTCGCTCGCCAACGTCCTTTCCCTCAAACGTCCCTCTCCTCCCCCGTCCGTCTCTGCTCTGGGCCTTCCATCTCGTTGTCCAGACTCCCCTGACTCCACCGCCCCATGGCCCCCCAGCAGACAGGCAGGCGGGAAGGAAGGGGGGTGACATGGAGGAGGAGAACGGCAGAGGAAGAGGAGCATAGGCCAGGCCCATCATCTCTCTTGCACTGCCCTCCCGATGGAGCAGGATCACAAGTCTGTGACATGGCTTGACATGGTGACATTGGGCCTAGATAGTGTTCACCTCATTTGTTTGACAAGACGTCTCAATTCCTTGGCACTGTGACCTCATGGTTGTAGCCAGGGCTCGCCGTCTATTCCGGAGGGGGATCCAGGCACCAGATCCGACTGGGAGATTCGCAGGCAAGCTTATACTCTATATCTATCCCCATCCCGATCCGTTTTCCTTCCTGCCTCTTCTTCTCGGCACTCTTCAGTCCATCAACAACTTTACAATTCTGGTTCAGGTCCTTCTCTTTGGCTGGTCCAGCTTTTTCCTTCATCTCATTTCATTCTCTTTGGTTCTGTGAACCATCTTTTTTCTTGTAGATTTACCAACAAACCGTTTCCTTCTCCCTCCCTCCGCCTTTTTCACACCACACACACACACAATCCTTCAAAATGAAGAGCTCTTTCATCCTCTCCATCGCGGCCATCGCCGCCCAGGTCATCGCCCTCCCCACCCAGACCGAGGAGCGTTCCGTGACCCTGCCCGTCCGCGACGTGGAGTTCGCCGCCAACATCGACGTCCGCCCCAAGCTTCGCCGCGGCCAGAGAGCCGCAGTCACCGACATCGAGGAGCGTGACGTCGCCGAGGACGACGAGACTGGTAAGCATATTGACATTTGTGGTCTTCGAAATCATACGGACAGACCCGACTAACACCTGATATCAGAGGACGACCTCCCCGCCGCTCTCTTCGCCAGGAAGAAGGACAACGCCGCCGCTGCTGGAGGAGCCACCGGAGCCGCTGCAGGCAACGCGACCGCCGGCGCCGGAGGCAAGAAGAAGGGCAAGAAGGCCAAGGCCGCGAAGGCCCAGGGCGCCAACGCCAAGGCCACCGGAAAGAAGGGCAAGAACGCCGCCGCTGGAGGTGCCGCGAACAACGGAACCGCCACTGCCGGAGGCAAGAAGGGCAAGAAGAACAACGCCGCCGCTGCCGCCGATGCGGCTACCGGAGCCAAGGCCAAGGCTAAGGGCAAGAACAACGCCGCCGCCGGAGGTGCCGCCGCTAACAACGGAACCGCCAACGCTGGAGGCAAGAAGAAGGGCAAGAACGCCAACGCCGCCGATGGAGCCACTGGAAAGAAGAACGCTGCCGGTGGCAACAACATCCTCAGCAGCCTTCTCGGTGATGTAAGTCACTCACTCTCATGACGAGAACTCATGCCACTTGATGATGACGGGTGCTAACTCTCTTGCCGCAGCTCACTGGCAACAACAACGCCGCTGCTGGTGGTGCTGGCCAGAACGACCCTCTCGCTCTCCTCAACGGCCTTCTCGGACGTGACGAGCACTCTGCTGACGTTGAGGAGCGCCAAGTCGAGGACGACGGTGCCGAGCTCGAGGACCGCCACGTCGAGGCCCGTCAAGCCGCGGACGACGCTGAGGACGAGGAGTAAACGGGAGCATTTCATGCTTCCCGGGGGGGCTCTTGGGTGCCAAAGTCCAAGGACGAGGATGCGGCCGAGCCGGAGACATCTGGATTTCGGCTGCCGACGGCCAGAGGAAAAGGCAGCTACGCTGGTAGAGCTGTTGCCCAAAAGCGTTGTTCATGTGTGTGTGTTCTAGGAAAACGGAAACACTTTTTTTCTTTTGTGGTGCGCGCAAATAGCCTAGCTAATTCTCAGAATGTGAGATGAACAGCGGCTGTTTTTCTCCTGTCGTTGCCGAGAACAGAGAGATTGTCATGGGTTTGAGACGGTGATTATTTCTTTGGATCAGGCTTCTGCGGGGGATATCACTCATGGACGGAATTCTACTTCGAAAAGGCGTCATGTTCATCTCTGGGTTACAACTTTGTAAATGGATGGATGGGTGGGTGGCCTTGGAGGGGGGAGTTTTAGGAAATTGAGTGAGGCGTGCACTGTAGTTTCAAGGGCCGGACCGTCTTGTTTTAGTGATGATAGATATGATACCAGAAAAACGGAAATCAGACAGTAAGTTTTTCATACAACAGATGAGTTGCATTGTGTGAGCGCGTGCTGTTGGTGTTTGGCTTCTATTTCGGGGATTGTGACGGAGATGGAGTCTGAGCACTGTGTCAAAGTCGATGAGGGCCCTAGGTCATGAGTGAGTGACTTGGTGGTGAGTTGAGTGAGTGAGTGAGTGAGTGAGTGAGAACAGCGTTAGGGAGACAGGGGCAGTCGTTAAGAATTAGGGACCAGGATGCTGCTCCGGGGTCGGCTCGCAGTCATCCAGCACGTGAGGCCAGTGATTGGCAGGCGATAAGGCACAGATTAGCGCCATCACTCAATCAATTGCACCCCTGCGAAAGCTGGTCTTTGCTCCGGCCATATCCTGCCATCTCCTCCGCACCTCCACCGCGACAGCAACATCTTCCCACTACTCTCGGCCAACAAGAGCAACTCACCACGCGTCCACTCGACCTTGGGTTCCCAGCCAGGGAATTGGCCCGGCGTGTCGTCGAACTGGCGACTCATTGCCTTTATTCTCATAGGCCGAGTCCAGCAGCTACTCGGATCTCACATGGAGTCGACGGGCAGCAGCTGTATATTGCCCTGCCACCCTCAAAAGCAAATGCTTCTCTTCGCCTTGAACGTTATTTCCTTTCCCCCACACCCTTCTTCTTAGACTTAATATTTCCCCACTGGAGCTAGACACCAGCTAGGCGACTCTCCCGCGCTCGCAGCGACCCTTCACCTTCCCGATCGAGCAACGCCCTTGCTCCTGAACGGCTGAGAGAATGCCGCGAAAACGTGCCAGGCACCGCCAGCTCTAAGAGGCCAATTGATACGCCCCCTGCCATGATAGACAATGCCCGTGATGCTCTCATCCAGTCAGAGTATCTCTCGAGACCTGCAATATCGGAGCTGGCCGTTGAGTCGTCATCGATAATCCACAGAGCACCAAAGAATGGCATCCGCCAAGACGCCAGACTCACATGCAAAGGAGGCAGCTTCCGCGATGCAAGGGCGGGTGCGCCGTGGGACCCAGCGATGCACGACTCCATTCGCGCCTTCGATACGACCTCGTCCAGGGGGGACACGAGGGGCAGATGCGGCAGAATGCCAAGAAGTTGAGCTCGATCGCTGTACATAAGGATCGGGACCCCGACGAGCAACCGCTGCGATGATCTTTTCTCTCTGCTTGGGACGCCGATCCAGAGGAAGAGCCTTGTGACCGCATTCCCACACGCCTCTGCGCGCCTTCAATCGGGACTTTTTTTTTTTGACTCGTGACGCGCCGCGCCTCGTGCCTTTCAAGATGAAGATTCCTTCCCTCTTCCTCTCCGCCGCTGGCGCCGTCTCGGCCCTCACCATTGCCGAGATCAACGGCAACAAGTTCCTGTCCCCGTACAAGGACCAGACCGTGACCAACGTCACCGGTCTGGTGCTTGCCAAGGGTCCCAGCGGCATCTGGATCCGTTCCACCGAGCCTGACGACGACGACGCCACTTCCGAGGCTGTCTACGTCTACGGCAGCTCTGTCGGAACCAACCTCACGGTTGGCGACATTGTTACTCTGGACGGCAAGGTGGCGGAGTACAGGTATGTAGCTTGCCTGCGCGGCTACTCTCTCGTGCGTTCTCAGCTCACAACCCTTACAGGTCTGCCACCAACTACATCTACTTGACCGAGATCAGCTCTCCCAAGAACGTCGTCGTCGTGTCCAAGGGCAACGAGGTCACCCCTCTCGTCATCGGCGTTGACACCCTCAACCCTCCCACCGAGCAGTACACCAGCCTCGACGGCGGCGACATCTACGGCGTGCCCAACGCCGCCGCCAACATCTCCACTGAGAACCCTGTCTTGGACCCCAAGTCCTACGGCTTCGACTTTTGGGAGAGCTTGAGTGGCGAGCTCGTGACTGTCAAGAACCCCGTCGCGGTCACTCGCCCCAACCAGTATGGCGACACCTGGGTTGTTGGCGACTGGCCTGCCACCGGCCGCAACGAGCACGGCGGCATCACCATGACTGCCAAGGACTCCAACCCCGAGGCCATCGTCATCGGCTCCCCTCTCGACGGCACCAGCAACCCCGAGTCCAAAATGGGCGACCAGCTCACCGAGATCACTGGTGTGGTCACCTATGCCTTCGGCTTCTACCGCATCCTCCCCCTGACCGCCATCACCTTCGTCAGCGAGGCTGCCAACAACGCCCCGGCCACGACCCTCACCAGCAGCGGCGACTGCAGAGGCATCACCATCGGCGCCTACAACGTCGAGAATCTCGCTCCTACCTCAGCCCACCTCCCCTCCATCGCCGCCCACATCGCCGACTACATGAAGACCCCCGACCTTATTTTCGTTCAGGAGATCCAGGACAACACCGGCCCGACGAACGACGGCGTTGTCTCCTCCAACGTCACCCTCTCCACCCTGACCGCCGCCATCGAGAGCCACACCAACGGCACCGTCTACGACTTCGTCACCATCGACCCCGTCGACGGCCAGGACGGCGGCCAGCCCGGCGGCAACATCCGCGTCGCCTACCTCTACAGGCCCGACGTCGTCGAGCTGTGGAAGCCCAACCCCGGCGGCAGCACCGATGCCAACGAGGTCCTGGCCGGCCCCACGCTCAAGTACAACCCCGGCCGCATCGAGCCCGCCAGCAGCGCGTGGAGCGCGAGCCGCAAGCCCCTCGCCGCCGAGTGGCGCGCCATCAACGGCCCACAGAACAAGACCTTCTTCACCGTCAACGTCCACTGGGCGTCCAAGGGCGGATCTTCCTCTCTGCACGGCGATCCCCGTCCTCCTAACAACGGCGGCGTCGACGAGCGCATCGAGCAGGCCGAGGTCACTGGTGTATGTCTCCCCCCGTCACCCCTCACTCCAGAACAAGACTAACCCAAAGACTCAGGCCTTTATCGCCCAGATCCTCGCCGAGGACCCCAACGCCCGCATCATCACCAGCGGCGACTTCAATGAGTTCACCTTCGTCGAGCCCCTGACCACCTTCGCCTCCAAGTCCGGCCTGCTCGACCTCGACGAGGTCGTCGGCATCCCCGTCAACGAGCGCTACACCTACGTCTACGACATGAACGCCCAGCAGCTCGACCACATGTTCGTCAGCCCCGCGCTCTCCAAGGCGAACCAGACGCACTACGAGCACATCCACGTCAACTCCTGGGAGCTGTACGACAACCTTGTTAGTGACCACGACCCCTCTGTGGCGCAGTTCAACGTTTGTGGGTGCTAGACTGGGAAATGCATTAAGGGGCGATGAAAAGTATATGAGGATAATGTAGTAATGTTTGAATATCTGCGCTGTATCATCTTATGCCATATGTTGTATATACGTTTGACTGTGCTATCAATGACTATTTGAAAGAGACAGCCTATTGTCCCTGTGCTGAAGGAACTACTTTTTCTGTGTTTATACACCTTACTCTGCTTTGTTACCGTCATCGTCTTCGTGGTTGTCGTTGTTGTCGTTATTGTTGTCGTTGTTGTTGTTGTCGTTGTTGTTGTTGTTGTTGTCGTCGTCGTCGTCGTCGTTATTGTGGTCCGTAATATGAGTATTCAAGCACACAGGAAACGTAATCGTCCAGGCACAAAAAGAGAGGCCGTTTCATGTGAAAGACTACTAATATCTTGGGCCTACTACTGACCCCACTCTGGTATTTATAGTCTTATGAGAACTAGGCAGCTCGATGTAGGTATCTGCAGTGACAAGAATAGGAGATTTAGAGACAGCTCACGAGAGCGCGCAACTACGTTCATTGTTGATCCAAGTTTTAACGACGTGGGTTCTTAACGACATGAAATCTAAAAGCTAAGGTATTATATAATATACACGTCCTCCCATTTCATCTCTTCCGTCTTATTCGCGCAAGTTGCACCCCCACGCTGCGCCGTAAACGCGTTTTCGAGGGGAAGTAGATGCGCTGTGGTTTCTCTTTCAAGTTCAAAAAGCGTACGCCACGCTCTTTCTTCGAATCCTGCTTTGAAAGACCATCTTCCAGCATTAAGCTCTTTCTCAAAGTTGTCAATCACCATCTGTATCAGTGGTTCATGAAGACCAGACCCCAGTTCAGGATCCTCATAGACCATCTGTTTCGGTGGTTCATCAGAATCTAGTCCAGTATGCCCCTCATAGACCATCTGCTTCGGAGGTTCATCAGAATCCAGTCCAGGCCGCCAAGATAGCACCCCCCAAATTTCGCAAAAGTCGCGAGCCCATGTCTTCGGTTCACTTTTGTTGAAATGCCATTCTGGCTGCCAGTCGCGGTTGGGAACAAGCTCCATTGAGTTTCTGATCCATCTAAGGAGCAAGGTATTCTCTTCCTCCCATTTTAAACTCCTGTGAGAATAGTAGCGTAGCAGCTCCTAGAATTCTCTGGACTTGGGCGATAGTTTCTGGCCGATCAGTCGCCGGAGGAAGCTCTGTGCGGATTCGTATTTAGAGTTGTCATAAGTTACCTCTGATCGCAATGCAGTCCCCAACCGCTGCCAAAACCTCTCGGCCGAGGAACTCTCTAAGTATCCAGGACGCCAGGGAGACTCGTTCTCAGATTTCCGGTAATGATTTGGCAAAGACTCTTCATCTTTGAGACTTTCGTCTTCTCCATAGTACCAACATATCGGGAGCAATAAATCCGTGAGACCGATTTCGATTTGATCCTGTGCCCACGGGGATTTCGGTTTAATGCGCTAGGCACAGCTGTCTCTGAAGCCCGGTTTGATGTATTGTTTGCGTGAGTTGTCTCGTCGTCGTCGATCCTGATGCAGAGCTTGCCGAAGAACCAGTAAGGGATTTTGGTTGACAGTGGAATATGACAAGGAGCTTCCGTGTTGGCCCTGCTCCATATACCCGTTGTAGTACACACCTAGACGGCGTCGTGATTTGTGTTCGTAGTACTTGTACCTATAGTGCTTCCATACTGTCCTTGGCATATTGCGGGGGCCCTTGACGAACTCATCATTTGAAAGGGAGTCTGCTATTTCTTTATCCCAATGTCTCATCGTCGGTGCCCACTTCCCAATTTGGATTAGGCGACACACGCTTTTCAGATCGTTCCACGCCTGCGGAGTTGACCAATCCTCGATGCTATGGTCCAAAATTTCATTCCAGGTCGAGAAAAGGAGGGCCTTTTTCCGGTCCAGAAGATTGACCAGCACGGCGGATAATTCTGTGTTGACACTCTCACAAATACCAACAAAAGACTGCCTGTTTGTGCATTTCGACGGCCTGAGGATAAGCAGATGATCGCATAGACCTCTTATGGTGTACAGGTTGTCACCGTTGCGAGCCCAACTCGGAGTAAGTTGCAATCAGCGCTTGTTCTTTGGGGAGTATGGCTCATATCGAATGCCCTTGATGATTCCAGGGGGGGCTTCTGCTGCCTGCTTTGTGAAAGTGCAGTCTGCCAGAATCAGCAGAGGGATGCCCTCCAGTACAAGGGCGCCGTCCTTGCAAAATCTTGCTATCGCACCGGAAAAGGCAGGGCGCAGGGTTTGCAAACCCGGGATAACCTGCTTTCTATTCGTTGGTCTCGACCAGTCAACTGCCCAATTAGGCCGATCCCCCATAGAAGATGGACTGGTCATGGCGAATAGCAGCGGCCATGAATGAGTATCCTGCCGGAAAAGGAATGCTGTAAGGCCAACGAGCACTTGAGAGAGGCTGAGAGTATAGTCAGGACCAAGTCCGGCGTCCTTTGAACCGGTGAAAAGGCCCAATAGAGCAAACACCTTGTCTCTCGGGTCCGACGCCTGGCACCGCTCCGTTGCAAACAGAAAGCTGCACAGCTCCTTCAGCTTCCTGTGTCTTGGTTGACTGACAAGTTGAAGCCATGGATGATGAGCCTTGAGGAACTCATAGTTCATGATACACATTGACCTATAGTCGATGTCGTCGGTGTCTGGGGGTTTGAGGAAGTCGTCCCATCTAGCCCCTTTGGCTCCAAGAAGAATCCAGGCGGACCGAGCTGAAGCAATTTCTTGAATCACCCACACTCGGGTGAAGTAAGGTTGCTTTCTTAGATCCGTGCTCAAGTCAAGTGTATTCCCCTGGTTTTCGTACTTCCATGGAACAAAAGTTTCTGGGTCAGGGTCTCCTGTTTCCTCGCCTAAATAGACGAGAACTCTCTCGGCGGCGGCGTATATATATTGCATGATTCCAACCTGGTGCGATCTTTCTGCATTGTTATCCTGGTTGATGCAAATCGCATCGACCCACAGCTCTCGACTCAGGGAGGGAAAACGAAGCCGCCGGATGGCTTTGGCACAGTTTGTAGTGATGCGCAGGATGCTATGATGGCCTTTGATGTGCAGTGTCTCTGACAACGAAGTATCCCCATTGGAGTCTGCCCAGGTATATGAAAGCGCCTCGTATTCTGGTTTGCTTTGCAAGTCGACAACTCGTATATCGCAGGTTATAGGATCGTTGTATTTGCCGGGAAGGAGTCGTAGAAGGCGAATCTTTCGCGCGTATAGGGACGTGTACAATGACGTCTTCGCCAGGGCGGTTGTGTCTTTTCCGATATCAGTTGCCGCAGTTGTTGTTTCCAGAACGACCCCCTCAACAGCTGAGTTTGAAGCAGAACTGATGAGGCTCGGTGGGCCTACTGGACCATTATCGTCGGCAGCATCGTCTATGAAGGGCAAAGAAGTGGGCCAACGAAGGTCGAAATTTCTTGCCACATTCGCAGAGGAAGATTCGGCGACTGTCTCAATTTCTCCGCAATTGAAGCACGCCTGAGCTTCTAGACCGGGTAGGAAACGAAGATCCGGTCGACGACATGTTGAAGCGTGCCAGTTGATCATCCTGCTGTTGAAGCGAATCGTCGAAAGATGCCGGCAACAGCAACGGAGCAGACGAGATGTTGGATCCGATCAGGAGACAAACTTTTAAGGACGGGTTCGAAGGCGTAGTATATTAGGCTCCAATCCAGGCCCCTTCAGTCGAGGCTGTGTCTGTCTGCCTTACCACGTATCCAATCTCAGTGCTTGATTCTGCTGGTGCTCGTTGGTAGATGAAGTTTACTTGGCACTGCAAAAGACGACCACGTATGAAGCTGGTGCCACCCCCATATCGAGTCTGATCGGTCTTTTTAAAATGGATAAACGTATTATCGGCCATTCATAACGTCTTGCTGAAAGGCCGATCATTCATGCTTCATAGCCGGTTTAGCAGAAGAGTCAGATACAGATCTCAATTCGTCGCTCGACATTGTTGCTAACCTGTTAAGTCAATTCGTAGGGAAACAGCCCAATCATCGCCGCCAAACATCCTCTGGTGCTTACGTGAAGATGGTTCTCATGGGAAAACGATCGGGAAGCCGTCGGAAAGACCGCAATCAACGCCAGGGCTTCCTCGGTGTTTTGCGCCATTCTATGTCATCCATATAATATATCATCTTCGAGAGGTAAGCATCATCATAGAGGTGCGGATCACGATTGAAATGTTCATACATTAATCTGACGTTGCGCGATGCATCCATTTCTACAAAATTCGTAGCACATGAAAGCTCAGTGTCCTTCGCACAACTCATCATTTCGTAACAACCATCAAGGTTCCATGACCCCACGCGTTGTGCAAGTGATAGCCGAGTGTAGCAAATTGTCTTCACCAAAGATCAACTTCTCATTTCGTCGACTAACGAGCACCGAGGATATCAAGCCTAAGAAGAACTCCATCCCTTCATCCATGCTTTTTACGACTGCTTCTCTAAAATGCAAGTCTCCTCTCCTATTTGCTTTAAGCAAAACCAAAGCCCTGCGCATTCTCCAATGCCATAGAAAGCCTCTCTCTCAGGACTTCCTTGTCTTTGTACTCGGGCAGCAGTAATGTGCCGTAACATGTGTACGCTGTGGGTAAATGTCCGCCCTCGCCCTCCTCCTCTCCGTTCCTCTGCACGACAAATTGCAAGTTCTTCATGCCTCCCACCGGGACACGATCCGATGCTGTGACAAACTCCAGTAGCTTCCTCTTCATCTTCTCATCATAGCGTTTAACGATCGACCAGAAGTCGCGGACACTGCGGTGGCTGTTGTCCCAGCCGACATATCTAGCGTAACGGCGCAGCTCGCTAACGTCAATCTCCTGGACACCTTCAACCAGAGACTGGAGGAGTGACGGTGTCAACAGTTGCAATGCCTTCGGGTGTAGGCAAGCGCGGAAGCCACGCTCAAACGCCTTGTATTGTGGGCGAACAGAGACGTCTGTGAGGTATCTGATGTAGTCGCTCACGTAGGCGTTTCTGTTTTCGTTGGTGACCAGAGGGGCGTCCTCAGGATTTTCGCTTGTGAGTGATTTCCTCGCGGTTGCGTCAAACTGCGGCCAGCTGCTAGCCTTGGCGTCCATCTCTCTTGACACGGGCTGTCCAAACATGGATACCGAGAACTCATAGGTGCGTGCGAAGATGTCCTCCACAGCTCCGTTGTTCTCGTCCCACTCCAGAAGAGTCGTGAGGCCCATGGCAAGGTCTGGCCAACCGTCGGCGATGTGATACAACTCGTCAACGGGTTCACCCAGAAGCTTGCGGTAAAGAACCTTGGGAAACGTGACTGGCAGCGTCAGGCCGTTGTATACGGCCAGTGACATGAGCAAGCCCAGGATTTCGAACTTCCACACAGGTACGATGGAGCCGGGGACGAACCAGGCCATACGCGTTCGCTCGTCGACTGTGAAGGCGCCGTAGTCCGGGTTGAGACACTCGGCCACTGCAAGTCTGAAGAACTCCTGCTGGACACCACCAGAATCAAAGCCCTCCTCGCCACCTTCCTCACCAAGATGAATCTTCAATGGTCTGTGAAGCTCTCGGTCCTCGCGTTGCCACAACTGATCGAATGCGTCTCTGATGACATGCTTACGGCTGATCTCGAGAATTAGGTACTTTGAAGACGCCGTCTTGAGAAGATCTTGCAAGACCAATTTGTGATGAGGATTGGTGATGAGGCCGCCAGGCGCAACTATCGCCTTCATCCTCGTCTGAAGAGAACTTGATTCTTCGTAGCTTCGGCTCATCTTTGAGAAGTTAATCGATCGGAAGTAAGAAACCAGCGTCGATGGGTCGAAGATGAAGGGAAAGTCCAGAAGGTGCTTCTTTTGTCTGTGGGATGTATGGGAGAGCCAGGCAACTGGCATGTTGATTGAGTCCAGCCTGTCGGCGAAATAATCCACTCGAAAGTGGGCGTCTCCAATTAGAAGGGACTGTCGTTTTTGATCTGTCAAAAGTTAGCTGCAACGTTCATGCCGCTGCTTCATGTAGCACTTACACATGGCGGCAATGAGCGACAAGGCTCCGCCAAAAGAGCCGTCGCAAGAGATTTCCGGCTTGCCATCCCATTCCTGGAGCAGCACTGTCTTGGCCCAATCCAAAAGCAGAGTAGAAACCCTGGTCTCATGTCCGGCTCGTTCAAGTTGTTCCAGCTCGGGATTTGATGCCAAGTCTCCGTTGAGAGAATCCAACTGCGTAAGCAGAGGTCGCAGAGCATCCAGTTCCTGATCGTCGTCATCAATATCGTCATCCTGAGCAACCATTTCTGCGAAACATTTGCGAGCTGAGATCGCTGCGAACAATCTTCTCGCTAGCCTCAGAGCAAGGTCATTCGAGAAGGCATCATCGTAGAGAAGGCAAAGCCAAGCTGGCTGCCGTGCCAGAGCACCACTTCCAGCCAGAGTGAGGCCGTTGGACCGGATACGAGACATATCAAAGAGTGTCCTTGAATCGGTGATCAACGGAGCTGCCGCAACCAGAGCATGCAAGCAGATTGACAAAAGCTGGCCCGCCTCCACATTGGCAAGTGATCGCTCGCGACGAAAGACTCTTGTGGTAGGAGAACGAAGCGACTGAAGCGATTTTGGCGCGCCAAAGAGACTACCAGCGGCCAGCCACAAGCTGTGGAAGACTAGGCTGGGAGCGACACGGGTAAGTCGCAACATGCAGTACCAGATAGTATGAGAGTCCAGAAGTTCATCGTCCTTGACAAAGGATGAGACGAGGCTTTGCGGGTCGCTGAGGATGTTGAACAGGGTCTGCTCGATGAATAACTTCCACTGCCTCCGCAATCGCTTTGGGTAGTTACCCCGAGATGTCCGTTTCCTTTGCATCTTTGGCCGATCCTTGAGTCCAGAGTATGTGCTGGTAATCTTGGCAGGATCCAGAAGGTGTAATTCTGAGGTGCCGTCGTCTTGCAGAATATCGCATAACAGGTCGACGACCTCCACATTCAAAGACGTCAAGGATTGCGGGAGCAGACTGTCGGCCATCGACATCTCGACAGGCTCTTCAATCTTCTTGCAGTCGTCGGCAGGGGCCTCAGTGCCGACTGGCTCGGTTTGCGGAGGACTTTCAGGCTCCGCTTTTGGTGCCTGAGAGGGAGCCTCTCCGTTGGTCAAAACCGGTTTAGATATTGATTCTGGTTCCTGAACCATGACTGGTCGGTTTTGTGATGGGACGTTGTCGAAGAATGATGGTGTTGACGGAATCTCCGGAATAGCGTAAGGGTTGATGTGTGATGCTTTTGGCGGCCTAGGCGGCTTCTCGTGTTGACTACCATTTACCCTGGGAGACATTAGACCCGAGGTGACATCCTCCGAATACGATGACGTCGGGTATGGTTCGATAGACAGTTTCCTTTTCGGTTTTGAGTTGGCACGCACTCTCGCACTCGAGCTCCTCTTAGGTTTGCCTGGTCGCGAGTTGGGCATGGTTGGGTTCGAAGCATGGAGCTTGTCGGAGGCCTGCTCTAAGGCAGCGTCTGGCCCTTGTTCCACCGTTGGCTCCGGCAAGTCGTTCTGATCCTTCGTATCGGCGTATATCACTGGCGATATCGCCTGAATCGGTGTCGACTGTCCGGACGGCTTTTGAGATCTGAAAAACTCCTCCCTGCCAGGACTGGGCGCAGCGTCGGCCTCGAGTGCCGCAACCTTCTGGGACATGGCGTCCAGACCAGCTGGAGTGAGCCATTCCAGCATTTTGAAAGCAACGCTACCGAACACGTTGGCGGCGAAAGAGCGGTAGTCTTTGCTGATGGGTCGCTCGGTGACCTTGACGGGCATTTGAGCGGTGCCAGTGGAGGAGTCGAAATGCGACCGTCCATTGTGGGCAGGTCCCGGACGACTGTTTCCCTCGGCATCCGTGGAAGCCTTGTTGGAATTGCTGCATTCGCCGTTCACGCGAACAGCAGAGCCTGATTTCCGACGGCGGGGTTCCTTCGGGGTAGAGGGCCGCTTCGAGAATGGATCGGTAAACGCGGGGGCAGCGGGGTTTGGTGAGAATATCAGCGAGTTGACGGCGGCTGGTGGCTCCTTGGACGGCTTGAGGTCTGGGCACAGTCCTGTTTCTGGGTTGTCCTGGCTCGCCAAGTAGACAGCTAATGTCCTCGCACTGGTGGTGTTGTATCGTCTGATGGGGGCCTTGCCAGCGAGGCGCTTGCGACAGGAGAAGCAGGTGGATGTCGTACACGTCTTGGAGTCGCAGCCGTATCGCAGCTGGAGGATGTATCTGTAAAGGACCCAGTCAGCTCGTGCACCATAGGAGGGTCGCAGCGACAACTTTGGCGGCTTACATCTCGACGAGGATCTGGAAGTTGTGCCGGCGACTGGCACGGTGGATGGCGTAGACGCGCTTGGGGTTCTCGATGTTCTGGACCATGTCCTTCAATTCGGGGGGCGCATCGGGAGGCAAGCGCGCAAATGGCGCGTCCTCCCATAGACCGGCAAGGACATCGGCATCGAAGTTGTTGTCGGGCTTTGGCATCGTTTTCGGGGTTGGAGGATGAGGTGTGCCAACAAAAGGCAGAGAAATATCCCTTCTTCTGGGCCTCCTGCTGTAGGGTGAGGGTGACCCCGACGACGATGACGGCGGCGACGGCGGCGAGCCTCTTGACACGGCAGTAGATAATTCGGATGGATTATGACGAGTATAACTTAAGTATCTGTACGGCGCTAATGCCCACGCACTCGTGGAGTTGGATCGGGGCCTGTAGAAAAGGAAAGGATCAAGTGTCTGTGATGTTATGGGGAGAAGCAGTTGCCTCTGCCGACAAGCTGCGTCTGTATTCGTAAGGTAAGCCAGCGAGACCCCCCTTTGTGCACCCCATGGGTTGAGTGTAGAGGCCTCTCCACTATCCTGGTACCCAGCGCCGATGACTGCAGACCCTCCTCATCCGAAAGTCAGCAAAGCGTGCCACTGGATAGCGAAATGCTGTGCTTACGAAAGCATAACCCACGAGTCCAAAATCGCGGATTTAGGAGAATGAAAGGAAGAAGGAAAGGCAGAAAAAATGATTGGCAGGCCGAGGATTATGAGAACGAGGTTGTTACAGCTGTAATGCGGTCATCCGCAGGTTTCAACAATGTTCTTGTCGTAGCATTCCGTTGGCAAACAGCGAGGAAAGAGAAACGTAATCAAGAGGAGCGCAAAGGTAATTACTTAAGAGGCGACTTGTTTCGCATCTAATTAGTTCCATCTTTTTACATGCGGTTTGCATTTGCATTTGATGAGTCTTATCTCATGTTCGGGAGGAAAGCACCTGGACATCAGCCTTCAAAGATCCAGTGGCTCCACTGCAGAAACAGCACGCACCCGGCGAGAAAGACCCCCGCTCTCCAGGGTCCATGGCCAACTGCCAGGACGGGACGCGCTAGAGTTCAAGCCTTCCCAGTGGCCAGACTCCTCAGATCAACTCAAGCCAGGGCTCTGGGCTAAGTGACGTGCCTGAACTATCACTGCCCTCCAAACCCCCGCGCTAACCCACTAAAGCCCTGGAGAATTTTCCCTTTTAAATTCATTTTCCCCTCCGTTGCCTCCGACACCCATCACCCTTGGTCGCCCAATCTTTTGCCTCGACCTCTTCTTTTCTTGCGCGCACTCTGCAAAATCACATTTGCGTGCGCTTTCTCCCTATTGCAAAGAGCCGATCAAAGAGTCGAGAACCGATTTCAATCACCAGAAAAAAGAGACCACTTTACCTGCACGCGACAACTTCACCATGGAGGTGGCGAGCGTCGACGTCGCTGCCCTTGGTGCCTCTCCTCCCAATGGAGGGGCTACCGCAGCTTCGCACCCCTACACCTGCAACACCTGCGCCGTTGCCTATCGAAACATCGATCTCCAGAGAGGCCACATGAAGAGCGACTGGCAGTAAGTTGTCCTCATATTCCCACCTGCTTTGCTTCGTTTGTTGTTGCCGTTTTCTGTTTTCTCATCACCCCGCTATGACGCCTAGACCAACTGACATCATCCTTGCAGTCGCTACAACCTCAAGCGCCGAGTCGCCTCCCTCCCTCCCATCGCCTCCGAGATCTTCAATGAGAAGGTCCTTCAGGCCCGCGCTGCGCAGAGCGCCGAGGCCGAGAAGGCCATGTTCGAGCGCACCTGCGAGGCCTGCCAGAAGTCCTACTCCAGCGAGAACGCCTTCCAGAACCATCTCACCAGCCAGAAGCACAAGGTCCGCGTCGCTGCCATCGCCCGTCGCAAGGGCCCCATTGTCGACGATGCCAGCTCCGTCATGAGCTCCACCTTCTCCCTTGGCGAGCCCATCGCTGTCGAGAAGGAGCTGGATTCCGAGGCCGAAGAGGAATTCACTGCCGTTGTCGAGGGCCTGAAGAAGGCCAACATCGATGAGGCAAAGGACGAGCGCCCCTCTCCCGTCAAGCGCCCTTCGAACCCTCACCTGTCGGCTCAGGGACAGCATGCTGGCGAGGACGTCAACATGAACCGCGAGTCCGAGTCCGCCACCCCTGTTCCGTCTAAGCAGGAGATCGCCTGGTCTATCAAGTCCTGTCTCTTCTGCAACTACGAGTCGCCGTCCGTTCCCCTCAACGCCAACCACATGGAGCGCTTCCACGATATGTTCATCCCCGAGAAGCAGTACCTGGTCGACCTCGAGGGTCTGCTGCAGCACCTTCAGGAGCGCGTCCACGAGGGCCACCAGTGCTTGTACTGCTTCAAGACCAAGAAGACGGCATTCGCTGTTCAGACCCACATGCGCGACAAGGGTCACTGCAAGATTCCCTACGATACCGAGGAGGTCCAGCTGGATATTGGCGATTTCTACGATTTCCGAAGCACCTACTCTGATGGTGGCGATTCAGACGATGAAGAGGAGGCTGACCAGAACGGTGGAGCGAAGCTGGGCCTGAAGCGTCCCACTAAGCTGGTTGGTGAGGACGGCGAGGAGGTTGAGGACGGAGCCGACGAGGGCTGGGAGACGGACAGCGACGCTTCATCGCTCGACTCTGAAGACCTCACTGCCTTTACCGCGGATGGCAAGTACGATCAGTTCGAGCGCTTGGACAAACATCCTCACCACTCTCGCGAGGATCCTCGTGCTCATCACCAGGTGGACGGCTGGCATTCTCACGCACACAAGCACACCCGTGCTGTGTTCTACGACGACTATGAGCTGCATCTCCCGTCCGGCAAGTCAGTCGGCCACCGTGCCCACAACCGGTACTTCCGCCAGAACTTGAACAACTATCCCACTCCCGAGGAGCGTGCTGAGCGTGAGCGCCTGGCGATTGAGGCTGGCTCCGGCGACGAGATGGATGTCGACGGCCAGGAGGTGGCGAACACTAGCAACCCCAAGTCTCGCAACGCCCGCGCGATTGCTCGCAGAGATGCTGCCGGCATGACTGGTGTCTCGGACCACGCGAAGCGCGTCGTCAAGGAGGAGGCTACCAGAGGACGGAGCGCCGCCACCCGCTACGAGAAGAGAAGAGACTACAAGGTCAGCGAGAAGAACAACAACCAGAAGAACTTCTACTACCGCTACCAGGCCGGTGGTTAGACGACTCGCAGTTGGGATGAAGGGCGTTGGACGGGTTTTTTTCTTGTTTTCTGGGATGCGCGAGCCAACATGGAGTTGGCATGCATGATGAGGCTTTGATTAACCATGCATAACGAAGGTAGACAAAATAGAGGCCATTGAAGCCGAGAGTATCGTTTCTTGTGAAATGCGCATTTGTGATGACCCAAGTTGAGTGGATATGCAAGTATTGAAACGTCAAAATTGCGTACATGCATAATTTTAGAAGTGAACCTAGTAACTCTCATCATGACTTTCATCCGCCCATTAATCCAACTGACCTCGTACTAATCAAGAAATTCAAAACTTCATATTTTATACGCCAAAGCCATGAGGTCAGTCGCAGGAGCGCGGCGCCTCGCATCCAGGCCCGCCACGCAAAATTTGCAGAGACGTCGAGCCCTTGATGACAGGCCTCCCACCAGCGCTCCCGCCCGGCCTACACGGTTTCGCCAAGATCAGTCCTCCTATCGCAGTGCAGAAAGCGATGTGAGAAGGCATCGCGGGTTTAATGAAGATGCTGCGAGGTCGCGCTTCCAGGGCGCGCGCGATGGACTACCGAGTCGCATGAACCGTCCGGGCCCTAGAAGTAGCCGGGATGGCGTGCGAGATGAGCGGCGACCGCAGGACGTTGGAAGCCGGCAGAGGGTGCCATCGAATACTCTTGAAGTCCCCGACAACTTCTTGTCCCAAGAGGAACTGGACAAAATCAGCAAACCCGAAGATATCTGGGAATCCAACACAATGTACTACGTGCCGCCGCCCCGCGCACCTCCAAAACCACAACCGAAACCGACGAGGCCCCAACGGAAGAAGCTATCCGCAACGCCGTCATCCGACGATGTCAAGTCAGCCATCCTCGGTTTCCCCCCAAAAGACGCCGCCGCCACCCCTCCACCCACTCCTGCCGCAGACACCCCTACGGAGAGCGGTACAATCACCGCCACCAGCAGACTCTCCGCCGCCCACGCAGACGCAACCTCCTTCTTCCGCCAACCCCCGGCCTCCTTCCTCTACTCAGCCCAGTTCTGGAAGCAGCACCCGATCAACACCACCACCCCGGAACTCTGCATCATCGGCGCCTCCAACTGCGGCAAGTCCTCCTTCGTCAACGCCCTCACCGGCGTCGCCGAGCTCGCCAAGGAAAGCTGGAAGCCCGGCAAGACGGTGATGATGAACGCCTACGGCGTCGGCAAACCACCCACGCACTCGCGCAAAGTCACCCCCGACGAGAAGACCGCCAACGCCGCGCGGCAGCACGGGCTCGTCCTCGTCGACACGCCGGGGTACGGCCACGCCAGCCGCCGCGAGTGGGGCGAGCAGATCACGCAGTACGTCAACAAGCGCACGATGCTCCGCGGCGCGGTGCTGCTCCTCTCGGCGGAGAAGAAGGTCGGCGCGCAGGACGAGGCCGTCATGGGCCTGCTGGCGGCGAGCGGGCGCCCTGTGGTGGTGGTCTTCACGAAGCTGGACAAGGTCAGCGGCGCGGGGCGCGGGCGGGAGAGGAAGAAGGACGGGGGCATCGTGCGGCGGTTCGCGGAGGTGGAGCGGTGCTTTGGGAGGTTGGGAGCCGGGTTGTGGGTGCCGAGGGTGTATCTTACCGCGGCCAAGATGGAGAGGGTGAAGGACGGGAGGACGTTTGCGGTGAACGCGGCGGGTATGGCGGGCGTGAGGATGGAGATTTTGGAGATGCTTGGGTTGAGGCAGGCTGTTGCGTCGACGAAGGTCAAGGAGAAGGCAGCGGTGGAAAAGAAGGAGACGGTGCAGGAGGAGGAGAAGAGGGTAGCGGAGCCTGGGAAAGCGATGGAGAGTGATCCTAGGGCGTGGTCTGGGAAGACCATCTCTTTCGAAGAGCTGGAGAAGAAGTTTGGAGACTGGAGCTCATGAGCTGGTATACCTGTACGATGGTGTGTGGGAACCCAGATGGATTAGATACCCTCTAGAAGACATGCAACTCACTGTTTGGATCCGAACGATAGGGCATCTATCATTTCAACGATAGGTTGGCAAACGGCTGGCTGTGGCAAGGAGCAAATCGTGAAGCATATTGTACGAGCTCCTTCATGTGGGTATTCTAGCTAATTAAGACACCGTGGGTCATCCTTCCTTCGCAACCCGTCCAGAACTCCGCCCATCGTAGAAAGAAAGTCAAGTGAGTGACTTATATAATACAGTGTTACGGCCATCGTCGATCCATCAAGCCTTCTCAGTCTCCTTTTCTTGCCCCGTTGTAGCAGCGGTAGCCGCCGTGGCCACCGTCGCTGCCGATGCAGTCGAACGCGCCGTTCCCGGCCTACTAAGCGTTCTACGGATCTTCTTCGCATTCTTCGACTCGAACAGACTCTTGACTCTCCGCAAGCGAGCCCACCGCTCCTTGTCCTTTGCGTCTCGGGACTTTTCGTCATCTTTGCCAGCTGGTTCCGTAGCCGCACTGGGAGAGTCGTATGGTCCGCCCGGGGTCGTGGGTGCGCCGCCACCTTTACGAACAGGTGTGGAAGGTACTGACGCGCCTCTGTTGTGCCAAGACTTATTCTTTGGGCGGTCGTCGAGAGCTCCACGTAGATAGGCGTCGTTCTTAAGCACCTGCGCTAAGCACTTCCACGCCGCCATGTCCGACTCGGATCCTGGCTTAGCGGTGCTGAGGCGTTGTGCGACCGGGTTCTTCCAGGGGCAGAAAAAGCGATGCTCCCTGATGGGATCGAGGTGGTCCATTGGTGCGGGGACGAGGACCTCGCCGTCGGCATTCACCTCCTTGCTCTTGAACATCCACAGGCCAAGTCTTCGCAGGCACGTGTGACACGAGGCGGAGTTTGGTACAGCACCAATACGAGGGTTTGTCAGACCTTGCCAGCCTGTCATAGCAAGGGCGAGAGCGACCTTGTTGGGCCGCTTGGGGTCTGGCGAATCCTTGGCGGGCGGCGGGTTTGTGAAGAAATCCTCTGGCAGTTGAGCAAGAACGCTGTCGATGTTCAAGCCTTCGGGAAGCCTTAGGTTGAACTCATACGGCAAGAACGATTTCCTGGCGCAGAGCTCGTCGTATCTTTGTCGCAGCGCCTCCATGCTCAACTTGGCGTTCGTGAGAGACAGTCGCAGCAATGAATCTACAAAAGTCAGCCAAGTGCCCAACCCAGCATCTGGAAAGACTTACCGTCGCATCCCCGTCTCCTCCAAAGACACTGATCAAGATGTGCTGTAACAATCAAGTCGGAGTACTTCTCCACCAAGGCTTCCTCTGCTTTACCAATCAGTTTAAATACCAGAGTTCAGCAAGGGATACCGTGGACCTACCAACGTCGGAAGCGACCAGTACGGGCACTTCCTTGCCGTCGACCTCACGCTTGTTAAGCTTGACGACAAGCTCCTTGTTGCAGAGCGAACAGCGCACACGATCCTTTCCCTGGCACACCCAGCCCCTCTTCGCCCATTCGATCTCGTTGACCCTGTCTGGCTTTGGCGTCCAGTCCGTAATCTCTTGAAAGCTTGCTAGCCTCTTGAGGAGCTCGTTTCGATCGGTCGGGGCGTATTTTGACGAGACCTGGACGACTGTCTCCTTGGAGTTGGGCGTCCATTTTTTCAGGACGACATTCGATACCTTTGTCGCGGCAACGCCGGTTGTGGTGTTCTTGATGGTGGCCCTCTCCGTCAAGGCCTGCAGGCGCCGGCGCTTCAGCAGGATATCCTCTTCTATCGACAAGGGCATCTTGGCGTTTGAATCCGTATTCGTGTTCGTCGTGTTCGATGTGCTCGCGGTCGAGGCTGGCAGGGACGTCGTCGAAGGGCGAGGAGATTCGGCCGGTAGACTGGAAAAGTCATCGCTGGACTTGGTCGACGTCGACGACCTGCCCATCCCCTGGATCAGGGCATTGAACTTTCGTTTGGTAGCGTTCATCTTGAGTCAGTGGTTCGATGAGACAGCGGCTGTCGGCGTTTACGTCGGTTCCAGGTTTCGTTACAGAATCGGACGGATGATGGCGAGATGGATGAAGTCGACCACAGAACAATCCAGTTTGCGAGAACGACGGTTCCGACTCTCTAGTGTTCGAACGAAGGCTGAGTCGTCATCTGCGTAGTGTTGCACTATGAAACGGGCCCCAAGAATAGGACGGTGCTTTGTCGCTAGTCGCAGAGGTAGCCGCCCACATTGAAAGTCAACAAACGGCTGTTGCTGATCGGGCAATGAGCTTGCACCCCTGTCGCGTGGCACTCTAAGGAGGGGAGCAACCAACAGGCAACTGGACGTTCTGGACCAATGAGGTCCTACGTGCATAAATTCATGTATCGAGGTTCACGATAAGATAAGAACTTCTTTCGGATGGAAAAAAAAAAAGTCGCGGGGCAGGGATGAGGGACTGGGATAAGGAAGCCGCAAAATTTTTGGAGCGCCGACTCGCCGACATCCACAGAAATTTTCCCAGGTGAAGACCGCCGCCGTCAGTTCCATCTCTCACCGAGGAACTTGCTTCGCGACTACAGACTCAATTGCTTTATTTTGGGGCTACGCCACACCACCAAACCTCCCACGAACCCGACGCACATGTCAGCCTCTGGTCCTCCCTCTTGGCTTTTCTCAAATAATTCTTCAAAAGCCTCTGCGACTACCCCCGTTACCGCGACACCGCAAACCCAAGACAAGATGGTCAAGAAGGAGAAGAAGGGTAGCAAGGCCGCCGCTGCGCCCGCCAAGCAGTCGCCCCCCGACCAATTGATGGACCTCGTCGACGCCTTCCTCTCCGACAACGCCTTCACCTCCGCCCACCAGGCTTTCCAGAAGCAGCGCTCCAAGAGCGGATGGAAGCCCTCCAAGAAGCAGGCTGCTAGCCCCAGCCTGGTCGCCGTCTTCCAGTCCTGGCAGTCCACCGTCAAGGCTCCCGCGGCCAAGGAGGACGACAGCAGCGATTCCAGCTCCAGCTCCGATAGCAGCAGCGACGAGGAGGATGTTGACATGGCTGACGCCGGCGCTGAGAGCGACAGCTCCAGCTCCAGCAGCTCCAGCAGCTCTAGCTCTAGCAGCGACTCGAGCAGCGAGGACAGCGAGAGCGAGGACGAGAAGCCTGCGCCCAAGAAGGTGCTGAAGCGCAAGGCTCCCGAGTCCGACAGCGACAGCAGCAGCAGCGAGAGCAGCAGCGATAGCGACTCTGACAGCTCCGACGACTCCAGCTCCGAAGACGAGGCCCCCAAGGCCAAGAAGCAAAAGACAAAAGCTTCCAGCAGCAGCTCTTCTGACTCCGATTCTTCTTCCTCCAGCTCCAGCGAGGAGTCTTCTTCTGACGAATCTTCCGATTCGGACTCTTCCGACTCCGACTCTGACTCCGACGGCTCTACGGCAGCCAAGGTGCCCCTCCCCGAATCCGACTCCGACTCCTCCTCTTCCGAGTCTGAGTCTGAGTCCGAAGACGACAAGAAGGTGAAGAAAAACAAGAAGGCAGACAAGACGAAGGAAGCGGACTCGGCCTCGAACTCGTCCGTGACTCTGGATAAGACCTCGCCCGAAGTTAACAGCGCCGCCGACCCTCCTCTGCCTCCCGACCCCGTCGCCTTCCGCGCGCAGAACAACCGTGGCAAGACCGCCAACGGCAAGAAGGTCCCCAACAAGCCCTTCTCTCGTATCCCTGACGTGGTCCACATCGACCCCCGCTTCGCCAGCAACGAGTACGTTCCCAACGACTACTCTAACCGCGCCCACGAGGACCTCATCGTCACCAAGGGCAAGGGCTTCACCAAGGAGAAGAACAAGAAGAAGCGCGGCAGCTACCGCGGTGGCATGATTGACATCACCAGCAAGAAGGGCGTCAAGTTTGACTTTTAAGTCTGCTGGCGGCCCCGCGTTTAAATCTGCTCTTTTGGCCCTGGAGTTTTGGAATCCCCCAAAATAACGTTTTCGGTTCATCGTTGTGAAGAGATGGGGTATTAAAGGGGATGTGGTTGGTATGATTTAGCAGTTTCCATGTTAGCATTGCACTTCCGGACAAGAAGTTGCTCTTTTCCACTAAGAAGACGAAAGAGCTTGGTACGCGAAATAATCATGATTAGAGCCGGCGTCGACTTTTGCGAGCGATGCCGTGTAAATAGAATAAAAGTTCTGTCACATTCCTCTACATTTGCTCAGTTCCTCCTCTCAGACATCCAATGTCAAGAGCGATCCATCCATATCCCAAACATCATGGTATGCTTGGCCCTGCTGCTTCGCCGATTTGCCTCTCCCGTTTGCCGCAAAGCTCCTTCATTTTGCTTGTCAAGTATTCAGAGAGGACGCCCTTGATAGTCTTGCCACGAACCTCATCGATGCCCATTTGCGCCTCGACCTGCTGTTGATTGACAGCCCGCCACTGCTCTGGGAGCCTTAGATCTATTTCATCCACAGACTGTCTGCAAAAGTACAACACCTTCGACATGATGTGGATATCAGCCAATTCCGCGTCCGCCATAGCAGCCCGTAGCGTTCGCCTGTTTGCGCTCTGGAGATCCAAATCAGCCTTTTCGAGAAACCGCCAGAAGGTTAACAGAATGCGGTCAAGATCTTTGATCGGCCAGGATTTAGTGATGAGTCTCAAGGCAATGCCACCTTCTGTGTTGGTTCGGGGACATCGGGGTCGGATAACAGAGTCAAGTCAGCGAAGTAACAAAGGGTGGTGGAGCCGTTGAATTCATCCATACCGTTGGCGTTTTTGTAAGCTGAAATCATTTCCCGGAGCATATGATAGTCCTTTGCATTGGCAGCTGCGTAGAGAATTGGTGTCATGCCATCCACATCTCGTTTTGTGACATCGGCGTGATGTTCGATCAGCTTACAAACAACGCTCCGGCAAGGGTGAGAGCTCATTGTAGCGTATGAGACTGCATTCCTGCCCAACTCATCTGTCTGGTTCACATCCGTGGCATACTTTCGTCCCAGCAGCTGTTTGATGAGATCCGTGTCCTCCTCGCAAAATTCCTCCTGACATTATCCGAATCTCCTAACGCAACGTTCAGTTGAGGCCAACCAAGAAAGAGCAGTCCGGCCTGTTGCGTCTGTCGTAGTTCCTAAACATTCAATTGAAGGGGCCGAGAGAAGAACGGTAAATGCATGGATAATTGCTCTGGGGAACGATTGACTCTCTGTTTGGAACCGGGATACCAGGAGTTCGCGAGGGAGAGAACTCATCCTAGGTAGCAGCGCCAAGAAAAAGCAGGGGTTCTCGTTATCGATGGCAAATTCTGCGAGCAAAACTTCCACGGACCTAAACACAGAACCATGGGCCACTTCCTGACCGAGACAATCCAGGAGAGGATCGCAACCGTATTCAGCTGCCTTGAGAAGAAGTTTGCGCAAAACAGGGTTGCCATCGGCATCCGCAGCATGTATATCCATATCTGCCTGAATGAGAACACCAAGGATCTTGTACGATGCCTTATTGCTGGCGCAATCAAGAACACGGTCACATAGGTCTCGCCCGGATCTAGGACTCGAGCCATGCTCGGTTGCAATGAGCCACTGAAGCGCCCTTATACGGGGGTCCTCGTCTGGCCACGATGTCCCAAATACCGATCTAGCACGGCGCAAGGCCTTCATTCGGAGCTTTCTCATGGACTCCCGAGGAAGCTGCGGTATCACTTCCCAGTCCCCCTCGAGCAGCCGTCGTACCACGTAATCAAATCCTGAGTCGATTGCCAATGTCAGAATTCGAGTCAAGTCTTGAACGTTCGAAACCACTCTCAGGTCGTCGAATCTAAGAAGAACATCAATGGATATTGTGTCGGCGGTTTCCACTGCTCGGCAAAGCTCGCGCCATGCAATGTTGTCAAATAAGTCCGCAGACCTAGCCTCCTGTTCAAATTGATGTAACAATCGGAAAACAGGTTGTCGTTTAACGAGATCATTAGTGGCGCAAAAATCCGGGAATACCACTTGATTCCACCACTTGGTCATCCCGCCATACTCTTCAGCTAGGATGGCAGGGAATCGTTTTCCATACGCTTTCCACAAATAGATGTGAAAATGAGCAGAGGCATGTTCCAAGAATGGAAATTCATCAAACACCTTTTCGGAGCGCTTCTTGTAGTCATAACTGAGCTTCCAGTAATCTCCTTCGGGCTCTTGCCTACCGTGAGCTGCAGGCGAGATAGTTGCGAGAATGGCATGATGCAAACTATCCTGGGAGAGGTAGTAACAACAAGCAGCGGAAAGCACTTCTTTTGCGTTAGGAAGGTAGGTCTCCAAGACTTGACTACGGTGAAGGTACTGATCGATAGTGTCGTGGGATGGACGAAGAACCGAGTGGCCGTCCAAAACTAGGAGCCCCTGACAGCACTGAATGATGAGATCAATATCCGGTAGATCGTCCGACTTCACATCGTAGCCGTAGTCGGAATAACTAAGAGTCGCTAATGCATGTTGAACTTCTTTTATTGCTAGCTGTGGGGTGTAGTTGTAGAAACAAATCGACCCAAAAAACAACGAAAGCGTCTGTTCGGCTCGTTTTCTGTCAGCCTCCGGCTGTTCCTGAATCCTCTTCATCGTAAGATCGTAAGCATCGTTAACCCGCAAATAGTCTGTGGTTAGAAGTAGGTGTCCCTTTGAATCGGCCTGCAAGAGGCTGCTCATGTAACGGCTCGCCATCAGAAAGCTATGGAGTTCAAAATCAGCGATTGCGGTCTTAAGATTCTCATGTATCTGCATACCTTCCGTTGGCCTTTCCAATGACCTTCTCGACTAAGCACTTCTCGAGCCCGGAGTCCGAGCCAATGATTGTGCGCAACCGACTCTGGAGACCCATTTGTTTCCGCACGAAGATTGAGATGTCGTCGAACGCAGCAATCTCGATTTCGTCCGTCGTTGCAAACATATGCCTGAACTTCGGTAGGCTTCTAGAGGTGCAGAAGAGACGGATGTCTTTGAAGGGCAGGTTCGAGATTCTGTCAACGATCAGGTCTTGTACCCTCTCGTTCGCTTCATCCAGGGCATCCAGGACTACAAAAGGTGTACGAGACATCCCAGATGTCAATCTCACAGCTGAGCGCAGCTTCTCAAGTGAAGGCGAGAATCCTTTCCTTGTGTCTCTGTGAAGCTGGCGCAGCTCCTCGGGAAATGTCAGATAGTCGACCGAGGCTTGATGAAAGATACTTCGCTCGAGCTCATCCAATGTCTGGTCTGCCTGAAGTTGATGATCGCAATACAAGACTGCCACGCTCATGTTCGGGTTTGATTGAGAAAAGGTGTTGTTCAAGTAGTCAAAGACAATTGCGCTAGATGTCATCAGCAAATCCCCATAGATCATTCGGATTACAGGAGCAACTTACGCAATCACTGATTTGCCAGCTCCCGCTACAACACAGTTAGTAAGAAGGGTTCTTAGTGGCTCAAACGAAAGGTTTGGTGCACATACGCAGTCCATGACACCACAAGGTGCTAGATGGAGATTTCAGCCAATTGTTGAATTTTGGGTGACGAAGAATCCATGTGCCCGTGTTCCAGTATCCCTGTCCCACGATTGGAGAATACTCTCGTGACGTGGACCGAAATTGAGTCTCGTGATCCAGTGCAACGCCTCGCGATCTTCTCCCTGTTGTATGCTGCGTTTCACCACTGGAGTTTGATGGTTAGCCCAATGAATACACCGTTCGAAGATCCGCATCAGCTTACTGTCGATCTCCTGACACAAAGTCCCGCAGAGACCTTTGAGTTCTTTGAGACTTTCCGTGTTGTTTCCAACTTCGGACGCTACCCTATCTTGCCAAATCCTGGAAACACGTTGGTCAGCGGGCATGAATCGTTGATGCTCTTGGATGTATACGAACTAACCTGCTGTTGTTGTCCAAGGCCAGCGACAACGATGCCTTTTGACGTTCGATCATGTCGAGAATTTTCTTGATTTCCTTCTCCTCGAAAGGCCACTTCAAGACGTTCAGGCCGTGACGAAACCCCTTGCTCGGACTAGCCTCTCTCGGAGTCAGCTTCTGATGGAGAGAAAGCAGAGTCTCCTCCAATAGCTTCAGAGGTCCTCCATCCCCCACCAGGACCTCCATCGTCGCCTTCCATACATCATCCGCGGAGGCATTCTGGAGTTCGTCAATGAGGGCTTTGCAGAACTGAATTTCTGCCGCCAGTCGGGCTCTGTCCTTGGTGGCATCCTTGACTGTCCGGTACAAGGCGATGCTTTTCACGCATAGCTCCGATATCGCGATCAAGCTGGCCGTGAGGCCGCTCGCTTCGGCAGCCATGCCGTTAGTAATGAGAGGTTGAAATGATCATGGTTCTCTGAGGACTGGTTGCGAGAAAACAAGAAGAAAACACGGAGTCTGGAGATGAGGAAGAGAAATGTAGGTAGTTGGGAGAGATGCTTGGAAAAGTAGACTTAATCCCAAGCCAACGTCTGCATGCTGCTTTTCAGATATCAAAGCTCTATGTCAATGGTCACAGATAGGAGCCTTTGACACGCCGGTTATCCATGCAGTGAAGCTGCAACTTTCTGCAAGCCCAGCAAGTGCTCCACAGAAGCACCTCCGTTGTTGAATGGTGCCAACAAAGGAATGGGAGGAAAAGCACCATTGGACTGAAAACTTTCGAACAGTATGGCTGCCTGAAGCCCGGAAAAGAGAGAAGATGTGGCCGAAAGATCGTCCACTAAAGGTCAAGGGGGACCTTGAAAGGCCTTTGCCGTCAAAACTTACAGAAGGGCCTAACACACAAGGACAACAGGCCTTTATCGCCTGAATATTTGCTGATGAGTTTTGCTATCCGAGCGGATACTTTCAGCTATTCGGGCGGGTAGTCGGCATAGAAGAAGATGACGACGACGACAATAGGGACAGGGATAGAGACAGAGATTAGAATAGAGTAGATAGGGACGACAGGGACGACAGGGACGAGGTTGTCAGGATATAACCGGTGCACTTTGCTAAAAAGTTTAGAATGGAGAGAAGCCTGGCCGTCAGGCTGAAGCTGACTTACATGCCATTCCCTCAGGCAAATAAAGAAACCAGGCTAAGCTCTGCCTTGCTGTGCATAAAACTTTGGAGTAAATACTCGCTCGTGTATAATAAAGACCGCTTAAACTTCCTGTCCCTGCTCAGCTGCATTTCTTGTGTGCTCAATGTCTCCTATCGAAGGCGATAGTAGTAACGACAATCATAAGCACGGAGACGGGGGACGGGGACGGGGACGGGGGCAATAACGACAAAAACGGCAACGACAACGAAGGCAAGGTAGAGTTATAGCCACAGAAAACTCAATAGCTCTAGCACGGGGAAAGACGGCGGTCTCATATATTCCACGGTATCACTGAACTACTACTGTTTTAGTAATGCCTTCTCCCGAAAACGCCTCGTGGATGCACCTAGACTCCAGCATAATTTCAAAGCTGTCACACCGCTGATAGACAAACACTCAATCTAATGATTCAAACATCTCCTCGCTTGCATCCTTGGGTGCTCAATCGTCTGACTCATCTCTCTTCCTCTTCCGCGACTCGCTCTGACCACGACTGGCCAAGATCTCGTGGAACCGCGTCAGCACACGCTCTTTAAGACCTCCATGGTTGGGATCGATGTGCGCTGCTGAAAGACTATGAGTAGCGACCACCCGAGCAAGCGCGGCTCTGCGTTCAAGCCCCAGCTCCTTCAATTCTGGGGGGACATCCGTTATGACTTGTTCGAGAACCTGCCACAAAGCAGATCGACGATAGTGCCGGGCCTGTAAATCCTTGGCCATAATCTGATGTCTAAAGTATCCGAACATCGGGGTGATCACGCTGCTAGCCTTCGGGGGAGGTCGGCTTGGAATAGCTGGGAGACTGCAATCAGGGAATCCGCGAGTTCCTCCTTTGGCAATGAACGCGAAGGCATTTATCAAGCGGCTATTCCTGCCCCCCTTAACGTCTCTCTCAACATCTCTCAACTCTTCCCAAGTAAGATAGCGGCGTTGCTCCTTTGGTTCATCCATGAGCCCGAACTGCCTCAACATCCATGCGTCGAGCTTAAATCTGTTCTCGTAGCACCAGTCGACATCATACCAGCCGTCGAGAAATTCGAAGTCGTTGTGTGTAAATCGGTCAAACGGATGGAGAGGCTTGTCACCTCGTCGCGTGGACCGCACTTCGGTGTGCAGAGTAGCGAGCAGCACCGCCTGCGGTGTCTCCAGACGCTCTCCACGACGTCGAAAAACCACCATGACGTCTGGGGCGTCTAACATTGTTTGCCGTGCGCCACGGTGCTCATTAGTGACGACGCCGTGCGTGAGCTGCATCGTGATCTCATGGCGAACTTGGTAACTGGGGTCAACCATGATTACTCCGCCATCGGTTGCAGCACGTAAGACTGGGTTCGGACGTACAGTGAGCCTGCCGACTCCCTCATCATCTTCTTCGCGTTCGCACAATCCGCGAATGCTCTCGCCCTCGAGATGCTCCCTGAGTATAACACCGATATATCTTTTATATCCGGGAAGGTTCGCCGCACTATCGTACACCTCCAAGACCCATGCGCCACAGTATTCAGGGTTAATGGTTCCAAACCCGGTTGCAGTAGACTTGTGAAGGTGTTCGAGGGCAGCAGTCCGGCGACTAAGATGCCAGTCGGCCATGGCAGAGTCTCCGTAGCAAACTGCATCAACGACTATGGCCACGATGCATTGCTTTTTGTTGCCAAATACGGGAATAGGCGAATATCCAAGGTTTGTGCGAGGGGCCTCGTCGACCTTGCAAAGGAGGATTTGCCGGTCCTCCTTCGCTCCGCCAGAGATCGTTCCAACAATATTGAGTTTTAGTAGTTGGTCATCCTCGTACTGAATGGTCGGATCGAAGTTGGTAGGCTGCTGAGCGGTCAATTCTTCGAACGAGCGGCCGTCGGGTGTCGTTTCGTTGCGCTTGTGAGAATTGGGGGCACCAGGGTTCGGGAAAGGCCGAAGTATCATGTTGTTACCTGCGGTATACTTCGCAAGCGCATCGTGCAACTTGGCGGACACCATGATGATGCTATTGCCAACACACGTGAATGAAAATGTCGGTCTGTGTCCAGCAGGAGGTGAGAGATGTCTGCCAAAATCCGAGGCAGGGAAAACTAAAGAAATACCCATACACTCTGACCGCACAAGGTGCAAACGAACCGTACCTTGGGCATCCACCCTTGGGTTGTAGCGCCACGCAGAGAGAAATTCAGGTGAAAGTTTAAACACTATCAGTTGAGAAAATGCGCACTCGAAAATTCCACTACTGGATCCCTCGAAAAGACGGAAGATAAGTGTTCTCCGACCTGGCGTTGCAGAAGACAATAGTAGCAAACAAAACGAACCCACAGACCACGCAAACGAAAAGAACCAGCAGAAGAGCGCGCAGTACTAGGAAACCTGCTATTGTATAATAAACTCGTTTCCGCCAACTGGAGCCAGCATCAGGCTGTCATTTGACACCACCTCCGTCACACCTGTTTAGCTTGACAACACTTGATCCGATGAAGGGATTTCTGCCGTAGGCACGAGAGACACGAGAAAGAGAAGTCTCCAGGTTTGGGATGGGGAAGATGGAACAAACGAGAACTGAGAAGATGAGATCTTGACAACTAGAAAGGACGCATGTCCGACACGGGAAATAGCCACAAGGACTCGCGACCGCTTGAGCGCCCGCTTCTGAGGAAAGTAGGGTCAATCTTGCCCAACATATTGTGCCTTCCCGGGTCTTATACTCCCACCCCTTGTCTTCCAGCTTTGGATGTCGGTGTCGCTGGCCTTCATCCTTAGCTAATTGACGGCAGAATCACCGCCTCATTGAACGAGCGGAGGTTCATTTCCAGCAGAGATGCGTCCATGTAATCATTGAAGGATATTCATGCCGCGGGGGGTCCTGCATCGTAAATTCGAACCCATCCGGCCACTTGACTAGTGTCCTACCTCAACACAAGACTGCGAAACGAAGCAGCCCAAATACCTGGAGCAAGAGCAAGCACAAGTCTTCCTACCACTGACAGCTCCGTGTCAAAAGGCGTGACCGGGACGCCACTACCTAGCGTAACAGCCAGGCAGATTGCAGTGGCCTTGCAGCCAGAGTACAGAGCATGGCCAGAGACTGTGTGTAGATAGAATAATCGCTGGTGAATTCCAAGGTATCGCTGAATTAGTACTGCTGAGCTTCAATCATACCTGCCCCCGTAAACGCCTCGAAGATGCACCATAAACGCCATGGCAGCACGTTAAAGCCTCACTTCTTGGCTCTCCGCTTGCCCTTCTTCGCAACGCTAACGCTGCCTTCAGCGACCTCACCAGCCTCGAGCTGGCCCTCGTTCTCCAGTTCCTTGAGCTTCTCCTGCCCAGAAATAAACATGGTCAAGTCCCGATTCATCTCCTCCAAATCCGCAATCTGCAACTTGTACTCGCCGTCCTTCTTCTTCAACGCCTCGAGCTCGGTGTTGTTGTGCTCCACGCGCTTCATCAGCCCCTGAGTGACCTCCTTTTCTTCTTGTAGAGCCTTGCCGAGGTTTCGTGCGAGTTCCTGCGACTTGGTGGCTTTGTTTCTGTCTCGCTCTGCGTCCCGTTCTAGCTGTGGGATGACTTGTGTCTTGAGACGATTGAGTTCTGTCTTGAGAGTCGCGTTCTCTTCCAGCGCGGCTGAAGCCTGTGCGGAGGCGGATTCTGCCGTTGCGGCGGCCTTTGACGCCTTGTCCGCCACCTTGCTGAGCATCTCCTCAAAGTACACCCGCTGCGACTCAAGTTGGCTCGTGAGAAGGTGGGTGTACTCCAGACCGATGTTATCCAACTTTGCCCGCGGCACTACATCCTCGTAGCCTCCTTCCGGTCGGTGGTGCTGTCCATTGCTACCTGGCAGCTCAACGACCTTGCCGTCGCCCTTGTCGCGGATGAGGCGATGGACCCAGGTATCGCCCGCATAATCCCAGACATGCTGCGTCTCGAGCTCAAGCGCGAAGCTGTGTGCCGTCTCTTTCCAGTGATCTTTTGCGTGACCACCTTTGTATCTACCGCAGCCGACGTTTCCGCAAATGAGGCAGATCCAGAGGTCGTCTGGTGAGTCGCATGAACTACAGAGATTTGACACGGAGGAACCAAACGGTTGGGTATACGGGTTCGACGGGTCGTATGTGGTTTCAGGGTTCGTGTGTCTGCAGACGGGACATCCTGAGCCCTTCCAGTTCTGGAGACAGTTGCAGTGGAAGACGTGCTGGCAGGGGATCGTCATGAGACCGGTTGTATCGTCCATACGTTCTAAGCACACCGGGCAAGTAGGTAATTCGACGAGGTTTGGTGTAGGGGGAGGGAAGGGTTTGAGGCTGCTCGACGCGGCGACAGAAGAGGACGGTGTAAACGGATCGTGGTTGAGGTCGGGGAACGTGCGGTTTTCTTTTGTCGGCGTCTCAAAAGTGATAGACTTGACGAACACGACGTGACAAACCTGGGCCTGGAACATATTAGTACGACCGCCACGTCCTATGCCGATATGACTACTCACTTCCATGCTGTTGAAGACCTTGCCGTCAAACTCCCTCTGCCACTTCCGCGCGCGCTCACTGTTGCGGAACTTGAGGAGGACCAGATACCGGTTCATCCTGGCGGTCATGACCATCCGGTAATGGCTGATGTCGTTCCGCCATTTTTCACCCACGTATCCTAGGAAATCTCCAGGTGTGAGGTAGCTCGGCACTGCCGGTATGCAGAGGGTTGTGCAGTCTACCTCTTTGACTCCATCGTCTTCTGACGGGTCAAGACCCAACTCTGGCGTCTCCTCCTCCTCGCGATAGAAGTGTACCACGCCCCAGCCAACCTCCGTGTTCTTCGTCTCTAGCGGCACGTACTTCGCCTTCGTTGACGTCCCCGCGAACGTGGGGCCCACGCCGAGCGCCGCCGACGAGCTGGCCGCTTCCGCCGTCATTTGCTCTCGCTGACGCTCGTCGTGCAAGTCGATGCTCTGTATGCTCAGCTGCCCAAATCTCCAGTCTCTAACAGCCGTTTCAGGCCGTATCGCGGCGGACGATGGCGGAGGTGGAAAGCTCTGGGTGCGCGCTCTCCACTGCCTTTCGGTCAACCGTTCGAGGTTTCCACCACTGTCCTCCTTTACAGGTGTTCTCGAGGGGCCGCAGTCAATCAGGCCAGCGTTGCCGGAGGTATTATGCGCTTGCGTGTTCGATCGGTAGGTGTCGGCGGGAAGGGGTGTTTCGTATGACTGCAACGGCGAGGGTTGCGGTCTGTGAACGTAGGATTTCTTCGCGGATTTCCTAGAATGTGTCGGAAGCTCGTCGAAGATGTCGATCCCTTTCGGCGGAAGCCAAACTTCTTTGCCAGCCGAAGAAGTATGTGTCTTGCCTTTAGATTGGCCGTCCGTTGGGCTGGGAGTCGGGTAGAGCTCAAATTTCAAGTGGTAAAAGAAGGACCGCATAGCCTTTCGCAACCCTGCGGGCTGACGCTCGTCTGTGGGTGCTGTCGTAGTGGCCGGCGTGCAAATCGGCTAGCAAGTGATGGTATAGAAACGAATTGTACTATGGAGGTAGAACGATTGTCACCGAAGCACTTCGTAAGGTTTGCTTAAGCTGCTCATAACAACGAGTGGACGGGGGTGTATTTCGGAGGAATAATTTAGGTGCAGGGTCTCTGTGGAAGGTGTTCCCCCACAATGGAACCCCACCGCGGGCACGGGTCCACTGGTCACGTCACTGATAAGGCGCCTGCGTTTCGCGGCCGAATCAAAGCGGTGCTGGACTGTCACTGCAGGCGCTGTGTTTCTTTTTCCCGATGGATACAGAACCGATCTAAAAGTAAGAAAGCTGCAGCGATGAAGACTACAACGATGGCAAATGGAGGTGACTGGCGACCACAGCACACGATAATAGACGCTAGAGACGGACGATGATAACGGGTAACGGATAACGGTAACGGACGACAGTGACGTTGAAAGACTACAGTGACAGGCGACAGTGTTAGACAATAGTGACGGACGAGGGTGATGGACGAGGGTGACGGACGAGGGTGACGGACGCGGGTGATAGATGACGATAGTGACAGACGACAATGATAGCAGACGACGAAGCAGGACGACGAAGCAGGACGACGATGACGGATGATGACGGGCAACAAGGGCGAAGACGACAACAGATATAGACATCACGAGAGGGGACGAAGCTGCGCGACGAAGCAGAACGAAGACGCAAGAAGACGACGCAGGACGACGGCGGACAACGATGACGGACGATAAGAAGGGCAAGGACGACGACAATGGATACAGACATCACGAGAGGGGACAAATGTAGACTTCAATGGTCTGTATTGGCGCTATTGAGCGCATGGTGCCTGATTTACCAGGCCCTAACTAAGATATCATCATGCCAATGCCGTAACCCATAACCCATGAACGCCGGTGAGGAAAGAGCCGCCGCTTACTGGCCTCCACGGAGGCGAAGCACCAAGTGGAGGGTCGACTCCTTCTGAATGTTGTAGTCGGAGAGGGTGCGGCCGTCCTCAAGCTGCTTACCAGCAAAGATAAGACGCTGCTGGTCGGGGGGGATGCCCTCCTTGTCCTGGATCTTGGACTTGACGTTGTCGATTGTGTCTGACGACTCCACCTCCAAGGTAATCGTCTTGCCGGTCAGGGTCTTCACGAAAATCTGCATACCTCCGCGAAGGCGAAGGACCAAGTGAAGGGTAGACTCCTTCTGAATATTGTAGTCGGAGAGGGTACGACCGTCCTCGAGCTGCTTGCCAGCGAAGATGAGACGCTGCTGGTCGGGGGGGATGCCCTCCTTATCCTGGATCTTGGACTTGACGTTGTCGATAGTGTCGCTAGACTCCACCTCGAGGGTGATGGTCTTGCCAGTGAGAGTCTTGACAACTGGGAATTGTTAGTACGGTACTGGGTGGTGTAGGGTCAAGGAAGTCGGTTACTTACAGATCTGCATGCCACCGCGGAGACGGAGAACCAAGTGAAGGGTAGATTCCTTCTGGATGTTGTAATCAGACAAGGTGCGGCCATCCTCAAGCTGCTTGCCAGCGAAAATAAGACGTTGCTGGTCGGGGGGGATGCCCTCCTTATCCTGGATCTTAGACTTCACATTGTCGATGGTATCGGAAGACTCGACCTCGAGGGTGATGGTCTTGCCAGTGAGGGTCTTGACGAAGATCTGCATGATGGCAACTTCTGAGTGGTTGTGATGTGATTGATGTAACTGATGGTGGATGTAGAAGTTGTCGCTGATGGACGAGTGCTTGTGTGGGATGGAAGGCGGATGAATGTAGGAAGAGGAATAAGCGTGGTGGAGGAGAGGTTGAAGCAGTTAAATAGTAGGAGGCAGAGGAGATACTGGGCAGGCAGGAGGCGGGTGGTGACTGACCGCGGCGAACGCAAGGTAAGGGAAGGCAGTGGGGGGCGCAGGCGCAGGTGGAGAACCAACCTGGAAGGTACCTTACTGCGTCCTTACCTGACGGTTATGCGGTGCACTGAGGCAGTACGGATATGCCTTGTGTCCTTGTCTGGGGGAATGGCGAATGATTCATCAGCAAGCAAGAGCGCTAAGGTAGGCAGGAGCAAGCCGGAACCCTCCAGAACCAAGTGGACCAGGAGGGTGCGGGAGGTAGCCAGTACCTTCCAGTCAGGCATGGACGGGTGCTGATTTCATGTACTCGCCACTTCTTATCTGCGCTATCGGGCCACCTCTCCCGCCGACCTGGAAAGGCTGGAACCCAGTTCTGCTGTGCCTGATGTCTCAGTTCGCAGCGCTGGACCTGCCGCTGGCCACTGACCACGACGGTTGGCCACTCGCCATCGCCGCTTCTTTGATCAGATGGCCTCACTCATGCCGCCGTAGCCCCGAGACGCCATTCGACGAGTGGCTGCCGAGAGATCAAAGATCTGTTGTTTGTGATCAATGGCAGTTGCGAGATGCGAATCTTCAAAGAACTGGGAGGCGGGAGCGAGCTCGGGGGCCCGTCGGCAAGAACGTCTCGCGCAGGAGGGAGCCACTGTTTACTGTTTCCCCGGAGCCTTAAGCGTTAGGCAGTCTGTCACCGATGGGTCGCCGCCCCATCGCAACTCGCAACCCCTGCACCTGCTCCGCCTCTGCCGTCCACCTCGGACTGTCTTCGTCAGTCGTCATCGCAGACGACTCAGTCATGGCTGAGAAGCGTCGCCGAGAGCATTCACGGAGTAGGTCACCACAGCTGGAGGCTGGAATGTTTTCCCCCACGGAAGAACCAACCTGCCAGACCGAGAAGGCGGGCGGTTAAACAACTGGCTGTCTTCGTTCTCGACGCTGGGCTAGGAACGTGTCTCACCCAACCGCACCGAGAACACCACCTTGACGATGGATGGCTCAAACTCAACCAACTCACAGACGCCAGACCGACTCAAGGCCACACACTACCATCCAGGCACTGACAATGTGAATGCAGTGGCGCCCCACCCGCCACCCGGATGCCGGCCATTTTCAGAAACACGGCGACGCCTGACTGGCAAAGCGCGTGCAATGTGTCACTACCACCACCTTAATCGCCACTCGAGAGCCTCCAGTCAATCTTTTCCTCGTCCGAAGAATCGCCTGCCAATCCCCCGATGCCTCTAAAGCTTCTCTGGACCTCATCGCTTACCTCTTCCAACGACTCCATCGGTTGTCCGTCTGCCTGCGTTGGCCTCGCCCAAGATGGCTTCATTTCCACATCTCAGCGCGCCCGCGGTCGCCGAACAGTCACACCAGACCCCGACAGCTCACCCCGGTATCGCTATCGCTGGACCCCCGCATTTTAGCGCATGATGACGCCAGACGTCATTCCTCCCAACCTCTTGAGCGCCCGACCCTGATTTTACCATCGTTCGAGACCGACCGACAAACTGCAACCTCTTCGGCCTGCCTGCCCAACAATGTCCTTTGAATAAATTACCCGGGAGGAATGGGTGTGTGAAGCAATGTCTCTTTCACTGTTTCGGGAGCAAGCCACATGGATCATGGCAGGACGAGACCGATCAGATCCAGTCGAGAATGCTCCCCAGTGACGCATTCGTTTTGTCGGAGAAACGAGACAGAGGGATTGCGACATCGCCATTTCGACGCTCGGCCCTCGTCACGACGACTCACGGTCGGCGCCAGAGCCCGTATTGGGCAGCCGACCGACATCGTGGCACCAAAGTGCGAACGTGGCAGACTGGCAGTTCATGTCTGCAGCAGACGAACACCACCAACTGCACTCCTCGCAGCCAGCCACCGTCTTATTGGTTTGGCCTCAACGTGCCAAACCGCCAGCGCTGTCTCTGATTTGCTCCGATAAGGGTCCCCCTCCCCGACTTAACCCCGCAGGCGTTCGCGTTCTTGCGGTCAGCAGGCCATGAAGGTCAGTCAATAGTTCCAACTCAATGTCGACAGAAGTCAAAAAAATTGTTCAACGGGCGGAGATCCCGTGAGCGTCCCTGGAAACAATTCCGCGACCGGCATGGGGAGCTCAGTCAGCAGCAGTTGTCCGAATCGCATCAACCAGTGCACCGTCGGGAAGATTCGCCGTTACAGTCGGAGCAATAGACCAGGACCTCTATGATCAACGGCGAGGCCAATTGACTGAGGATCCAGGAGCCAATCTAGCCTTGGAAAGCCTAATGTTGTCCTTAGATTCACAGCGTTACTTTCAAGGGCTGTGTTGACTGCAAGGGTCCCGCTAGATCAGGCCACGTGCCAGACACTGCGAGACAAGCTGCACGACCATCGTGAACCGCAGTATATGCTCAGTGGTTCGATAGAACCTATGCGGCGGCCATGAGAGCGTTGACAGCAACAAGCAATCTCAGGCATCTCCCTACAGCGCTTTCTGCTCTCCGCTACTCTCAAGATTGGGGCCTCTCAGTTCCTGGGACCACTAGACCTGTCTGTGAAGACATGGGCCTGGCGACCTGGCCCGTAATTGCGGGTTGGCTCACCGCTTCAACGCATCGTGAAGGGGGGTGATTGCGGTCAACTTCGTAGAGTATAAAGGGCGTATCGTCTGCCCGTCCCGTCCATGTCCGAATGCAACCTGCCAGGCCCTCGCTCCTCGGACCGAGCAGATTGGCACAAGACGTGGCTGTTCTGACTTGCTTGGTCAGTGACGCTGGTGTTGGGTGCTACCGTCCTGCTCTTCAAGCCTGGAGAGACCGCCGCGGCGAAGGTCATCTCTTGTTGTCTCGCTGGCTGTCACAGCCGCGTCAGGACACGTGTCCGCATGGCGTGGTCGACAAACAGGCCAAGAGACAACGAGGAACTCACGTTGGTTGCTTCAAGGTGTAACTGATGTGAAGGGCAAGAAACAATCTCTTCGATATATCGAATTTTGGCCTAACTACAACGGACATAAAAATGCCGAACCTATTCGGCCAAACAGAGCCTCTCCAAAAATTCTAGAAGGCGTTTTCATCCAAAACGGTCCCTTCTGCCACCCAGTAATTCCAAAAATGCATATCGTAATCGTCTATGCTATGCTGTTTCATTTCCGTGCCTGTCGTGCCGGCATAATCGTCTCCGTTAAATTTGGTAAACAACAAAAAATATTCTTTATAGCGCATTTGTCGCGTCTCTCTTCGCCGCAGCGCAGCCGTCTAGCCAACGCGCAACTCCAGACCTCTCCACCACGTTGAAAGCTTCGAGTCATACATTCGTAATGAATCATGAAAAAGGGTCGTAAACACATCGAGACGAATCGTGTTGAGAGGTGACCAGCCGCAAAAAGAAGTGAAGTCAGAGGATGTGTGTGTGTGTGTGTCTGAGGGAGATCATGTGTAGTGTCTCGTTCAACGCCGTCGCTGTGACCCGTAACATAGGAAACAATGCCCACCCGGGGGCTTTTAAATGACCTTCCGAGAAACATATATCGCAAATTATGACACAAGATGGTTAGTTGGCGCGGATGACCAACTTCGACAGGAACTTGTTGGACAAGCAGTCAAAGTCGTTGCGGTCAAAGGTGGCCTCGGGGCGAGTGCGCAAGTACGACTCTGTGGCGGGGTTAGTATCGTCGCTTTTGGATGCCTAGTGTGATGAGACTTACCATGCTTGATGACGTGCTCGCGGACCTCAGTCATGGCCTCGCAGACGGCGACGTTGTTGTTCAACAGGTGGCCGTGCTTGGAGGTGTCCCAGTCCATGAAGGCGGGCAGCTTCTGGGAGATGGCGTGGAACAGGCCGACAATGACACCGACGGGAGTGGTCTCCATGTCGCTGCAGAACTTGTTGACGGCAGCGGGATCGGGCACGCGGTAGTGGCAGTCGAACTGCATCTCCTCCCAGACGGCAAGCAGGATGGAAGCCAGCATGAAGATGGTGGGCCAGTTCTTGAGGCGCTCACCGCTGTAGACACTGGAGTACAGGGCAGAGAGCTCCTCAAGAATCTCCTTCTGCAGCTCACGCCACATGTCGGCCATGGCGCACTTGATCTGGAAGTTGATCATGACGGGGGCGACGGTCCGGCCGTAGTACTTGGAGTCCTCGTCGTCGATCTGGCCGTCAAGGCTGACCTCCTCGCCCTGGTTCTCAACAAGGGTGATGTGAAGAGTGAGGTTGTAAGCCAGGACAAGCTTGAGAGCCTTGCGGATGACAGGCATGCGCTCCTTGACGTAGTAGCGGTGAGCGGTCTTCAGGATCTCAGTGATGAAGGGGGTTCCCTCAAAGTGGTCCTCAATGAAGTCCTCAAAGCCGCCGTCAATGTGCTTGTCGAGGTAGTCGGACAGAGCCTCGACGGAAACGCCCTTGGCACCGACGTCAAGGTTACCAGTGCGGAGCTCAAAGTCGATGGGCTCCTGGTCGGTGAGGCAAGACTCAACCCAGTCGGCCTGGAAGCAGCTGTCGTCGGCGACAAAGACCTCGCGGACGTAGACAGGGAGGGCAAAGCCATAGCCGTGAGTGATCCACATGAGAGTCTCGCTCTGGGCAAAGCCCTTGACGTTGTAGACGGAGACGCCACGGCCAAGGTGACGCTCATAGTCGGCCTTCCAGTCCTTCATGAAGTAACCAATGTCCTTGATGTCAATGCGAGTGCAAGGAACCTGCCACAGGCGGGCGTGAGAAGGCTGGCAACCAGCGCAAGGCTCGCCCTTGTCGCAGGTCTTCTTGAGGAACTTGCAGCGGAGGCAAGCACGGAGCTTCCTGATCTCGCTGGCCTGCTTGCGCTGCTCAGGCAGGAGAGGACCCTTTCTGCGGCCAACCTTCTTGACCTCGGAGCCGTCCTTCTTACCGGTGGAGGTGCGGCGGATGACGGCCTTGGTAGACTTGGCAGTGACGGGGCTCCGTCTCTGGCCCGAGTTCCTCCGGGCGCTGACAATGGGAGGCGAGGTGGCACCGGAGCCGCTGGCGGGCGTAGGCCGGGTCGGGGTGGTGGTCGTCGTCGTCTTGATGGGCATCGGAGCAACGGCGGACGCAGGGCTGACTGTGTCGTGGTTGTGAGCGTGGTTGTGGTTGTCGCCGAAGCAGTTGCGGTGGGATCCTGCGTCGACATATCCATCGGATTCGGGGGAGAAGGGCGAGATGGGGAACGGGGGAATCTCCTCATAGCTGCCGAGCTCAAACGAGTTGGCTCCATCCGACGAGTCCGAGTTGGTTCGCAGATGCAACGTCTGGCTGGGGTTGAAAATTGCCGCGTTGGGCTGGGGCTGCTGGAAGTGGTCAAAGCCGGCACCGGAACCCTGCTCGACAACCATTGACCATCCCTCTCCGTTGCTAGAGCTAGGCAGAGACAGAACCTCGAGGAAAGTACCGGTGGGCGAGTTGCTGCCGATGCTGTGGGAGAGACCCTCAATCTGCAGAGCGGAAGCGGCGGCCTGAATGTCGTGCCAGCTCTCCATACCCATGTTCCAGTTCATGGCGGGAACAGTCTCGTCCATAGGCGGCATGGTGTTGAAAGCGGATGCGAGCTGGAAGTTTGCGGCCAAAGCTTGAGTCGTCGCGGGGAGGAAGTCGATGGTATTCGCCTGGAAACCCGGGGCGTAGGGGTTGTAGGTGACGGGCATGTAGGCATCGGAGACGAACTGGGAAAAGTCCTGGACGGGGATGTGAGGCTGTTGCTGCTGCTGGTGCTGGTGTTGCTGAAGAGCCCAGTCGGTCAAGGAGTTGACGGGTTGCTGGTAGGGGGAGTGATGGGAGTGCTGGCTGAGAGGCGAGGAGCTGTGGGAAGGCGAGTGTGCTTGCTGGTCTTCGGGAGGACTCGAGACAGCGGGATTCGAGGCCATATCGAGAGGAATGGGCCAGATCCTTTGGGCGGGCATGTTTGCGACGCTCTGGGGGCTGTTTTGCGAGGAGGGGATTTGGGAGGCGTAGGAGAATCGGTCCCGCTGGTCGAACGAGGAGAGGTCGAGGAGGTCGCCTCCACTCGAATCGAAGTTGACGTTCATGATGGGTTGGGCTGGGCGGCTGGTATCAGTCGTTCGAAAAGATCGAACGGGTAGGTGTAAGTCGAGGAAACGGGACTTGGAGGAGTGATATGGGCTTGGACCCCAGGACACCGCTCTTTCGTCGGGGGCGTCTGGATGTGGATGGAGGAGTTGTCTGACCCTTTCTTCTGCGGAAGAAGGAGGTTTTGGGGGAGGAATGGTGTGGGCTGGATGGGATTCGGGTGGTCAGAAGGGCGAGAGAACAGGACGGGGCGCCCCAGATGCGGGCATGCGTGGGTGAAGAGGAAGGACGACGAGCCCGCGAAAGAAGCGGTGAGAGCTGTAGTCGAACGTCCAGCCCCGGCCGGGAGGAGGAGCCAATGAACGGGGCCGGTGCTCCTTCTGCAGCTGCACGAGTGTGGAGCGGGGGGGGCCGGGGTGGTTGCTCCAATGGAAGCTGCTGCGGCCGGTGGTGAGCTCTTGGGAGACTGGAGTTCACAGTGTTGGGGGGGGGTCTTGGGGGACGCATGGTGGGTTTAGGTGGAGGACGATGGAGGGGGGAGGCTTGTTCACGAGGGCCACTTTTTGCGACGGGGGCACCGGGGGGGTGGCAGACGGACGGTGGACGGGCCAATCACCAGCCGCCACCGTGCGAGGGAGACGGTGTCTCGAGGGAAGAAGCACCGTATTTTGCCGGGCGAGTCAACGGCCACCACAGTGGCAGACTGGCTGGCAGCAGCGAGTGGGCTGGCGGTTGCAAAACGTGTGTTAAACGTCGTGAATGGTACCAGGCCCAGACGGGCTTAGCGCCGACGGCTACTGAACGAAGAGCCCCCGTTGAAAATGGCTGGCGAGCCCAGTTGAAAAGCCCAGATATTGGACCAGACGGTGCGAGAGACGAGACTAACGGACGCTAAGGGACCCATCAGATGGAGTACGTACCCCAGCCATGGAAGCCGCGAAGCGACAATGGAAACGTTCTTTCCGCCTTTGGCGAGCTTCTGAGATGTGGTTCTGCCCTTTCCGCGGTCCACCGTCTACTGAGCCTCTTCCTCTAGGCTCCTACGAAGCGAGATGTCATGCTAATGCTCTCGCTCAAGACACTCGCGGTGGAAGAATCAAGCAAACATGACTTCCATCTTCCATCTCCGGAGGGATCGTGCAAGGTGACGATGCTGTACCTGTTGTGCGGCTGCTGCTGCTGTTGCAGTGGGTTGCAGCTAGCTGCTAGGTCCTTTCGTCGTCTTGCCTCGTCCTCGACCAAGTCTGGCTATCGTCTCACACACACAGTCGCACTCACACCCACGCGCACCCAACCAACCTGGTCACCACTCCCACCACCACCACCACCACCACCACCAGTGACGACCACCACCTGGCACCACCAATCCTGCCCCTCCTCCATTGCGCAACGCAGCTGGCAAACCACACTCGTCCCATCATCCACCCCGCGACTCATGGGCTTCGCGGCGAACACACACGCACACACAAGACATCCAATTATCCAAATAGCTCCACAGGCTACAGGCGCAGCTGTTGTCGTGCTGGCCTCTGTGTCGTCGACCTGTCCCTGGAATAAGACTCCAAGACCTCAGTTGCCTACCTGATCCAGCGCCCACATTCCAGAGCCCTCCTCGTGCCTGCAGCACGCTGCCCGCAGAGTCAATCGTTTAAAACAGGAGGTTCCGGATGGCGATCTGCTCTGGTCTGGTGGGCCTTTGGTCGTCTTCCTCGTCGTCCCTCTCTTTCCGAACCAGGCACGCCAGCAGCAAGGCCTTCTTTCAAGGGTTCAATCTCCAAGGCCTGCCAGGTACCAGTCGACCAGTTCAGACCCCGAGCTGCGCGAGCTGGGACCGAGCTACCTGGGCCTGGATGGAGCTGCTGGAGGAACATCGGCAGTTGCAGGAACCGACGACCGGTTCGGATACGCGACCAGAGTGAGGTACCTCGCGAACTCGCCCGCTCGCCCTGCAAACCGCACGCATACGCTACACACGCAGTCTGCAGGCCTCGCAGAGCCTGGACTGTATCTTTCGTGCGCCGCTGCTGCTGCACTGCTGCAAATCGACGGCGACCGCGATGGCGACTTCGCCTGCGACTGCCACCGTCTGTCCATCTTGCCTCTCGCTTCACGCTGCTGCAGCCGCCACCACCGGCCATCTCTACTACGCAGTAGCGGTTGTCACCAAAATTCGTCCGGCATCATGCATTCATCACGCTGACGAGGTTCCCCCCGATCACCAGCGGCACCTGTGCGTGCGCAGGACCGCAGACGGCGGCTAGCCCCGAGGCATTGGTCTGTTCTTGTGCGACGACACGGACGAGACAGCCCACGGACGTTGGCCGGCGCCTGGCCAAGGCTCTGCTCTGCTCTACCTACTTAGTAGTACTCTACTGAGGTGATCAGCAATCGACCGTGCTCGCTACCGTACTACACACCATTCACCATTCACAGTTACGTGCTGTGGCCTGGTGGCTGTCGCCGCTGCGGTGCAACCGCGACAACATGTGTGGACTGTGGACTGTGGACGTGTGCGCCATGCACCAGAGACAACGCACAGTGCAACGGCGCGGGAAAACATGCCCACGGCTGCTGCTGCTGCTTCGTCAAAACGGGGGAAACGATCAGCTCACACGGCACTGGATCGGCTGTCAGCGGCCAACTCTATCTGCACCTCCCGTCAACGGCACATCGGCCATCCCCTCTCACCTGTCAGTCAGCCTCCGCCCAGGGTCCAGTCCTGGAGCCCACTACCCGTAACGTCCGTATTGCCAGCGTTTTCAAAGAGTGGGATGATTGATTCCAGAACTGGGTCAATCGACTCAGGGAAAAACACGCACTATGGATATAATGCTATTGTTGCCATGTTTCCTCAAGCGGCAACACCGACTACAAGCGTCCAAAGAGGACAACTGCCCGCTAGCAGCCTCGGTCGTTTGCTAAACCCTCGCCCGCGGGGAGAGAAAAACCTGGCTTCCCACTGCTCCCAACATGGTGCCAAGGCGACAGTGGCTGGGGGAGAGTCAGGACGGACCACAACTTCTCACCAGACCCTTCGGAGTTTTCAAGCCGCCCCCTACCACCGCAGAAACAGAGCCCCACGAACAAGGACCAGAGCCAGCCATTGAGAGGACACCTGTTGCGCTAGCCTTCGATCGCAAGTTGCCGCAGATCTGCCATGGCAGCATTGGCAAACGCAAGGATGAAAATCTTCTCGTACGGGCTCCAGTCGATTCTGGGTCTGGAGCCCAGACGCCTGCACCTGCCGTGGTAGTGGACGGATACCTCATGCGAGTACCTACTTGATGCCCGCAAGACGCCAGACGACGCAACCCAAGAGACGACAGCGCCGCCCTCGCGCTTGTGGTAGCCGGCTCAACAAAACCACCATCCTCACCACCACCGCCCCTTGTACACTCCCGTACAAACTTGTTTGTCGTGTACCCCTCGACCGATAGACCACAGACGGGCCCTACCTTCGCGGTCCTCGCCCCAGTCCCCGCTGCAGATAGACGATGCCACTATTGGCATTGGCTCAACAGGCCCTGCCTTGCTTGCTCGCCACAGGTGTCGCTCTCACCACGACGGCGACGCAAACTTCAGAACTGATGTTTCCGGCGCGCCTGTCTCCCCACAGACGTGGGGACGACGTGCATCCGATTTCTCCTCTTTGCAGACCCCGCCTGTTGCTGGGCTCAGGCATCTGAGCCTCGACAACGACGACTCCTGCATTGTTATTGTTGGTTTGCATCAGCCGGGCTATTTTCGAATGCAACGATGCCCTCGTCCTTGGCCGTCCCTCGAATTTAGATGCCTGGCCGAGTATTGCGACCTGGCGATACGCCGCCGCCGCCTCGATACGGGTTACCAAGTCTACCGTTTGGTGGGGAATCTCTCGCGGGAATAGTTTCTTCCTGGCGGATTTCTGAATCATGTGTCCAGTGGTCCGACGGTTCGCTGTCACGGTTGTCACCCTCCCGGTGGTTGGCTGCAATCTTCAGTCTGAGCACGCGGTGGATCGCGGAGAGCCGGTGCAAAGACCATGGTGAGGCTTCAGCAGATCTCCCTCCTCTAGCTCGAACGACGATGAGGGGCACTGGGTGCACAGCCCGCAGCCTGTCAAACGAGCCAGTTGCAGATGACGAAACGGACAGTAGCACTCTGTAGTCTGTACAGGGTCCAGGCATCTTGCACGAAAAGACCGGACTTATCGCGCTGCAGCAGTGAGCGGCCAGCGGCCAGCAGCAGTTTAACACGACGCCCGATTCCCCACCCGTATCACGGATAATGTCTGAAGAGGGCCTCGCGATATTGCGAGACTGGCTAGCAATCAAGGTACATCCCGACCTCGACACACGCAACAATGTCCTTTGCCGTAACGGAGCGATCAACGTCGCAGGCGGGAGGTTCTTTTAGCCCTCGTTGCCGCGAGCGCACGTTTCCCTTATTGGCTTCGCCTGCAATTAAGGCACATCAGATCTACACCAAGATGGCCGTTCCCAGCTTCCCCTCCCTCCAATATGGGCGAAGACTACGACGACATCCAGACCCTGCACCCTGCGTCGTTTTTCGGATAGTGGACGGACAAGACGATAGTTGATCCGGTGTGCCCACCCCGAGAGCTGCCATTCTGGACGACGATTCGTGCCACCTTCCAGCTCTCGGCAGCCTGCAGTCAAGGCATGAAAAATGGCACATCATCTTGCATACTCTACCTCTGACCCCAAGACGGTTTCTTATGAGTGCACTCGTCAGCGGTTGGCTGCTCCCCACGCCGGCCGCACGCTTGTTCGAGACCCAGAAAATCGAATTGGCGCGTGGTATGAAGCAGACATCCGCACAAGCCGACGTCGCACGAAGCCTAGAATCCCATGCTGCCAGATAGCTGTCTGTCTCGTCTGAGCTGCGAACCTCATGCTAAGCAGCTAAGGTGAATCAGTTCCATGGCCAAACCCGACCTGCGCCGTGTGGGGGGCGGCAATGGGACAGCGAATCGTCCGGCAGCGATGCGAGCGAGAGTCATTTTTGAGTCTGCTATTGGTGCATCTCCGGTACCAGCAAGGGGTCGCTCAGGCACAGTCGCGTCTCCCCGCCATGCCCCGGGCTTTCGTGGACGGGAAAAGAAACCGGCTGCAAGCCATCCCCTGAATCTCGAATGTGCGGTGTGAGATTTTCTGTTTGATTGAAAACGCCTGGACTGCAGCATCAGCCAATGACCTGCCATATTCCCGAGTGAATATCGGCCGTTGGCGGGATTCGTCCGAGGGCTCTGTCGGCCTAACGTCTTCCTTGCATTACGTGATGCAAGTAATGCCTCTGGAGAGACAGGAGGCTAGGCGCTGTCAGATGCCAGAAGGCATTGGCGACGCATTGGGGCGATCGAGAATTTGATCGGTTCGTTGTAATCCAGCCATGGTTCTGGACTTGCCTTGTGGCAGGCTGCGAACAACTCAATTCGGCGAGACGATCTCGATGCATCTTGGAATGCGGGCGTGAGGCACTGATACCAAGCGGTTGTCGGGAGCGTCCACTAGTCCGACAAACGCGGGGCAATCCTACATTATGCCAAACCCCTCTCGACATTAGGCATGGAGGGGTTGTCTCGACTGACCTCACCAGCCATGCAATATCTGGCGAGACCTAGCGATGAAAGGTGCCCATCGCCGGCCACAGGCACGGCCGATGGTGGGTAGGTCGGTCTCACCGTCCGAGCACCAGCCGGCGTCGAAATCCACGGAACCGTCCGCCCTTAGTGGGACGCTCGGAGCATGAGAAGTCTTGACCGCTTGTTCCGCGTTGAGTAGTGGTGCCCGGAGCTGAGAGCGAGGAAAAAGTTTCCTCAACGTCAGGCCTCTCTCCCATCGTCGCCCAATTCTGGGAGGAGGGGTTGGAGGGGTCGTACGAGGGGCAATTCAAGGCAAGCAAACCGGATTAAACTTTTCATTGTATCGGATTGTCCAGCTGAAGAATGGGTTCTTTGAATAGCGCTCGCTTTTCCAAAACAATCCAGGAATGGATTTTCTGGGGCCTCTTCATATGCAACCTTGATAACGATGTGTTGGCTCCAGTCGCATCCCGGGCAGGCAGAGTTGACCGCCCAGGGAGGGGGGTACATGGCCAACGCATGCATTTGGGGGCGTTTCGCAAGTCACGCCACGAGGCTGCGTCCTCTGCGTTTTTCTTTCGCGATGCTTTCCCCATAGGACTCGTGGTTCGAAGAAGTTCTTCGCGCCCATGTGGATTGATGATTCACGTTGATGGGAATCTTCAATCGGGGCGTCGTCGTTCCCCATCATTGGAATCGTTTCCGGTTGGTAGGTTGAAGGAGACACTGGAGAGAGAATAAAAGTGTGTTGGTCCGCTGGGTCCGGAGCGGTCACGATTGCATCATGAGCTGTGCTGGTGGGTTGACGATTTGTTTGGATGGGGCCGCGGGCCGCGCGCAGGTGTCATTGCTGTTTCATGAGGGTTAGTCTTGTGTGCAGCGCGAGCTCCACGCGGGACGAAGTGCGTGTTCCTGGCGATGGCCGGTGCGCTGGCTGTGGGTTATGGGACTTTGGGTCTCTTTTTTTGTCGGTTTGATGAAGGTTATTCCCTCGTGGTCGACAGCCTTACGGGCGTGTGGTGGTTCATGCCCGACGGAAGGTTTTGTGAGTCATATGGAGAGGGAAGCAGTTCGGGGTTCTGGGTGCTGGAGTTCGTGTGAGAGGATGGGGATGTTCCTTGTGAGATGTGAGGGACGTGAGAGAGGTGTGTGCTTGTTAGTTGTGAGTGAATGAGGTGAGTTGATGCCTTTTTTTTTTGGCTTTTGTGAGGTCTCGTTGCCTTGGAGTGGAAGTCAAGATTTTGAGAGTTCGGCTCATGTGCGGTTGTCATCTCGCATGGCTTCGATGAGATGAACGCAGTGTAGGTGAGGGATCGGATGACGGGTGAGGTGTGTGAACTTTACCTTGAGCATGGCAAGATGTTGCGTGATTGCGGTTGTCACGAACGTACTCAAGTCGGGTCGATGGTAGATTTCAGAGTTGGGTTTCTGGGTGTCAGTGATGATCGTCGATGTCCTCTTTGGCCTGCGAAATCTGCTGGTTTTGGTTTGCAGCCGTTGTCTCAGAGCCCGCCGTCGTCTCAAAATACCGTCTCTGTTGCTAGAAGAGACGTTCTTGGGGGTGTATGCAACGGTCCCCCATCACACCGTTGGCATAATCTGCTGGTCTACTCATCATTTCCTTCGATATGGATAGCGGTGCAAAAATGCTTTTTCCCTTCTCAGGGCAGAAGCGTTCTCTGTGAAGCACAATGGACCTCTTGGGGCGGACTTGTCTGCCACTCGGACGCTTGTGGAGCTCATTCTCTTCTGGATCATAGGGTTATGCGCACTCTCCAGCAGAAACACTTCATACCTGGATCGAGAGCTTTATACATCTTGTCAGTGGCAGTGTAGCGCATTCGATACCTATTGAGTTTCTTGCACAAGGTTCAACCGCCGCGGATGTAGAATCGGGGTGGAACCGAAAGGCTCAACACGACCGGGGCAAGCTTTGGGATCATTGTGGGAAATTCGGACCAAGGTGAGGAGTAGTTTGCTTGCGTCTTGGCTCATGGACCGCTTCACTCAATCATTTACAACACGAAGGTCCCCATCTTATAACCACAAATGGAGCCTCGAGTTGGTAGTGTCTCTCGGAAGGTCTGCTTCGAGACTCTTGGCATGGACTCTGGGTCAGTGCTATCTCGCGGTTGGGAGTCTGGTGATGGCCGACAAAGTGCTGCGATTGCACTTTGAATACCTTGGTTAGGAACGTTACGAATCATTGTTCAATTGTGAAAAGCACTTAAGCTGCTTTCTGGAATAGATGGCCCTTCTGCCTGCGTGTCTGCCTCGGCTTTCCTGTCCGTACTACCCATCTCACATGCTCCGTTTGCCTGGACCCTCAACAATCACCAACATAACCAGAAGCTCCGAGGGCTCTTCCAGAGAAAGAGTTTTTGACCGGAGAGATACAAACGCACGTTACTTTCCTCGTTCCCAAAAACTTTGGCTATCCGGGCAGTGTCCATACACAGGTGTGCAGCTCGCGTGTCTTGCTGAGAGCCCCTTCTTTCCCCCTTGTGCTAAAGCGACTACGTCTCGCTGTCGTCGTCGTCTTTTCGTCTTTAGTCACCTGGATCATCGTCCATCGTCGCTATTGTCATCGCATCCCTATCATCGAGGCCCTACGCGCGCCCGATCGAGGTATTGAGTGCGCTGCGATTGAAGCCACAGGTAACACTGCCCAACTAGCAAAAATATTCTCAAATACTGTATTCGACACATTCTTGGTCAACTGGGAACATGTCATGGCTGAAGGAGGCCTCTGTAAGCATGCTTTGAAACCGAGTCACTTTCCCATGCGGTATTAAGCTTTCAAATGATTTTAGACGATAGACTCGTGAGTTTTGGACTCGATTACAGAAGACCGTGGCAGTCGCCGTACAAGGACGGACGGAATTCGAACAGGGAGCAAAGCTGGCGGTCTGCACCTTCGATGAAGATGTCTACAGGCTTGAGCGTTATCCCCCGTAGACCCTTCGTAGGTAAACATAGATACAATTAAAACTTTTGAGGAGATTCTATTCTGCACGAGGCGGTAGGGCGTACGCCTTGAGCCCGCCTAGGACTACCTCGTCCCGCCACTGCGGCGGTCGACGGTGCACGGCGAACACGGTGATGTTGAATCTCATTACGACCATGGAATACCCTCTGAAATTTCAAGAATCTTACTTTAGATAGATAATCAGCTGGCGTTCCTCGTTATTTATTTAAAGAATAAAGCCTTCTTGGTGATACCGCGAAGACTTGGCATCTGGGGCTTTGCTTCTCAAGCCGTGTAATCAATTCGATGGTGGTTTGGCTGACTTTGATGAGCCGGAAGACACGCGCAGTTCAACACTCTAATTCATGTGTGTTGTTTGAAGGCGTGTCGCCACGATTTGCAACAGCTGTCTGTAGAAACTGACTATATATACTAGGTGAATTTCACGAACGGGGGAGAACTGACGCCTCAAAGAACCCAACTCCATGGGCTGGCTGGGACATCAAAAATCTCAATAATTGACAAGAAGCATGGATTAAGCAGCTACCGACTTGAGATTTCCAAGCCCAGACCGATTCCACGAGTGCCTGGTGAACCCCACTCCGTCTGCCGCTTCCACGGCGCTCTCGGAAGCGTTCTTTTCGAAATGGCAATTATTTTCACTCAAGACCTATTTGCATCTTGAAACAGTCATTTGAGCACCAAATCTAAAAGGAGAACGGTATTTGCACGTTCAGACGTTCACACGAACCTACAACCTCGTTGTAAACATCGTGAGATGACGTCTTGGTGGTGACAGAAGCTCAGGCCGCTGCGGTAGTGGACGACAGGGGTCTAGCTCCCAGACCAAGCAGCCAATCAGACCGGACAAGACCCACTTAATCGAACTTCCTTTCACAAGCACCAGCAGCGGCAGCAGCGAGTGAGTGCGAGAGAGGGGCATAACCAAACCGCCCTCTCATCGCCCGTCAAGCTGCCTCACGATCCAACAACCAGACGGCGATATACGACACTACGAAATCCCCGCCGACGATGGCCACAGCATTTACGTCCTAATTTTATACAAAAAGCCTCACAAAACCACACCCCCCGCATCCTCTTCCAGAGTGAGATGAGACCCCGCATCAAACCTCTCAAACGCCGTCCCAAAGTCACCTTCAAGCGCGCAGCAGCAGACATGGCTGCCGCATCCCAACCCCAGGACCGCCCGGAGAGCGACGTGGACGAGGAATTCATCGACTACGAAAGCGAGCCCGAACCCTCGCCCACCAGCCAGCACAACCCCGCCGTCCCAGCGCTCTTCACCACGCCGCCGCCCGTCCGCGACGCCCTCCCAACCGCCACCTCCAAGCTCCAAGACGACACCCTCCGCCAGTGCCTGCCCTTCCTCGCCGCCGACCCGGGCAGCACCGCCGCCAACCCCGCGCGCAACGCGCACGGCGTGCCCGCCCTGCTGCGCGACAACCACGTCAAGTTCCTCGAGAAGCAGCTCGGCCGCTTCCCGGCGCCCTACGTCGCCGCCGACGCCAGCCGGCCGTGGTTCCTGTACTGGTCGCTCAACGCGCTCGCGCTGCTGGGCTACGACACGGCCGTCTACCGCGACGACCTGATCGCCACGGTGCGCACGATGCAGAACCTGCCCGGGGGCGGCTTCGGCGGCGGCCACGGGCAGAACTCGCACCTCGCGACGACGTATGCCGTCGTCCTCGCGCTGGCGATAGTCGGCGGCGAGGACGCGTACGAGGTTATCGACAGGAGGGCGATGTGGCGGTGGATCTGCTCGTTGAAGCAGCGGGATGGGGGCATTCAGATGACGTTGGGCGGCGAGGTGGACGTGAGGTGAGTTTCTGCTTTGCTTTCTCTTGATGGCGGACTATTCAAGCTTCTCTCTACTTTTGGGGTTAAGTCCCTTGTCACACCTGCTTTTTCTGACCACGCAAGGAGCCGTTCAGGGGAGCATACTGCGCCGCCGTCATAGTGACCCTCCTCAACCTCCCGCTCGAGCTCTCTACCGACTCGCCGGCCTGGACGCCTGAGCGGCCCACGCTCTTCACCGGATTGGCGGATTATGTACGCAGATGTAAGTCATACCTTAGCCCGGTTGCCTCGTTTTCTTATGTGCGTGTGTGTATGTGTATGAGTCTTGTTTGCTATGCTTTGCTTTGCCTGCCTGCCTGCAGCAGCCGCAGCAGTAGGACGCTGCTTTCTATCGCTCCATCGCTCACACCACCACCACTACTCTCAAGGCCAGACGTTCGAGGGAGGCATATCGGGAAAGCCGGATGGTGAAGCACACGGGGCCTACGCCTTTTGCGCGCTGGGCTGCCTCTCGATTCTCGATACTCCGCATCGCATCATTCCAAAGTACGTATCAATCCCCCAACCTCTCCTGTCCCTCTTCCTCCTCGTTCTCCGGCGCCCGCATAGACGCGGCCAGATGTCCGGATCTTTGCATCCCCTCCGGTCCACTGAGAAAGTGACATGGAAGCGGACGGGAAGGAAAGACAAAAAGACCGCTCACCTTGCATGAGACTTTCAAAAGTAATAATGAGAAACTGACCTTTTTGGTGTGTGCCTGGCCTGCCTGCCCCGGTAAAGGGGAGGGGGGCACACGCACGCACATTTCTGCTTGCGAAATAGATACCTTGACGTGCCACGACTCATCTCTTGGCTCTCGTCACGGCAGTATGCCCCGGAGGGTGGCTTCAGTGGGCGCACGAACAAGCTAGTTGATGGCTGCTATAGCCACTGGGTCGGTGGGTGCTGGCCGCTGATCGACGCCGTGCTGAAGGGCGCGAGTGAGCTCGAGGAGGAAGAGACAGCGGCTGCGGATCAGCAGCAGAAGCAGCAGCAATCGCGGACCACCCCCGCGGAAGGCAGTCTGTACAGTCGTGAAGGGCTGATCCGATACATCCTATGCTGCGGGCAGGACTGTAGCAAACGTGGCGGTCTTCGTGACAAGCCGAGCAAGTAGGCGACATCTCCCTCCCCCCCCTTTTTTTTCCCTCATCCGAACCATAGTCGTTTGCCGCCATTTGATTGCTGACGATGAAATGTGGCCAGGCCGTCGGACGCATATCACACCTGCTATGTGCTATCTGGACTGAGCTCGGCCCAGCATCGGTGGGACCTCACATACGTCAATGAAGACGAGACGATTCTGCCAGAGCCCAAGTGGGTGGTGTCGCCTTGCGCCGAGGGAGCACAGATTTTCGACGAGGAGGACCGCGTCGGGACGATCCACCCCGTCTACACCATTCCTCAGGAGAGCGTCGACGACATGAAGGCGTATTTTGCGGCAAGGCAGGGATTCTAGAGGGGGGGAAGGAGTTCGGACGCAGCAGGCGCCACCAGGCCGCCGGAGAGGCGACCGCCCTCCCCCTTCTGTATTATAAGTCAGGAGAATGCGTCGGAGCTTCTTTGTGTCACGTGGGTTGTCAGAGATGAATAGGGGTTCGGTTCCGTGGGCGGAGGTCCTCCGTTGGAATTAGACTCCGTTGAAACGCGACGCGCCTACCGACGGCGGATCATTAAAAGGGGTGGGAATTGCGGAACGAACACGACGGGCCTGCAGCTTCGAAGGCCCGGCGTAAGAGATCTTGAACAGGGATCGTGCGCGGAGGGTTTGGACAACTCATCACGGCAATATAACGGCGCAGGCCACTCTGCGCGGGTTGTACATGTTGAGTTCCAGACTGGGTCTCCGAAAGGGTCGAGGTGCATGGCAAATCCGTGCGCCATCTGCAGCACGCGAATCGACATATGATGGCACGGGAAAGGAAGAGTCTGTTAATGGCAGGTAATACAACGCAAGCGACGATTTGTGGCCCTCCGAGGATGTTCTGCCAGATTCATTAGTAGGCACGTACTGTCAATGGGATGCCCACCTTTCCTCCCGTCCCGCATTCAACATTCAGCATCGCGATGGAAGAGGCTGTCTCCTCGGCGCCACTGCGTGGTGGCGGCAAATGCACATCATCCCCAGGCCGGGCCAATCTGGCGTTGCGAGTTCCTGCAACACGCCACTCTGATGCCTTGCCGTGCGGTTCTTGTGCGTGGCCGCCTACGCCTGTAGTAGCTGACGGTTTGAGAACGACGTGGATGATTGTCTTGGGGGGCGGCTGGCAAATCTGAGACACGAGGCAGACCAGCCCAGCCAGCCCTGGGACTCGGACAATACTCCCAGGTAACCAGAGCGGCAGGCTGAAGAGAGACATTTTCTGCGCGCATGGTGGATGATCCCGGTAGACTGACCTAACCCATGGCGTCCACGCAAGGCTCGATTGGCGCATCTCGCTTTACAGCAACTGTGCAGGGCCTAGGCGCAGATGTCTTTGCTGTCATACATGAACAAGATGCAGGTGGCCCCTCTTTTTTCTTATTCTCTCTGTGGCTCCGATATCAAAAGACCCGGATGCCGTGTTGTGGCCGCAAAGCATGGCCGCTTTGTGTCTCAAGGAGACATAATATTTCCCACTTATCGTTGGGGAGGAAGTACGCGTTGTCGGCTGATACATGTCGACGAAGCGACGTTAGATTGGGTCCCGACCGGGCGGACGTCGACGGCCAGCAGCATGACGCTAGACGTTCGCTGCTCTCTCTCTCTCTCTCTCTCTCTCTCACGGGCGTTGCGTGAAGGGGAAGACTGGTTCCATGCTGGACCAGACGATGGCGTGGCCATGGCTGCTGCGAGCAGAACGATAGAACGGCGGTCTGGTCTGCAGTGCAACGTACCAACGCGGGGTCCAGTCAGAGGAGCCAATCTCTCATTCTGTGCATCGCGTCTGGAGAAGCGTCCTCTCTCGCGACCGTCGAGGGTCCAATGGCAGATATCGAAGGAGCATGTTTGGAGCGGATGACGTTGAAAGAAGGCTAAGCATGTTTGTTTCTTTCTAGCGGGGTGTGGCAGAAGGTTGGCTCGGACAGGTCCCTGATGTCTCGCCCCTCACACCTCTTATCGCCAACATTGGAACCCTAGGAGGGAAGCTCTGCGGAGGGAGGGGGGTGTCGGGGCAGGTAGGGTGTAGACGGTACACAAGAAGGGACAGCAGCGCAATCATGGGCTTGTATTCCCGAGCCACCGGATCCCGCAGGCGGTGGTGACAACAACCCGACGGTGGGTATTGGAGTCGAACGAGATGGAGACTGTGCAACGGGCGTCGAGGGACAGAGGAACGGTGAGGCCCATGATGGGGAGTCACGAGCTCTGGTGAGGCCTCAATGGGCCGTGGAGGGCCGGGGGATGATACGAGAGAGGACGAGAGTTGCGGGGGCTCGAGGTAGCGCTGGCAGTGTTGGCAGGGCTGCGGAAGAAAAGAGGCGCAAAAGACAGATGTCTCGGGAGAGGTTCCGGAAGCCGTGAGGGTATGCCCCAGGTCCATGTTCCTTGTCGGTGGTCCGGTTTGGTGATGGACGGCCGTAGTCCGGATGGGTCGTTTGATCACCGGATCTTGGATGACTGGGGGTAGCCCGATGCTTGATGAGCAGTAGAGTTTGGATCTGGTGTTGCTCTGTTGCGGTAATTGACGGCAGACATTTGCGTTGACGCCTATTTGTCGAGGGCATGGCAATGTGTCACGGAAAAAGACAAGCTGATGTATGTAGCCGTGAAGGTCACGTCACTTTCAGCCACCGCTGGGGACTTTGCGCAGCAGCAGCAGCAGCAGCATGAGCAGGCAGGCGTCTGAAGGTAAGGCCCTACCTAGGGACGGCACTCCATCAGTGAGGTGTTAGGTTGGGTGTAGCTGTCTGCCTACATTGGGGCTGGGAAGCTGCGAGTGGGAGAGCTATGGATGAGGTCGGCGCCGATTTTGAGGGGTTGTGGGGACGGTGGGACGTCGGAGGGGCGGTCGATAGAGACGGAAGGGACCAGACAGGGTTCTGGAAGGTGCAATTGACGAATTAGAAGACAGGGCGGCGTCTACAGCGGCGCTAGTAAAGCTGTGATGGCAACCTGGAGCTCAGAGGGGGCAGCACCTGCGATGAGAGAAAAGATGGAAGTCGCACCTGCCAAAGCTGCCTCACCTCACCTCACCTCACCACATCAAGCAGGCGCCATGTCTCGTGGGTTCCTGGTATCGAAGAGACACGAAGACTTGGAGCCGCTGGCACCTTCTCTTCAAAGTTCAATATTGTCCTCCACTCTTTGACTCTGATTAAGGTAGATCTTTGGCAGGAGGGCACGGGCGATTCGCTTCACGTTCCTTACCTTACCTGCCACCGTACTTTGGCGCCCCTCCTTAAGGTAAGCACGACCTTCAAATGATGCACCTGCACCGCAGCTGCCGCCTGTCAAGGCCACTGCCTCGGCGCCTCCCCGACCTCTTCTTGCCTCAACGGAATATTGAACTCAACTCCATCCGGACAATGAGGAAGAGTTCGTCCGCGGCAATCGCAGATTCACGTCAAAAGTACTGGTACAAGCACGTCGGCAAAGCGTAGGCGCCTCAGGTATGGTTACCTTACCTACATTGCCTACCTGCGCTTTCAATGTGCAGAACAGGGTACGTTCCCGGGGAGGGTATGATGAGGTCAACGGTCAGACAAGGTAAGGGTCGTCGTTTTATGAGAAAAGTACCGTACCTGGCTTGCCATTCGCAATCACGAATCTCACTGGAAGGGAGAGCGAGAGAAAGAGAGAAAGAGCGATATGGCTGGCAAGCTGGGTAGCATCTCGAGGCATGGAACAAACTGGACGTCCACCTCTGGCGGCACTGCCAACTCATCATTGCATGGCCTGCATCGCTAACGCTCTGGCCCTGCGCTTCTTTGCCTAGTTCTGCCTTCGCGCGCGCACCAGTTGCAGCGCTGCATCTGCCTGCTGTCGCTAATGCTGCAGCACCACCACCACCGTCCACGACTCCTCTTCCTCAGTAAGGTACTTCTTTCCTTGGTACGAACACTCCTCCGGTAGAAGTACCTCTCCATATCGCTTTCTTGCCAGGGGTACATTTCGACTCTCCACTCCTCCCCACGCTCTTCTTCTCCTCCTCACTCACCAACAACACTGAACCACAACCACAACCACCACCACCATCGCGCCCACAGGCCCTCACCATGGCCACGGTTTTTCCCCCTCCACACCTCACCTTGACCTCTCGGCTTGTCCCTCTCCCTCGTCCATTCAGAACGTCGCCTCCATTCGCCAACGCGATCCTCATTTCTGATCTCCCACACCTTTCGGTCCTGTCGCCGCCACGACCCCCTTTGGGCCATCCAACGGTCTGCCTTCGCGTGGCTTTTGGCTTCTTCTCTCGGCCCATCTGCGCCCTTCCCTCCGCACCCATTCCGCCCATCGTCGGATGCACATCTACCTGCTACTCTGGCCTCACCTACCCACACCGCAGAGTCCATGAAGGCCTCTCTGGCGTGCCCTGCACCGCCCTGCCCTGGCAATCTGCGGCATCCGCAGTAAACAACAGACTGACGGGGGGAAATAATGGAGAGATGCAGATGCGTCTTGCAGATGGACAACTGCCTATTGCAACGATAACGCCGCGCCCCCCTCGCCCTTCCAGGTTCTTCTGGCCATACCATGCTGCTCATCCCACCTTAAGGGCCAAGTCCAGCCAGAAAGAAGCTCGCTGTCTGTTTCCCCATGTCAATGGATCTCGCCCCCGTCGAACCCACTTCCAGTAGTCTTCTCTCGGCGCTGGCAACTGTTCATGCACGTCGTCCACCTCCCTCGTCTCTCACAGCGACAAGAGATGAGAGATGACCTCTTCACCGACCTTGCAATCTCGCCCGCGCGTCCGCTCTGCCGCCCGCCGGGGATGGGGCTACGCTCTCAGCGTTGGTTGGTCACCGCACGCCTGCCCTGAGTCCTTCATGTGCCGTTGAATTCAGTTCCCAAAAAGAACGACGCCAGTCCCGATACTCCAGTCCGCCAGCGCCAGCACCGGCGTTAAACGGCACCGGCAGCACCAAAACCACAAGAAATCATCTTCAATCAGCGTCTCGCCGCCGACCGCTCCGCTCGTTCGCGTACACATCACTCGGAGTTGAAATGGCCTATTTTAGTCGGCACCCATGCTGACGCCCCGAGCCAACGAACGGCCGGCCGGGCAACAAGCGCTGATTCGCTGCTCCGGCCTGGTTCCATCACCGCAAGGAACAGCTGGACGGTGTACGGAGTACCGGTGTACATCACTCTACGGGGAATTTTCTCCATTTCCTCGGCCGCTGATTCGTCCAGCGCACGCAGGGCAATTGTCATTTTTGCCATCTCTGACTGGGCACAGCAGCTACACTACGACACGAGACTGGCCAACAGGCCGTTTTGACTTTGATGATGCCGTGCGAATCGCCCGCCATCGCTGCACATCATTGGGAGCCACCGGCTGATCCCAAACGTGGCCCCGGCGCCTGGCCTTGTTCTTGCCCTGTCCCAGCTAGCATCATCGCATAGCATGGCCGGACCTTTGCCTGACATGGCACAGACACAGACGGACGAACCTGGGTTGTTCTGTGGCTGCCGCTTCTTCGGCTTCTTTTTCCTTCGTCCTTCTGTCATGGTCTCACAATGTCACCTTCCAACTTGCCGGCGTTGTCCTTCCAATCCCCGACCTCGCGTCTCGCAGCACAAGCGAGCAAGCGACAAGCGGGCCAGGGAACGCACAAGGGACAAGCCAAAGCCACAGGGGGAGCAAGCACTCGATCTCGACGTTGTTGGCGGGGGTCTTTTTTTTGTTTTTTTTTTGTCCCTCTCGACTCCGAGTCCGGTTCCATTTGCCCCCGCAGTAACGGTCGTAGACCGCAGTCAGTACATGCACGCAAGCCCAGCAGCCAATGTACATGGCCTCATCCGTACATACATGACGATACTGGCACTCTCTAGAATGCGAGACGATGCTCGGCCCGTGACAAGGAGACGAGCAATTGGCGGTGGGAGGCATGAGCAGCACCAACGACAACGACAGAGCAACAACACCAACGGCAAAAAAGACGCACTTCTGACATGCTGCTAACGAATTGTCCACACACATGCTACGACTGCTAACCGGCCCTTTGCGCGCTGATTGATTGCAGATGCATTAGTCGCCGCTAACACCACATAGTGATAACTCGGACGTTCGATTTCACATCGACAGGTCGTCCTTTGTTTCTTCCTCGCTCGTACCAGACAGGCATAGGGCCTCGCAACTCGAACCGGGCACATCCCTCCACGGAAGCACCAGAGAATCAAATAAGCATGCTCTGGCGTTTTGACTCGCCGTCAGCCCGGAACGATTCCATCAGTGACCAAGGAAACCTGGCCGAGGGACCAGCGTATGCCTTGTCCAGAGTTACTTGGCGCGTATACGGACATATGGCTGAGGGTTTGTCTCCGAGAGCTGCGCGCCGCGGTTACGATTGCATTCATCCATCGAGGCCAGACCGGCGCGCCAGATTGGGTCCTGACTCTCTGAATGGTTCCATTTCGCCACCGGCTTTGCATATTCGCAGCCCTCGTCATTCTCTTACTTTTTTTTTTCCCTTCCTCTGCAGGCTCGTTCGTCTCGAATTTGCCCTCTTGGACTGCTGTAGCCCTAGAGGAGCTAAAGCAGCCCAACCTGCGACCGAGCGGGCCACATGGTCGGAGGGACTTCGTCCAAAGTTTCGGCCATGTATGTTTGCATGTATCCGTACATGCTTCGAGAGGCGCGCGCCTTTGCTTGTGACGATGATGTCGTGGGCGACAGACTGGATCCAAAACAGAACGAAGTCTAAGTCGGCGGCATCACCGGCGGTAGGGTAACCCATATTGGCTTTACTCGACTAGACCATCAAACGCCACGAGCATTCAGAAGCCAGCAAACCTGCAATGGTATTGTGGTTTCCGAGGCCTCTATCCGCTCACGGCCAACCCCCGTGCTGGACGATGTTATCGAGATACCTTTGGAACGTCTACCAGAAAGCGACTGCCACAATACATGGGGAGTAGAGCTCTCAGCCAGAGGCAGATCTTCGCCTGGGCTGCCCTGGAGGCCCTGGCCCTGGCCCTGCTCCTGGCCATGACCCAGCGATGATGCTGGTACCCCCCTCTCTCCTCCCGGTCCCCTCCTCCCCAATGTGTCGCGGTGGGGTGGCCTAGTCTCCAGCGGTTTTTATCAACTGGCAACGAGACGAGCCAACGCAGCAAAGCATGGGTCACACTCTTTCGAGAGCCGCATCGCCGCTTGCATCTCGAACCAAAAATTCAAAGAACCATCCCATTGTTCCATTTCTCGTCGAGCCCGTTTTTTTTCGAGAACTTTCATACCTTGCCCAGTCGGCGCTTGTCTTTCCAGTTTCTCCAGTAGACGGAGCAAGCAGAAGCAAAGCAAAGCAAAGCAACAGCAAGTGCATCAACCAGCAGGTCGTTCGTTTCCACGTCCCTGGTCTACTCTCCTCTTGTTTCCCTCCGAGTCTTGTCCCCTCTTCTACTAGTCTCTCCTCTCTCTCTCTCTCTCTCTCTCTCTCTCTCTCTCTCTCTCTCTCTCTCTCCGTACCGGTCCAAAGTACTGTCCCCCCTCCTCTCGCCTGTCCGGTCCCTCATTTCCTGCCGCAGCCGCTGCCGTTGCCGCCGCAGCTTGTTATTACCACACGCGCTGCAACTGCACACTACCTCCATACGATCGTTGTCAAGTCCCCATGTATGATCTAATGTACCTTTACATATGTTGTTGATGTTGGCCCTGGATTGGATTTGACCTATTGCTGGACCACCCCTCCACCCCCTCCCTGCCCCCGCACTAGCTCATCGTCGAAGCCAGAGAGAAGGTGTAAAAAAAAAAAAAAGGGCAACCCTTTTTTTTCTGCAATAAAGCACACATGTCTCTCCGTCCATGGCTCTGATGTTTTCCTGCAACCCAAGAGACGGAAGAAGCCCTGGATACGTAGCTTAACTCACAACACCTCCCACACCCACCTGCGTCCACACACACACACACACACACACACACAACGCACACACACACTTTCACCAGTACAACACATCAACCACCCCTTCCGCCGACTTTCTTCATCTTGTCCCCCCATACCTCATCAGGCTCAAATTCTCCCAGCTTGGAAAACCACGAAAACAGCTCAAGACTTGGTCCGGATCCCACCTCTTTTTCATTCTCTTTGAGCTACCATACATACTCGAACCCACCCCGGATTTCTGCCCTACGCCTTACATCACAACACCCCAGAGCGCTCTGGCGTGTGGTGCGTAGAAGTCCGCGTGCGAGACCCCCCGGCCGTCCTCGACCATAGACTTTTCGCTCGCCTCACCGTTGGGCTCGATTGCATCCCAAGGCCGCCTGGATCTTGGTCCTATTGTCCGGACAGCAGTTGCCTATTCTTCAGTTGCTTCACTTTCTTTTCCTTCTTCGGTCTGAGACAACATCGATCTCCCCCTGCGCCCGAATCCGTATCTCGGGGACCCTGCACGTCTAGGACCAAGAAAAAAAAGATTCGACCCGCCGCATACAATCCACCCATTGGGGACAAACGGTCAACATGGGAGGATTTTACATGCAGTACCTTGAGAGTAAGTGGTCAATTGACTTTTCCAGACACGTCGTTGAAACCCAATGCTTCCCTGAACCTCGTTCCCATCATCAATTGTCCGTACAAATGGGGCTGAGCCGTGATGAGCCCTGGTGAACTGGGTCAGATCGTGTGTGCCTACCCCTGCATCTTGGGAATGACATGCGTTTGTTCCCAGGGCCCTGACGTTGCCTGGCGAGTCGGGACGTGGCGTCGTGTCCGCGGGATCGACGTCAGCTTTATGTTGCGGCTCCCAGTGTACGAGTTGCAGTGTTCAAAGACGGGGAAAACAGAGAAATGAATCGGATTGGGCTGGAATGCAGCTCGCCTCACTTCACCGAGGGTGCTGATCTCTCAGCTGCGTCATGATCGAATACAGAGATTATCAAGGGCTAATCAATCCAATCTAGGTCTTTGCCGGCGCCGAGGATGGAGGGATCCTTCGTACGAGTGCTACCGTGATCCCAGTGGCTACACGTGCCTCGTTCTTGTCAACGGCCGTGAGTACCAGACGGACCTCGCCTACGAATCGGATTCGTTGGCGCAAGAAAACGCGGCCATGCGTGCCTTCATGGTGTGTCGTAACTTCTCCGTCAACGGCGGCATGCTTGCCCGCAACGGAATCGTCCAGGGGCTGCCCGCCACCGAGACCAGCGGCACCGCCCGCCGGTCCAAGAAGAGCAGTCGCCACACGTCTTCGAGTCACGGCTCCAGGGACAGCCACCGCCGATCTGGGCACCACTCCAGCAGTTCTTCCACGGCTTCGTTCGACTGAGTGGACAGCTTTGCTGCATGATGAGTTGGCAGCTGTAGGCTCTCGGTCCCGGCAGCGACACATGGCGGAGATAAAAGGGACTGGACGCACTCTGGTCACAGCATGGAGGACGACAACCGTCCTCGGGAGCTCGAGTGAGGAGGGGAACAGGAAAAAAGAAGCGAAGATATTGGTACCAAGAAGTGGGCCAAAGGAGTGGGAAAAGCGACGCATAACTTCCATCTGCGACGACCTCATGACGACTTTATGACCTAGATTACGGCTTCCTGCGCGGCACCTCTGATTTCGATTTCATTCCCTCTGCAACCCGGCCGGTACTCTTTTGATTTTCCAGACAAGGCCATTGGGCTTGATGACTTTCTTCTTCCCCTCCAGAATCAGCATTCTATTATTCAAGACCTTTTCTCTTTCTTCTCCTTTTTGATGACCAGGCGCTTTGGCTGGGGATTGTACAGTACCAGCCGCTTTTGCCTTTCCCTGCTTCTTTCAACCGGAACCATGCCCAGAGGCGACTCTGGCGGCCGACTTTCACTTTTTCTCATTATTGGACATTGGAGGTTTATGATCTTGCTTTCCATCATGGGGCCAGGGACGAAGGAGGCTATCTTTCTTGTTTTCTGATGACACGAGCCCTCCACACAACAAAAGATTGCTACGAAAAAAGACCGCGGCGGGAGATGCTAGACTCTTTGGTTGAGCGAGAAAGAGAGAGACAGAGAGAAGGATGAGACCAAAAATTGGGAAATGTTAGGAAAAGGAGGAGCGGGGGAGAGAGAGAACGAGAGAGAGAAGTGCTTTGGACGATGCGTACGCGCGACAAGCCACACACTCTCTCTCCCCCGTCTGATGTGCCTCAAAAGCGAAGCATTTTCTATTCTGCATTTTTTGGACCAGCGCGGGAACATTGGTTTGGACTGGCATCTTGATTTTACGCCATGAGAGAAAGAGAGCGACAGGGCGGAGGATGTATTGGGACGGGGCGGGATTTGCCGCCAACCTACGGGGAGATGAGAGTGTTTGGGCCCCAAGAGTTTGTGAAAGCGAGGCCGATGGGGGATTTTGGACAAGATGGAAGGAGGAATGCAGGAGATGTGGACTTGATGAAGGGAATCACCACCGACACCCTTTCCAACGCGTTGATCTGCGGACACGCGGCTATGATGAATAATGACACCACCAAGACTTTACGACAAGCTTATGATGATATTTCCAAGACCGAACAAAAATCAATAAATAAATAGCATTTCAGCGGCCTTTTTTTTTTTTTTTTTTTTTTTTTTGGCACAATTATTGATATTGCTTATATGCGCACGTGAGAGGCGAGCGTTACATGATGTCGACTTGGTCCAGTTTGTTGCCCCTTTTCTCACATCCCGCCCATAGGTACCCTGGAACTGTCAGGTCTAGGTGCGGGATGGCGGTTGGAGGGATGGTGGACGTGGTGGTGGTGTGACTCGGAAGACGCCGGACAGCCGCGCGGGTTTCGGGGGATGGTGGTGGGCTGGAGTGGTGGCCCGGAGCCGATGTGGAGGGCGGACGGGAGGGACGCGGATGCGGGACGGGGGCCAGCGTGAGACAAAGCCGCACTTTACATGCGTATGTATACACGGGATCGCACGGGGCAGATGATCAGATTGATTAGCTACCAAGGCTGGGCAACCGCGGTCCGGGCTGGGTTGGGTTAGGGCGAGTGGGCTTGAGTTTTCTAGAAATTAGATTTTAGATTCACGCTTGGTACCCGTGGATGATGGGGAGGAGATCGAAGCAAGGGGGGGGGGGGGGGGCAGGCACTTTTACAGCGGGCGCGGATTCGAGACGGGTTTGGAAGCCAAGAAGTGAGGAGGACGGATGAGAAGGAAAAAAGTAAAGAAGGTGCTTCCTGGCATCCCACGCGGGTCGTTGTGTTCTAGACACTTTTTTTTTTTTTTTGATTGAGTTGTCTGTTAGACTGTTTCGCTAGCGTGATTTCACATCAAGAGGCAACGTGTTTTGTTTGGGGATGCGGCTGAATCAGGGGAGCTTTGCTCGTGGTTTGATTTGGAGGGTGGTGGTTGGGATGACGGGATGTAGGTCTGCCGAGGTGTTTGTCTGGTGTTTTTCATTGCATATGCCATTGAGTTTTGAGTTTTATCTGCAGGTGGCATTTTCGGATGATTTTTTCTTATTGAGAGGATCGGAAGTCGGGACACGCGTGGCAGATGGGAAGGGGTTTTGCCGGACGGGAGTCCGTGTGGCGGACGGGCGTGCTGGGATTGCGGATGTTGTTACAACTTGACGGGGGTGCGATCACCCTTCAACTTGACCAGGTTTTTCGCAGTGAATCATTTCTCTGCTGGCCTCAGAGGCAAAAAGTCACAGAGGGCCATCCGGACGGTCCCGGGATGTGGACGGCGCACGCGGCCGTGTTTGTTGGATACCTACCTACGGATAAAGAGGACTGAACACGTACGTCACGTCGCAAGTTGAGCAAGAGGGTTCCCACTTCGTCCCGGGCTTTCTCCCGCGCTCTTGATTGAAGTGTAGGGATGGAGGCTTTTGTGGTGAAGACGGGAGTTGGCGAGACTGACGTTAAGCAAGTGTGGCTTTGCGGGTTGGACCCGTTGTTTTGGTGGTCACGAGGAGGTGATTTTTTATGGCGATGCCGCGATGGAGGGGTCCCCACTGAGGCGTTTTTGAGGCGATGGGAAACTTGGACATGCGTTGCTTCGGTATGTTGGTGACTTGTTCTTCCTGCATTGACGATGGCAATTGGCAAAGTTGTATTTTTAGGCGTCACCAATCGGAGGGGAAGGCATAGGCAAGGGAGGAAATGGAAGGGAGAGAGGTGACATTGGAAGAATTCCCATGTTACGAGGAATGAGGAAAATCTCCGGGGGGTAGTATTTCTTGCGGCGGCATAACACGAGATTTTTTTTTTTTTTTTGTGCTTGGTTGCCTGACTGCACTGCGAAATGTGACTGTGACTGCAACTGCTTGTCAGCACCGCTCCGTCAGTTCGTAACTGCCCCCATTCACGAGGTCGTCAGCAGAGGCAACCCGAAGAAGGCGGCGGTCGCGAGTTGAGTAGGGGGGACGGGTCAGATGTCGGTCCCATGTAGGGAGGGACCCGGTTTCGAGGTTAGGTGCTCGGCCGGGAGAGAGTGTGTGATGGCGGATATACGCGCGGTCACCGGAGCGCGGCGGCGGTCCTTTTGGCCAGCAGAGTTGTTCAAGTGTGTTTTGAACAGTTGATCAGCTGACTGAATGCCACGGTTTCCGTCTGATTCACCCATCCATCCATCCATCCAGCGAGAGAGAGAGTCCAGACACTGAGCAGGCTGTTCAGTGCCATGGCTGGCTTTGAGGCACAAGCAAGGGGGAAGGGGAATTGGCATTAACAATTTCGCCAGGGAAATTGGGGGAGCCGTGGTCTGTCGATTTCGCAGGTCGGGGCTCCCCGCTTTTGTGTCAATTGCACATTTCAGCAGATGGTTCGGAGGGCCGAGGCGAGGCGTGTCCCCGGTGCGGTGGTACAAGGCCAGGCACGATTGACGAACTGACGACGACGACGACGACGGGACGATGACAACCGCCGCCGCACAAGCCCCAGTCTGGTACTACTGCGTAGTAACTGTCCAGCGGCCAGCCAGCGTCTTTGAGAGGATGGAATTGGAAGAGAGAGAGAGGGGGCCCCTGACAGCTGGGCGTAGCGTACCTTTACCTAGCCTCTTTTCCCACAAGGGGGGCCGCCGTTGGGGGAAGACACGGGATTGGATCGTGAGATCACATGGGGGGACCACCGAGGGGGAGGGGAGGACGGTGATTGGATGAGAATGGGCATTGGCCTTTGGGTACGTACCGCGTGCTTGTGGCGCAGTACATGGGATATGCGAGTGGGCGGTTGAGTGTGGTGTGTGTACCTCTGGAAAACAGCAATGAACCTGTTCAGCGCACCTCGTATGGGGAGCAGAGGTGTTCTTGTTCGGGCGCAAACATCTGGACTGTCATCACCTTCGAGTCGGTGTCTCGTAAACGTGCAGCCCCTCGTCGTCTTGATTGGGACTTGTACCTGACGCTGCTCCGAGAGTCAAGGGACGGGAATGTGTCAGACATTTGGAGGCTCCCATAGTGCTCCTTGCTGCGCAGTAGTGTCCAGAAGCCCGGCCGTTAGCGCGCCTGTTCCAGGGGGGGAGACATGGGCCGGTTGGCGGGATTGGGGGTCCAGGTTCGAGGCGGTGCCCTGTGCTCTGTGCTGTGTGCTGTGTGCTGTGTGTGCTCTTGCCTTGCTGCGCATCACCAGAGGCAGGCCACCTCAGCCAGCAGCGAGAGGATTCAGGAGACGGTACTCTCTTTACTGTGCTGGTAAGGTATGTCGTGTCATTTTTGAAAGGTACCTTTACTCTGTAGCGTACCAGACAAGTACCGCACCTGCACCTACCTCCCTTTGCCATCCATCCCAACCCGTCCCATCCCCATCCAACCCCATCCCCATCTCATCCCATCCAGGTCCCTACTAAGGTACTCAAAGCCCAGCTCTCGCAACCTCATCTTCCCGGCTTCCTCCTCCCTCGTTGACCTTACTTTATTCACTGCGCTCGCTCTTGCAACTTTTCAACCTGCTGCTGCCGCTCCACAACCCCTCTCCCAGGCTTCCGTGATCTTCACCCCCAAAGCCTCAGCACATCCTCCGGAGGAAGGAAGGCTCGCTCTTTGTACCAGCTCTATTAATTTTTTCTCCTTCCCCCCTTCGCGTCCTCGACCGTCGTTGAAGCTCGGCCCTTCGTTGTCAACCATCGTCATCGCATCGCCCTCGCCCTCGCCCTCGTCGCACCTTCCACCAGCCTCGAGAACTTCTACACCCTTTCCCAATTCGTACACTCGCTTGTTTCCGCGCGCGCACCTCAAGGGAAAGCAATCGCCTCTCCCTTTCTGCTCTTCACCAACCCAGAGTCGATTCACGCATAACCACAACCCCCAAACTCCTCCAAGATGAAGGGTGAGTCTTGCCTGCCTCCTGCCCCCTTGTGCAGCCAACGCCCCAGCTGGCCTCTGCACCGGGCCATGATGCAGCATGCTGACGCGCGCAATAGCTATTATTCTCGTCGGTGGCTTCGGCACCCGTCTTCGCCCTCTTGTATGTCCTCTCTGCCCCTTTCCAGCTTGACGCGCGGCTTTCAGGAGAAGACCATCGCCAGTTCCTCCAGCTGCAAGACACTGGGCGAAAAGTAACACCCAAGCTGACCGCAATGCCAGACCCTCACCCTCCCTAAGCCCCTCGTCGAGTTCGCCAACAAGCCCATGATCGAGCACCAGATCGAGGCCCTCGCCGCCGCAGGCGTCACCGATGTCGTCCTTGCTGTCAACTACCGCCCTGAGATTATGGAGAAGCACTTGGCAGAGGTGGGTCCCATGAGCTGACGATCCCCTCCGAAGCCAGCTGTACTGACGATCCTCCCCAACAGTACGAGAAGAGGTTCGGCCTCAACATCACCTTCTCCGTCGAGACCGAGCCCCTCGATACCGCCGGCCCCCTGAAGCTGGCCGAGAACATCCTCGCCAAGGACGACTCCCCCTTCTTCGTCCTCAACTCGGACGTCATCTGCGACTTCCCCTTCAAGGACCTCGCCGAGTTCCACAAGAACCACGGAGACGAGGGCACCATTGTCGTCACAAAGGTCGAGGAGCCCTCCAAGTACGGTGTCGTCGTCCACAAGCCCGGCCACGCCACCAAGATCGACCGCTTCGTCGAGAAGCCCGTCGAGTTCGTCGGCAACCGCATTAACGCCGGCATGTACATTCTCAACACCAGCGTCCTGAAGCGCATCGAGCTCCGCCCCACCTCCATCGAGAAGGAGACCTTCCCCGCCATCGTCCGCGACGGCCAGCTGCACAGCTTCGACCTGCCCGGCTTCTGGATGGACGTCGGTCAGCCCAAGGACTTCCTCACCGGCACCTGCCTGTACCTCACCTCCCTCACCAAGCAGGGCTCCAAGCTGCTGGCTCCCCCCAGCGAGCCCTACGTCCACGCCGGCAACGTCCTCATCGACCCCTCGGCCAAGATTGGCAAGAACTGCAAAATTGGCCCCAACGTCACCATCGGCCCCAACGTCGTCATCGGCGACGGCTGCCGTCTGCAAAGATGCGTCCTGCTGCCCGGCTCCAAGGTCAAGGACCACGCCTGGGTCAAGAGCACCATCGTCGGCTGGAACAGCACCGTCGGCAAGTGGGCTCGCCTGGAGAACGTCACCGTCCTCGGCGACGACGTGACCATTGGCGACGAGATCTACGTCAACGGTGGCAGCATCCTCCCCCACAAGAGCATCAAGGCCAACGTCGACATCCCCGCCATCATCATGTAAAACCAAAACTCAACTTTGAAAAACTATACCAGGCGTCTCGGATCATATCCCCGAGGCGCCCCCCTTCAGCAAAGCTCTTTACACTTCTTGTCTGCGCGCCTGTTCTTATCGACTTTCTAATTCCAAGTTGCGACACGATTCACCACTCCACTCACGAGTCTCGAGCTTAAAGAAATGGGGGGCGGAACCAAACATTTTACATTTTTGGCTGGCGTCGGCAGGGGGAATCCATTGGGCGAGCACGAAAAGCACTTGGCTTTGCAATGTTTTTTCACACAGCTTTTTTTTTTCTTGGGAAGATGATTGTCCCATTTGCTACGAAAGCAGAGAACGGTATCGAGGAACATGCCCGTGATGGATATGCCTAGATCAGCCGTGCACGGAGGGGCCCGAATTGTGGGCTACCTCTGAGACAGATGACAATAAAGACGATACCTGTGGATTGCGCCCCAGATCTTATTGCGTTGTGTGTGTGTGTGTTATGCGTCTATCCTGCGAGTGTCGAACGACTGTCGGGTCTGGCGAATGACATTGCACGTTCCCCAAGTGGGCAGACCAACTGACTTGATAGGTATCCATCTAACCAAACATTCCTGATATCATCCCACGCTTTTTCTATTCTTCTATACATCCAACTCCAGTTTCCAGAAACAAAAAAAAAAAAAAAAAAACATTCGAGGTCAGATTCTTACTCTAGATTGTCGCGCACCCAGCCCCTCGACATTTCAACCGCCTGCTCCCACTTTTTGAACATTTTCAGGTTCTTCTCGCGCTCGGCGGATGGCGTGAAGACCTTGCGGCCGGTCTGGTTGACGTTCTTCAGGTCGTCGAGCTCGTTCCACACGCCCAGCGCGAGGCCCGCGGCGATGGCGGCGCCGAGGGCGGTGGTCTCGCGCATGGCGGGGCGGTCGACGCGGATGCCGCTGATGTCGGCCTGGGCCTGCATGCACAGGTCCGAGTTGGAGAGGCCGCCGTCGACGGCGAGGGACTCGAGGGCGTGGCCCGAGTCCTTGGCCATGGCGTCGAGGATGGCTTTCGTCTGGTAGCAGGTCGCCTCGAGGGTGGCGCGGGCGATGTGGCCCTTCTGGGTGTGCTGGGTGATGCCGAAGAGGGTGCCCTTCGCGTCGTCGATCCAGTAGGGCGCGAAGAGGCCGGAGAAGGCGGTGACGAAGACGACGCCGCCGTTGTCTGGGACGGAGGCGGCGAGGTCGGAGATGTGGGCTGCGGAGTCGACGAAGTTGAGGTTCTTGACGAGGAACTTGACGCCGGAGCCGGCGACGGCGATGGAGCCCTCGAGGGCGTAGACGGGCTTGCGGTTGTTGCCGAAGTCGTAGGCGACGGTGGCGAAGAGGCCTGATTTGGAGATGACGGGCTCGTGGCCGACGTTGTAGAGGAGGAAGCAGCCGGTGCCGTAGGTGTTTTTGGCCTGGCCTGGGAGGAAGCCGCACTGGCCGACGAGGGCGGAGGACTGGTCGCCGAGGCAGCCTGCGATGGGGACGCCGGCGAGGGGGCCGGAGGCGAGCTTGCCGAAGGCGGTCGGGTGGGAGGAGGGGACGATCTTGGGGAGGGCGATTTTGGCGGGGTCGATGTCGAAGAAGGAGAGCAGGGTCGGGTCGTATTTGAGGGTGTGGAGGTTCATGAACATTGTGCGGGAGGCGTTTGTGGAGTCCGTGACGTGGATTGGGGGGGAGGCGGAGGCGCCGCCGTTGAGGCGGTAGATGAGCCAGGAGTCGACGGTGCCGAAGGCGAGGTGGCCTTCGTCGTAGGCGGTGCGGACGCGGGGCAGGTTGTCGAGGGCCCAGCGGAGCTTGACGGAGGAGGGGTAGGTGGAGAGGGGCAGGCCGCAGAGGGGCTGGAGGGCGTCTGCGCCGGGGCGGGCGCGGAGGTCGCGGACGAGGGGGGCGGTGCGGGTGTCGGGCCAGACGATGGCGTTGTGGAGGGGCTCGCCGGTGCGGGCGTCCCAGAGGACGGTTGTCTCGCGCTGGTTGGTGATGCCGACGCCGCGGATGGCGGAGGCCGGGTGGCCGAGGGCGGTGAATTTGGCGAGGGCGGCGGAGATGCATTCCTCGACGGAAGAGAGGAGCTCCAGGGGGTCGTGCTCGTGCCATCTGGTGAGGGAGGTGTGTTAGTGAGGATGGCGGGAGGAGAGTAGAAGGAGGAAGGGGGGGAGTTTACCCTGAGTGAGGATAGTGGTTCTCAAACTCGATCTGGTGCATGGCGACGGGGTCGCCGAGGCCGTTGAAGATGAGGAAGCGGGTGGAGGTGGTGCCTTGGTCGATGCTGCCCACGAACCAGTGTTTCTGGAGCTCCTCGTCGGTCTCGGTGATGCCCGCGGGGAGGTGCTCGCCCTCGGCGGCGGCGACACGGGCGCGTTTGGGGTCTCGTTGGTCGGACATTGTGTGTTTGGATCTGTGGTTGGTTTGTGTGAGTTTGGGGAAGACGAGGAGATTCGCGACAGGATGAGGGCAACGGAGGGAGGGATATAAGGAGAGGTGAGTTAAGCTGGGGCTATGGGGAACGGGGGGTATCACGCGCGCCGATGCAGATTTGAAGATGGGGGTTATTTAGCTTGAAAGCGCGGAAGCAATGGACTTGGATGGCGGGGCGTGGGAATTTTACAATGGGGAAACGGGGAAGAGGCAAAGTTGAAGCAAGTACCTGGTTAAATACGCCGTCGGCCGAGGCTGGTGGTGAGAGATATTCCCGGGAGGCGTGGCCCGCGTCGTCCCGCTGGTCTGGGACCTGCGATGGAGCAGCTCGGTCTGGATTGATGCAGCAGAGCCAGAGGTCAGGGTGTGGATGGGACGGGAGCTGTCAGCAGCAGCTAGTCGTGGGGCCTCAGAACCGGGATGGTGGTTGTGGTAGCAATATGCGGCTGTGGTGCTAGTTGTGCTAATAGACGCATGCTTTCTCAGGATCGCCAGGGTAGTCGAATTCAAATTTCGGACGGACTGGCGCGGACTGGGGATGACGTCGGGCAGGTTAGCGGGCGGGGCTGTGTGATTGGAGGAAGAATTGAGGGGTTGCTGGGCGTGCTGTTGTGTCTCGCTGCATGTGCTGCTGCTGCTGCGATTCAACGGCTGCTTGCTGAGTAGCGCGGGACGGCAACAGCGAAGAGGACGCCATGGCGGGCGAGCAGACAACGGCGCTGGCGGCGTTGTCGGAGACGGCCTCGGTGAGTGTGGAGTTGGAGTAGCAGTCGTTGCCCGGGCCGGGTTTCTGGTGTTGGGGATCGCCAGGGGTCGTTGGATTCTGGGGAGTGATTGGGGAGCAGCAGTTGCAGCTGCTCTGGGGAGGCGCATATTTTCTTTTTTTTGGTCCCTTGTGATGGGTTTGCAGTGGTTTTGCGACTGCGGTTTTCCGAGATGCGTTTTTGGGTGGGGGTTTCGGTCGGGTCTTTCGGGGTTCTGGGACCGAGGATCCATTTAGTGTTCATGGGGTACCCTTGTGGGGATGATGGGACGGTTCACCGAGGGGTCCTGGGTTCGGTGTGGTGGACCGGGGTTGAGGGGATCGTGATCGCGATCGTGGGGCCGGGAGTTGATGATGCATTTGTGTGGTGACGGGATTGCGAGGTTGTGGTTTCCCTGGGTCGCACGCGAAAGATGGCTGTGGTGAAAGCTGCCGAGAGGGTTGATGTAGCGGCTGACGACCTGTTCTCCCAACAACCGAGCAGGAGTAAGTGGCCGTGAATATGCCCAGTAATGGTACAGCAGATATACCAGCTGAAACACAGAGATCACGCTTATCCTCTCAGGACTTGAGTTCGATTCTGGGTCGGTTCACTTTTTATTTCATTTTTTCTTTTGTCTTTTTGCATTTTGCCTTCGTTCCGACAGATTTGGTCTTGTCCTTCTTCTTTGGGGCGGCACTCAAGGTCATAAAAAGGGCATTCCTTTTTATCATAAGAGACCCATAGTGATTTGTTATAACCATGTCCAGCTGGAGAGAGCGATGAAGGCTCTGCAGACGTGTGTTTCTCGCTCCTGATGTCTCAGATCTTCACCCAAGATGGAACATTACTTGTTCTAAAGCAGTACTCTCAGTGTCTCCTAAAGCTACACTTTCGTCAGAAGCAGCAGGAAGGTCACAGCTTGCTAAAAGGAGGGTCTCTGGACTCTCCGCTAAATATCGACGATTGCTTAGAATGGTGATCTCTGCTGCCCGACCTCTCCGTGCTCCTGGCCTTCCTTGCACGTCGCCCACTATGCCTGTCCCATACCTAAGCTGAATAGCGGAATATCCTTCGATTATTGGTTCTTGACAACAAATTCATGAGTTCTGTTATCCCGCAAAATCGTCGACTTCACATGATATTTGAACGTCGGTCTGGTCAGAACAATGAACAGACTGGCGGCGCTCCAATCCAAACATGATACGCAGCATTAGTTCCAGCAAATCTATGAAAGAACACTCATGATTTCAATGATTTCAGCAAAATTGTGACTCCTTTTGTAGAAGAGAATCTACTTCGGCTGGCTGCTCTTCCAGCCCTCCCCCAATCCTTCTATTACCCCTATTCGCATCGTTTAGCTGCCTTTCTATCTACCTGGCCACTGTCCAAATGGTCTTCTACCATCAGCAAATTCCTTTCTGACTATTTGAGGAAGGAAGTAACTGCTATGGATAAGACTGGCACCCGCCTCCATAGACTATTAGGGCAGACATCGTGAGCGCTGAGCACCACCCTTGATCAACCACCCCGCGGGGTGAGGAGGGTTGCTGGCGGGTCCAGCAAGCAGTCAATGCCTTTTTTGTTTTTTTATCCTCTCCTTCTCTCTGGCGAGTTCGATCATTTTCCAGAAACACGTCGCGATCTTGCCTTGTTTGCTGTCGAGGGCAAACAAACCAAGCAAACACTACCCGTTGTCTTGACCAGTCGACGGACTTACAAGGTAAGAAAAACCCCTCAAACCCACGAGATCTGGATTACCGAGTGGTATTCTCGACTTCAGTCATTTTTCTTTACGTCAAGTTTTTATTGCGGTCGCGGTTTTGGGGGATGTCGACGTGGCGTTGACGGCTTCAACCGTCGGCGATGCGTCTCGTCGGCTTCATCTCTGCTATTGCTTTCATCGTTTCCATCTTCAGATTAGGCGTCAACTTGAGCGTCCCCCTGTTTTTTCTGTGGTCAATTTTCCCACTATTTTTTCCTGTCCAAAAGTCCCAGTGCTGAGGCGAAGGACGGCGAGATCAACCTCCAGAATGCTGTTCTAACATACTATCAGACACACATTCGCTCCTTTACTTGCACAAGATTGTTCGTCAACACCAACATGCCCTTCCACAAGTCCGTTCGACACAGCCCCGGTCGCAGTGGTGTTGGTAGCGGCGTTAGAAGACACCATACTCGAAGCCAGCCAGCTTCGCCCCTCTCCCCTCGCAGGCCCGTTACTCCTGTTGCTGCTATCAAGAAGAAGGTCCGGTTCGCCAAGAGCCAGAAGACTCAGGCCAAGGCTGATACCGCCGCTATTATTGCCGAGTCTCCCTCTACTCAGCCCGAGGAACTCTCTGAGAAAGCCACTGTCGGCAAGATGCCTCTTTCTCAGGCCGCCGATGGCGGTAACATTGTCAAGACCGCCGAGAAGGACAAGAACCCCGTCACCTTGGCCATCAACACTGACAACACTATTGCTTCTTCTTCCGGCCTTGCGCTGAAGCAAGCTGCTTCGACAGCCATCAACACCAACGGCCTTCTCACCCCCAAGCCTTCTCATGACATCATCCAGACCGCCCAGAAGGGCGCTCCGGCCAGCCTCCTGGCAAACGGCCTCGGCCAACAAATGGACCTTGTTGGAAGACCCATCGGCCAGTCCGACCAGAATCCAGTCGACCCCGTCGTCGTCGCTCTTGACCATTGGATTCGAAACACCAACGACGGCAGCATCGCTGAAGCCCCCAAGCTCCAAGGCTGTGGCCCCTGGGAGGTTCCTCTGCCTCCCGGCATGGACCCAGCCGTCCATGTCAACCCCCATTCGCCCATTTTGTGCCGCTACCTCGACTGCTGGATTATCGGTCCTGAGGGAACCCCATTGCTGAAGGTTCACATTCATCCTCTCATGCGAGGCCGGCATACGGAGGAGTATGTCGCCAAGAAGTGGACCGCCTGGAAGATGATGTTTGCCTGGGTAGAGCACCTGGAGCAGTACGGCAAGAACGATGCCCACGCCCCCATGGATATCGTCTCCTTTGTCCGGAACAGAATCGTCTGGGAGGGGAAAATGGCTAGAGAGGGGGCCGCGAGAGCTATAGCGAATCGCGAGGACAGTGCCATGTTCGGCGGCAGAGACAAGTGGTACTTGCCTGCCGTACGCAGGGGCGGACCCTTTGACAATATGTTCCGATCCATGATTGGCAGCGCCCTGGTTAAGGTTCACAATGACGAGGCTCTGAAGAAGGCTGCCGCTCACCCCCCGGGCGACAACAGCATTGCCCACATCATTGCCAGATCGAAGTACGTCAACACCGACGCAGGTGTCAAGGATCCTGTCCTTGTTTCCGCCGCCAAGGACGCCCCCGAGCAGCCCAAGGAAGCCAACTCTACGGCTGGTGTTAAGCATCCTGCTCCCCAGCCCGATGCTTCCCAGCCGGCTGCCAAGCCCGCCCCGAAGCAGCCCCTTGAGGTCATCGTCGTCGACGACTCTGTCAACTCCAGCTCTAGCTCTGACTCAGAGGATGAGCCCCTGGCCAAGCGCGCTCGCAAGAACCCTCAGCCTAAGCGTGCCACCAAGCCTGCTGCTGAGAAGACCGAGACCGAGATTCAGACGAAGCCTCGCCGCAGAGGCAGACCCGTTGGCAGCAAGAACAAGACCACTGCCAAGAAGGCTGCCGGCAAGAAGGCTGACAAGACTGAGGTCAAGACCTCTGACAAGGAGACCGATGATGCTGTCGACAAGAATCTCGAAAAGGAGTCCAACAAGACCGACGACAAGGATGCTGACAGGCCCGTCCGCAGAATGATCCGAATCAAGGTCCCCGCAAAGGCCGCCGAGAAGCTCGCTGCCATGGACGATGCCAAGCGCAAGGCCGAGACCGAGGGCAAGGGCAAGCCTGCCGCTGACAAGTGAGAGGCCACCGCCGCTGGCAGCTGCTTTTGGAGGAACTTTGACGACAGAGTATTGGCAACGGGAGTAAAGGTTGGACCGAGTGGCTACATGTATTGAGACTCGCTTTTGGACGAACAGGTTCAGGTTTGGCGTATGGACAGTTGGGCCAAGAATACCCAGACAAAGTTGGGCTGGAATCGCCGTTGTGTAGCTACAGACAGACGCTTTGCAGTTGCTCTTTGGTAACGTACTAGGTATAAAAGGGAGGTTCCCACAAAGAGCTGATATTGTTTATCGTGACCCGTGTTGTCATTGTCGTCGTCGCCGCCATTGAACTTTGCTTCCGTGTC